AATTCAAATGGAAACTCTCACTCCCATCCACTTGGTTGGAGCAGTGCCATCACAATTTTAAGAAGTTTGAATAAACAACTAGTTTTGCAGTTTTTCCTTATTAAAAATTGAATATCAATAGAGCCAAAGAAGATGAAAGCTTGTGTTATGCACTACAAAAAATGACTACCTTATAAGAATCAAGAAAATATATGGCCTTTTTCACTAAGTTATTAATACTTCTTCATTATTGAATGATGTTTTCAATAATAAAAATAGGGTAAAAATGATGAAAATTAAATTACTTGGGAATAAATATGGCCATATTTTAGCCATTTTGGACTTTGAAAAAAATGAAAAATGATATCTATTGGAGAGAAAAAGAGAGTCTTCAAATGGAAGTAAGAAATGAGTAAGGGATATTGACTGAATATTTTTGTCTTTTTAAAGAAAATTCAGTAAATTGATAATTTATAAATGCTAGAAAATTAGGCAATTTAGAATAATATAATTTTATAGGGGTTTTCTTGGTCGAACACAAGAAAGATAAGAAATTAGTTAATTATATTTATAATTTCCAATTCATAGATTATTTTTAAAAAACATTATTGAAAAAATATAAAAAAAATTAAAATAAGAAATTAGGTATTATGATGTCAGCTGATGTCAGCCCACGAAGAACACCCCCAAATTCGAGTCATCAGAAATATGTCGACTCATATTTCTCAAAATCAAAGTCAAAATACATAGAAATAAACTTTGATTTTAAAAAAGAAATTGTTTGTAACACAATGTAAAACTGAATAGAGTGTTTTATAAATTAAAAAGAAAGTAAAATCATGCAAAGATTCAAGTTTTATGGAAGAATGGGCAGAATGGTCAACGATTGAATTTCTGACCAAATTTGATCGATTTGTGTAGGCACGGTGCACCGAATGAATTCCTACACAATCTCTAGTCAATGAATGATGATCACAACAACTGTCACTTGCTAGAACCAGTTGACGGCAATGGTTCGACTCCAAGCGTGCCGTGGTGTTTCAAGAAGAATCCTCAGAAGAAATTTTTGCCGTTTGTATCGGGCGAAGAATGAGACGAGTTCGTGGATGAAGTTTAGCTTCTGTAGCAGCTGAATCAGGGAGAAGTCGAAGAGAAATCCATTGTTTGTATTGAATTAGATGATTGGGCTAATATGATGTTTGTCATCTGGAGGAGAGAGAAAATGGTTGTGGAAAGAGATAGATTAATTGAAGATGTCTCCTTCTTTCTCTTCCCAATGTTTTTTCATCTTCTTGTGTGTTAATTCCATCAATTTTATCTAATCATCCCCATACTTCTTCTTATATTCGTTACATACGTCATTGATGAGGAAAACCTAAAAAAGAAATTAGTCTTGTATTTTAATTTTATTATATCATTATTTATCATAATAAGCTCAGGAAAATTCAAGAAAATTCAGGAAAAAATCAGAAATAAATGCAATTAACATAGAAGCATTTGGATAATAATATTAATCATTAGAAAAACCTATCAAAATATTTCATAGTAAATTTCATCATGTAATTTCTAGAAATTAACAATATAACCATATAAATAAGTTTAATATCATTTTTTTCTAAGAATGTGTTGGCAATAACATTTGAGCAAAATAGTTTCGATAGCATTGTTGTTTCTCTACCAGAAGGTCATAGTCCACAAAATCCAAATTCAAAACTCCTCTAAGTTGACATCCTTAGTGTTGGTATTGAACTACGTGTATTACTTACTTCTAATGAAAACTAGTAATATGGATCGACCTATTTGTAAATTCTTTGGACTCAACCATTGTCAAGGCTACTAAGTAATTTATTGGCTTGAAATACTTGCAAAGTTGAAGTAAGATAGAAAAAAGTTGTCTTGGCCCACATGAATGATAATTATGCTTGTTATTTCTTCATTTCCTCAGTTATGTACCTATGATGATTTTCAAACTTGAGAAAAGAAACACATCAGCTTTCTTGCTTGACGAATAGCTTAGTTACTTTTTTCACCCTAGTAAAGGGCATAAAATGATGAAAATGCCGATAAACATATAGCGAAAATGTTATTTCGGAAGTCAAGTGTGAGTTCATGTGTAGTGATAAGCCTTCATTATCATGAGTCAATAATTAATTAATAATATAATTTTAGTCTTAACTCATGATAAATAGACTTATATTTATGTTAAATTGTAAAAAATAGTTTTCAATTTATTAATGTGAATTTTTGGTTAATTATATGATTTGATATGAATTTATATAATTTTTATAATCTTATTTTTGAGGTAAATAAAGTTAAATAAAATTAATTAAAAACATAAAAAAGGGGGAGAACTCACCAGCCAACTAGGCCCACAAGCAGGTCGGAAGCATAGTCAAATAGAGCTGCAAGTAAGGGGCTTGAGTGGCTAAACACAAACTGATAAGGGACACATGTGGGTCACTCCCCTTTTACGTTACTGATAGCTAGTTAGGCATGCGGTAAAGAGTGGTCATACACACACAAGGGACTCATTACTTACCACATTTTGTATTACTATATGTTTGTCTAAAAATTTGACATATAACTGATGTGAGATTAAACTGACAATCATAGCTTCCTCATAATATTTTAATAATTTTTGTACCTTAAATACCCCTTATTTATTAGAAGGAGGTACTGTGATGATGACACTTTATAAGGGTATTCATATACTTATTTCACTCTCTCTCATGTAGACAAGTGACCGATGAGGATTCGAATCCTACCAGAGCCAAAACTTATATTTTTATCTAATTCAATCATGATTTTCTTAAAAATTTCTATTGAATGTTTAAGTTATCAAAATCCTTCAATTATCGACAAAAATCTCATCAACGTGATTCATAGAGCATCATTACTAAAATTATTGAATAATTCTGAATAAAAGGATTGTGAATGAATCTATTGAGTAAATTATCTTTGATTGATCGATGAACAAGCTATCGTTGAGAAGAAAATGATCCACCAGAAGACAAGTCACAACTTTGTGAGAGCATACCAGATGTGATGAAGTGCCTTCTCTTACTACACATAACTGAGGGTGAAGCTCCCCAAGATGTGCCCCATCTCCATCTAACTCATCTATGTTGAGTGACAGTCGTCGGAGAGCTGTAAAGTCATCTTTTTTTTGCTCCACTAGGTGACAGCCACCAGAGATGATTCGACAACCCACTTCATTAATTTCTAGACTTTACAAGAAGATCTAAAAATTATCTACGTTGTCCTTATCTAAAGAGAGTCTTTGAGGTTGTGGACATTACATAATACTTCTCTTGAACGCTTAAGATTTTGATGCATCACCACTGTAATATTAGAACTCTATTTTACAAAAAAATTTAATGAGTTTAACTTTCACTATCATTTCTTACACTTTAAAAGGAGGTCTAATGAATGCTCATGTCATCTATGTCCAAGGAGAGCTTTTGAGGCTATGAACATCATTCGATGATCCTATCAAACATACAAAATTCTAATAATCACTGTCGCGAGGCCGAAACATTGACTTTCTTACTTTCAACTTAATTTTTACTTAATTTAGTGATACTTTATGTGATTTCAAATTTCAAAAACCTTCTTCATTCAAATACAATTCTTTTGACTTTTATAGGTCTTAATTTGACCCATGAAATCATCTGTAATCGCTTATGTAAGAATCGTTAGGTAGAACTCTATTTTCGCTCAAATTAAATTCTTCGAGGTGATGACATCATCTTAATCTCCACATTCTTATTTTTTTTTCATAATTTTTTAAATATATTTTATTTTCATTTCTTAGTCTAAAATTTATAAAAAAAATTATATTCTTTGTGAAAAATTTTAAAATATTACCCGATATTATATTACATTCCTGTGATCTATTTGAAAATTCCCTAATATTTTTAAAACTTTTATTGAATTATAATTGATAAATTTATTTTGAAATATTTATAAATATCCTCAAAAATAGTATTTTCAAGTTTTATAAATTTTTAATTTACATGATTTATTATACCATAATTAAGTCACATCATGTAGGTAGACAAATGTCAAGAATGAGGTAAAATTGAAATATAAGAAGTGAGCAAATGTGAAATAAATAAGAAGCCTATGCAAAGTTGAGAAGAATTAAGATGCTTGATAAGTTTTCATTATCATGAGTTAATAATTAATAAATAATATAGTTTTAGCCTTAACTCATGGTAAATAGACTTATATTTGTGTTAAATTATAAAAAGTGATTATTAGTTAGTTAATGTGATTTTTTAACTAATTATGTGATTTTATATGAATTTAAATGATTTTTATAATCCTATTTTTGAGATAAATAAAGAAAAATAAAATAAAATTAAAAAAGGGGACCTATTGGCTAGCTGGGCCCACAAGCAGGTCGGAAGTGCAGTCGGGGTAGAGCCACAAGTAGGGGCTCGAGTAGCTATGGACTGATGGGGGCATGTGCACATCACCCCCCTTCTACGTCACTAGTGGCCAGCCAATTGTGAGGCAAGAAGTGGTCATACACATGCAAGAAAGGGACTCATTGATTCACAAATCTCACATTACCATATATCTGTCTCAACACTTGACGTATAACCGATGTGGGACTAAACCAGCAATCACACCTTTTCAAAATATTTTCAATGATTTCAATACCTAAAATAGTCTTTAATTATAACAACGATATACCATCATGATGTCACTTTATAATGGTATTAGAGTATGTATTTTACTCTCTCTCATACAAGTAGGTGACTGGCACGAGTTTGAATCCTACCAGAGTCAAAACTCGTATTTTTATCTGATTAAATCACGACTTTCTTGTAGCTTACTGATAAAGGATTAAGCTGCTAAAATCACTCGATCATCGACAAAAATCTCTTCAACGTGATTCATGGAGTATTGTTAATAAAATTGTTGAATGATTTACGATAAAGATCACAAATCCATTGAGTAAATCATCTTTGATTGATCAACAAACAATCCATCGTCAGGAAGAAGATGATTTGTCAGAAGACGAGTCGCCACCTCCTGAGAGCATACCAGATGCGATGAAGAGTCTCCTCTTGCTGCGTGGACCTAAGGATGAAGCTCCCTAACATGCGCCCCACTTTCATCTAACTTTTCTCTGTTGGGTGACAGCCGTTGAAGAGTCGTAAAGTCATTATTTTTTCACTTCACTAGGTGACAGCCATCAGAGATGATTCGACGACCTATTTTATTGATCTCTAGACTTCACAAGAAGATCTAAAGATTGTCCATGTCGTCCTTGTCTAAGGAGAGCCTTTGAGGCTGTAGACACTACCTGAAAATCCTCCCAAATACTCAAGATTCTAGTACATCGTCGATGCATTATCGCCGTGCTACCGGAACTCTATTTTCTTACTTTCAACTTAATTTTCACTTTATTTAGAGATAATTTGTGTGATTTCAAATTTTCAAACTACTCTTCATTTGATTACGATTCTTTTGGCTTTTATAGATCTTAATTTGACCAATTAAATCATCTGTAGTTGCTTACGTAAAAATCACTAGACAGAACTCTATTTCTGCCCAATTTGTGTTCGTCAGGCATTGACATCATCTTGATGTCCGCACCCCCTTATTTTCTTTTTTTGTAAATTTTAAATATATTTTATTTTCATTTTTTAGTCTAAAATTTATAAAAATTCATATTCTTTGAAGAAAATTCTGAAATATATCCGATATTATATTACATCCTTATGATTGACATGAAAATTTTACACTATTTTTGGAAATTGTAATGAATTATAATTAATATATTTGCTTAGAAATACTTCTAAATATTTGAAAATTGGTATTTTCTAGTTTTATAAATTTTAAATTTACGTGATTTATTATACAATGACTAAGTCATGTCAATGCTCATGATATGACTTCTACTCATGATGAAATTGATAGATAAATTTTAATAGTGTCCATTTTAGGCTAAGTTTATAAAACCTCATGTCTTCTTGGTAGTCTTCTATTTTGATAATAGGTGCTTCTATACATAGGAAGGGGATTTTGAATGGCATTTTGTCATAAGAAACTAAGAAAAAAAATCACTAACAATGTTTCTCTAAATTTGATGAGAAGAAATTTAATTATGTTTGATTTTATGCTTCTGCATCATGTCTAGAAGAAATCTAAATATTGAAGATGCCATCGTTGAAATCAGCTGATCATAATTAATTTTCAATCAAGATTTGCTCAACTCATTGTGGTGAGGAGAAAATCTAAATTTAATTTATTTATTTATTTATTAACAAATATAAATTCGAATGTTCAAAGATCATTGTGGTTGAACCTTTATAGATTCACATATCCACTATGCTTAAACAACTAATATAGTTCTTCTTGAAGGTCGGATACCATAACCCTCTATTGAAGACCCATTATTGTCATCACCTTTGATGCCCTCTTCCCTTCCTTCCTCCCTTCCTCTCTGGTCCTTCTTGCCATGGGAGTGTGCAACATTGCTTTCCTCTTTTTGGCTTATGCCCATCCCCATGCATGTCAACTAGAACTATGTAAGCCTTTATTTGCAATTGTACCATCTAATGGTGGCATCAACAACTATGATGGCCAAACTTGCAAGGACCAACTAGCCAATCTCCTTCGATTGGGCATTCCAAGGTGGTGCTAGCAAGGTAAAAAAGAGAAGGGGGCACAAAGTCAGACTAAGAAGCTGAGGATTCTTCCCAAAGGAGAAAGCTACTACGAATTCTAGAGGTTCTTGTACTTAGTCTCCCTTAAGTCAACTAGTCTTTAGAGCATGCCCAATGATTGGATGAAGTTGAGGAACAACCTATGCACAATGGAAGTGAATTGAATTAAGGCTACCATTGTTGATGGGAAATGTCCACAAGTGATTTGTGTCATAGGGCCATTGATGTGCATTTGTCGTTGTGCTTAAATGTATATTATCTAATAATATTTATAACTAAGACTTAATAAAATATTAGTATAGAAGTAAGTTTCAAGTCGAACATAGAGAGATTGATTAATCCATCATGAAAACTAATTTAATTTATATATATATAGTGATTTTTATATTTTATTAATTTTAATAGAAATAATAAAATAGAAGGATGAGGTGAGAAGAATAAAAGAAGAGAAGCGAAGAAATTGAGGAAAAAGGAGAGAGGAGAGAACTCTCACGAAATAGAGAGAAAGAAAGAGGAGAGAAATCTCACATGAGATGGAGAAAGAGAAACATCTCACGAGAGAAAGGGAGATCGATCGAGAGAGATGGAGAGAGAAGAAGAGGTCTTCCGAGAGAGGGAGAGAGAGAAATAAGATGACAATAAAGAATGAGAGAAATACGATCAGCCATGAATGTGTGCTTGAGAATTCACACACATGATATGAGGTCAGCCATGAATGTCTCCACATTATTTTAACAATTTAACAATCATTAAATAGCTTTTAATCTCACTAATTTTACATTTGAAAATAGAAAAATAACAATTATTTACATAACATTGTGAGCATGAATATGTCAAGATTCGACTACGAAAATCAATAGAAAATAAGTTGAAAATGATCTTAGCTTAGTCTCAGAAGAGTTTTGGAGGATTTAAAAGAAGAATGAATATCATTCATCAAGTTTTGAATTAGTTCTACTCATTTCTATTAGAACATACATAAAATAGAAATAACTTTATGTAAAATATAAATAAATAACAAAACTAAGTAAATATTGAAAGTAGAAAATAAGTCATTGTCAAAATTTAGTCTACCTCTAGGGTAACTGGAGACATCGGTGTGGTGACTTTATTTTGTCTGGACGTGCCGACCACCACGTCAGAAGTCACAAAAGTATTATCTGGAAGCATTGCATCCCTTGCCAAAGAAATCTGCCAAAAGGAAGAGTCGAACACAATATCACCGTCATCAGAAGGGAAGAGCTAACCACTCACTGAAGGCCTTGAATGTAGTCAGGGGAGGAAAGAATGAACTCGCCGATTGTTGAAGACGTTGATCGCATGAAAGGAGGGAAGAATGAATTGTTGTATTCACGGCTGCAGACGAGATTTTAAAGATAATTGATAATATCTATTTTACTAGATAATAATTAATTATTGTCTTTATATCCCTAATGATGATATGTGGGAGAACTTAAGTTTTTGATATTGTGGTGCTTCAACAGTCACTGGATTAAATGTGCTTAGTCACGTGGCACGTTGAACAACGTAGGATCAATCCGTCATGAACCACTACCGATCAAGAACTTAAGTCTTCGGTACCATGATGCCTCCTTAGCTGTTGATGATATTAAATATGTAGTAATAATTATATGTTTTTATGCTTTAATTAATTATTTATATTTTCATGAGCATGGTAATTATCACTTATTTATGATTAAAATGAAATAAATATGTCTTATTTATCTAGTCCCTATTTTGAGTATTTATTGACTTGTGAACTAACCCTACTTGATTCTTTTGAATCAAGTGGATTATTCTCACATTTTTCTTAGAGTTACATTGAATTTCAAGGCCTAGATAACTTGGATATTAAATGTGGAGGAGAGAAGCAGCCAACCCACGTTCAAGGCCCAACAAGAAAGGCCCAAATCTAAAATTAAGGAGAGGCCACACATCATGGGTTTCTCACTTTGAGAAATTAGGACCCCTATTTATATTCTCTTCCTCCCTCATTGTAGGGCATTGATAAGTCATCACTAACCATGTATAAACATAGATTATTCTGTCAAGTATGACTCATTTAGGACATGAAAATATAGGTCATCACGATATTACTACAATATTAGATACATGGATATTTATATACCTTTGATAAATTTCTCTTTAGTTGTGTTGGTTTTATGTCTTCCTTAGAAGATTTGATTTATATCATGTAACAAGATTGACAATCAACCTTGCTGCCTAATGTTTTGTGTTGAGGTTATGCTTTAGCAGGCCACTAGGTGACTGAGGACATCCATGGGTCCAGAAGAGGGGTTATGGGCCTAAAAGGAATTTTGGACCTTTGGCCCATAATCACTTAAAGAGGGCGTTCATAAGTGAAAGAAGATCCACCGTCCATTTTTACTTGAGGAGGAGAGGAGGAGCACTCATCCAATGGTGGAGATTAAAACTTAAAGAGAGACACACCATAAGGAGAAGTGATCCAAGGGAGGAGATTAAAAGATTGAAGACCTAATTTCCATCCAAGGGCCAAGATTTATTATTGGAGGCGTGAAGATCCAATGGTTTATTTTTAGGTTAAAGGGTGCAAAGCGTTTGGATCTCTTAACCTAATCTCTTGTAAGTGAGAGAGAGGGAAGGAGAGTGGGCAGCCACCCTATTTAAACATGTAATTACAAATTTTGTGGTTAGCTTCTATGGAATAGAACTTCAGGCAGCAGCTGTCCCATAAGGGTTTGAAGGGTTCCAAGCTCCTCATCTCGTGCTTAAGAGATGAGTTCATCCATTGATCCTCAAGTTCTTTGCCCTGAACGAGATTCCCTCCCATGGCTAACAATGATCGCCTCCTCTTGGTGAAAATAAGGATGGAGATGTGGTGATAATCAGGTTGGCTTCAAGGAAACTTATGATTTGGATGTTATAGATAAGATTTAGCTTTATTGGGTTCGTTCATATCACATAATCCCTGAGATTGTGTAATCATCTTCTTTTCCATCATCTATTATTTCTCATTGTCCATCATTTGCAACCCCATGCTCAAGTTTCTTCTTCTTATTTTCCCACATTCAAATCTTTGTCATCTCTAATCAATAACTGATTAAATTTACATCCTAATTTGCTGAGGAGACAACCTAACTCATCTTGTCTACATTCATTTTGGTGAATCAACATTTAATCGTGCATCTATATCTATATTCTGATTGAGCAGATTGAGGCCTAACGACACCTCCAATCTAAGACAATCTAATGGCACCATTGTTGGGGAATTGAGTGCTGTTAGATTTAATCTTCATTGTTTTAAGGTGATAATTCTTTTCATTTTTTGAGATTGATCATTAGTAGAGAAGTATTTTAGTGGATACAAGTTAGTAAAATCATTAGAACTTAAGAGATCAAGCTACGTGATCTGAAATCTTATCTTAAATCATACTTAAGAATTTGTTTAAAGAAATTGATTTGAAATATTATTCACGAAATTCTTGGTATTTTACTTTCTTTATTAAATAAATATTGTTTTAAGTGTTTAGCATGTCCAGCAATAAGGAATATATTTAAATGATACTGACTTTGTTGAATATCAAATTGAATTGGTGACATGTCTTGCAAAGTTTCAAAGTATTTCAGTACTTATTTGAATTAAATTATTACAAGCATTGAATTAAAGTTAATCATAATCTTTTTTCTCATTGTTTCAGGAAAAATTAATGACCTGATTTATCACTTGTTTTTATAAAAAAAAAAACGTAGCCATTTATTTTCTTGAGTTTTATTGAAAGTTAAATTCATGCACGAAAGAAGATTAGTTAGAAACACAGCACCTCTACCAAATTCAGGATGAGAAAACACCTCTCACATATAAGAGAATCCTAAGAATGAGAGAAGAGAAGAAGACAATTTAGAAAACAGTAGAAACGTAGAAGAAAATCCAAAAAAAGAGAGAAGAATGGATGAAAATCAATGGGAGATAGAAGAATGCGCTTAAAAGATCATTCAGCACCTCTCCAATATCGGCCAATAAATAGGATCAATGAACCTATAGGAAATGATGTTAATTTTTGAGTTGACCATCATCTGGTGCAGATGCTTCCACATTTTCATGGAATGCCTCATGAAGAACCATACAAACACTTAAAAGAATTCTCTCGTGTGCCATTTCTCACTACCCAAATGTTTCTATAGAAACTGTGAAGATGAGATTATTCCCATTTACACTTAAGGCTAAGGCCAAAGATTGGCTGCGTGCAGTAGCCCAAGAATTAAGTTCTTGGAGTGAAATGGAGGTAGTATTTTTTTAAAAAAATTATTATGTGGGTAAGACTAATTCAATTAGAAGAGAAATTAGAGATTTGTGCAAAGCCTGCAAGAATCGTTTTATGAAGCTTGGGAAAGAGTTAGGGACTATACTAGGCAATGTCCTCATCATGGCATTCAAAATTGGCAATTATTTCAATTTTTTTATGAGGGATTGAATGAGAAAGATAGGCATCTAATTGATGCAGCTTCTAGTGGAACATTTATGAATAAATATGAGGACGAAGCTATTGAATTAATTAAAACATTAGCTGAAAAAAGTGCACATCATTATGCCTTAAATCAAAATGGTAGGTTCATTGTTTTTGTCTAAGGAGAGCCTTTGAGGCTAAATCCTTCCGAACACAAAATTCTGATGATCGTCGCTGTAAAACTGGAGCTCTACCTCTTGAAGCTGTAGTCAAAACACAGTTGTCATCTTAATTTATAGTCAAAGACTTGTATGTATTTCAAATATCTCAATAAAATTCTTATTTCATGTGATGTAGGCTAGAATGTGACTTAATCGTTGTATAATAAATCACGCAAATTTAAAATTTATAAAACTATAAAATACTAATTTTCAGATCTTTAGAAGTATTTCTGAACAAATATATTAATTCTAATTCAATAAAAGTTTCAAAAATATTAGAAATTCTCTAGGTCGATCATAAGGATGTAATATAGTATCGAATAATTTTTCAGAATTGTTTTCGAAGAATATGAGTTTTTATGAATTTTATACTAAGAAAAAGAAATGAAATATATTTAAAATTCACAAAAAAGGAAAATAAGGGTGTGGATGTCATGATGACATCACCACCCGACGAAGTCGAATCAAGCAGAACTCTCGATTCTTATGTAAACAATTATAGATGATTTAATTGATCAAATTAAGATCTATAAAAGCCGAAATGATTGTAATGAAATGAAAAATAGTTTGGTAAATTTAAATCATACAAATTATCACTAAATGAAGCAAAAATTAAGTTGAAAGCATGAAAACAAAATTCCAACATTGTGCAGTGATAAGTCTTCATTATCATGAGTTAATAATTAGTAACTAATATAGTTTTAGCCTTAGCTCATGATAAATAGACTTATATTTGTGTTAAAGTGTGAAAAGTAGTTTTCAATTGATTAACGTGAACTTTTAGGTAATTATGTGATTTTCTACGAATTTATATGATTTTTATAGTCTTATTTTTGAGATAAATGAAGAAAAAGAAATAAAAATAAAAATATAGCAAAATAGAGGGGACCCGCCGGCCAGCCGAGTCTACAAGCGGATTGGAAGCACAGTCGGGGAGGAGCTGCGAGCAAGGGCTCGAACGACTAGGACTGATGGGGTGATAAGTCTTCATTATCATGAGTTAATAATTAGTAAAGAATATAGTTTTAGCCTTAACTCATGATAAATAGACTTATATTTTTGTTAAAGTGTGAAAAGTAGTTTTCAGTTGATTAACATGAATTTTTGGGTAATTATCTAATTTTATACGATTTTTACAGTCTTACTTTTAAGATAAATGAAGGAAAAGAAATTAAAATAAAAATGTAGCAAAATCAGGGGGACCCACCGGCCAACCGGGCCCGCAAGTGGGTCGGAAGCACAGTCGGGCATGAGCCATGAGTAGGGGCTCGAGCGGCTTGAACCGATGGGGGCACGTGTACGCCACTCCTCTTCCACGTCACCAGTGGCCAGCCGGCTGTGGGGCAAGGAGTGGTCGTACAAGCGCGAGAAATGGACTTTGCTTCGAAATGTAACATTACTATATATTCGCCCAAAAATTCGGCGCACAACCGATGTGGGACTAAACCCGTCACCTTCCTCAGAAAAGGCGGGGGGCAACCGGCGCGGGTTCGAATCCTCCCAGAGCCAAAACTCATATTTTTATCTGATTATCGCAACTTTCTTGCAGATCACCGGTGAAGGATTAAGCAACCAAAATCGCTAGATCATCGGCGAAAATCTCGTCAATGCGATTCACAGAGCATTGTTACTAAAATTGCTGAAGGATTCGCGATAAAAGGATCGTGAATCCATCGAGTAAATCATCTCCGATTGATCGACGAACAAGCCATCGTCGGGAAGAGGACGATCCGCCGGGAGACGAGTTGCCACCTCCTGAGAGCGTATCAGATGCGATGAAGAGCCTCCTCTTGCTGCGTGGACTTGAGGATGAAGCTCCCTGACATGCGCCTCACCTCCATCCAGCTCCTCTCCGTCAGGTGACAGCCGCCAGAGAACCGCAAAGTCGTCGTTTTTCCGCTCTACTAGGTGACAGCCGCCAGAGACGATTCAACGACCCATTTCATTGATCTCTAGACTTCGCAAGGAGATCTAGAGATTGCCCACGTCGTCTTTGTCCAAGGAGAGCCTTCGAGGCCGTGGACACTACATGACGATCCTCCCGAACGCTCAAGATTCTGGTACATCGTCGACGCATTGCCGCCGCGACGCCGGAACTCTGTTTTCTTACTTTCAACTTACTTTACGCTTCATTTAGTGATAATTTGTGTGATTTTTATTTATCAAAATATACTTCATTCAATTACGATTCTTCCAGCTTTTACACATCTTAATTTGATCAATTAAATCGTCTATAATCGCTTATGTAAGAATCACCAGGCAAAACTCTGTTTTCACCCGATTCACGTTCGCCGGGCGCTGACGTCATCTTGACGTCTACACCCTTATTTTTCTTTTTTTGTGAATTTTAAATATATTTCCTTTTCATTTCTTAGTATAAAATTTATAGAAAATAGTATTCTTTGAGTAAAATTATGAATAATTACCAGATATTATATTACATCCTTGTGATCGACCTGGAAAATTATCGCTATTTTTTGGAAGTTTTATTGAATTATAATTGATATATTTATTCATAAATACTTCTAAATATCTAAAAAATCATATTTTCTAGTTTTATAAATTTTAGATTTGTGTGATTTAATATACAACAACTAAGTCACGTCAGGCGCGTGTGCGCCACTCCCCTTCCACGTCACCGGTGGCCAACCAGCTGTGGGGCAAGAAGTGGTCGTACACGTAGGAAAAAGGGACTTGCTTGTAAATGTAATATTACTATATATTCGCCCGAAACTTCGGCACACAAGTACTGTGAGACTAAACCCGCGTCACACCTTCCCCAGAAAAGGTTCAATATTTTGAATACCTAAACTACCCCTTATTTCTAATAGAGAGATACCATGATGACATCATTAGATAAGCGCATTATAGTACATATGTCAATCTCTCTCATGTAGGCGGACAATTGGCGTGGGTTCGAATCCTCCTAAGAGCCAAAACTCATATTTTTTATCTGATTATCGTGACTTTCTTGCAGATCATCAGTGAAGGATTAAGCTGCTAGAATCGCTAGATCATCGACGAAAATCTCGTCAATGCGATTCACGGAGCATTGCTACTAAAATTGTTGAATGATTCACGATAAAAGGATTGTGAATCTATCGAGTAAAACATCTCCGATTGATCGACAAACAAGCCGTCGTCAGGAAGAGGTCAATCCACTAGGAAACGAGTCGCCACCTCCTGAGAGCGTACCAGATGCGATGAAGAGCCTCCTCTTGCTACGCAGACCTGAGAATGAAGCTCCCTAACACGTGCCCCACCTCTATCCAGCTCCTCTCTATCAGGTGACAGCCACCGAAGAGTCGCAAAGTCGCTGTTTTTTCACTCTACTGAATGACAGCCACCGAAGATGATTCGACGACCCATTTCATTGATCTCTAGACTTCGCAAGGAGATCTAGAGATTGCCCACGTCGTCCTTGTCCAAAGAGAGCCTCCGAGGCCATAGACACTACACGACAATCCTCCCAAACCAGGATTCCGGTGCATTGCTGACGCATCGTCGCCGCAACACCGGAACTCTGTTTTCTTGCTTTCAATTTAACTTTCACTTCATTTAGTGATAATTTGTGTGATTTAAATTTACCAAGATATACTTAATTCAATTACGATTCTTTCAGCTTTTATAGATCTTAATTTGATCAATTAAATCATTTGTAATCACTTACGTAAGAATCGCCAGGAAGAATTGTGTTTATGCCCAATTCGCATTTGCCAGATGTTGACCTCATCATGATGTCCGCACCCTTATTTCCCTTTTTGTGAATTTTAAATATATTTCATTTTTATTTTCTAACATAAAATTCATAAAAAATAGTATTCTTTGAGAAAAATTCTGAATAATTAACTAATATTATATTACATCCTTCTGATCGACTTGGAAAATTATCACTATTTTTAGAATTTTTATTGAATTATAATTGATATATTTGTTCAAAAATACTTCTAAATATCTAAAAAATTATATTTTTTTTAGTTTTACAAATTTTAAATTTACGTGATTTACTATACAACGACTAAGTCACGTCAGGTGGTGATACGTTGATGATGTACTGAAATTCTGAGTATTTGAGAGGATTATTGTGTAGTGTTCACTACCTCAAAAGCTCTCCTTAGATAAGGACGACATGAGCAATCTCTAGATCTTCTTGTGAAGTCTAAAGATCAGTAAAATAGGTCGTCGAATCATCTCCGGTGACTATCACCAGGCGGAGTAGAAAAATGGTAACTTTGTGGCTCTCCGACAGTTGTCACTTAGCGAAGAGAAGTTAAATAGAAGTGGGACACATGTCAAGGAGCTTCATCCTTAGGTCCACACAGCAATAGGAGGCTCTTTATTACATTTGGTACGCTCTCAGGAGGTGGCAACTCATCTCCCAGCAGATCGTCCTCTTCTCAACGACGACTTGTTCGTCAATCAATCGAAGATAATTTACTCGATAGATTCATATTCCTTTTATCACAAATCGTTCAGTAATTTTAGTAACAATCCTCTACAAATCATGTTGACAAGATTTTTGCTACTGATTCAGTGATTCTAGCAACTTAATCCTTCGCCGGTGATCTACAGAAAAGTTACGATTTTATCAAATAAAAATAAGAGTTTTGGCTCGAAGAGGATTCGAACCCCCCTCAGTCGCTCGCCTACATAAGAGAGATTGAAATAAATATTGTAATGTCTTTATAAAGTGACGTCATCATGATATATCTCTGTTATAAATAAGAGGTAGTGATTAAAATCTTTGAAGCCTTTTTGGGGAAGGTGTGATGCGGGTTTAGTCCCACATTAGTTGTACGTCAAAGTTTTGGGCCAATATATAGTAATATCATATTTCCAAGTAATAAGTCACTTTCTCTTGTGTGTACGACAACTTCTTGCCCCATAGTTGGCTGGCCTCTAGTGACGTGGAAGAGGAGTGGCGCGCACGTGCCCCCATCAGTCTATAGCCGCTCGAGCCCCCACTCATGGCTCTTCCCTGACTATACTTCCGACCCACTTGTAGACCCTTGGCTGGCCGGCAGGTCCCCCCTTTTTTTCTTTTCTTTTTTCTTCTTCTTCATTTATCTCAAAAACAAGATTATAAAAATCATATAAATTCATATAAAATCACATAATTAGCCAAAAAATCACACTAATCAATTAAAAATTATTTTTCATAATTTAATACAAATATAAGTCTATTTATCATGAGTTAAGGCTAAAACTATATTATTTATTCATTATTAACTCATGATAATGAAGACATCACCTCATGTGCTTTATGATTAAAAAAACTAATGACCAAAACAAATCCAACTACATTGAATGAGGGGTATAACTAGTATGAAAAAATTTCAACACTCTCTTGATTTATAAATGCATTATTAAAATTTAGATTAATCATATAACCTAATGCTAAAATTTAAATTTATTAATACTTTCAATAGATAACTTGATAGTAATTTATAAATTATGAGAAATAAGGATTATACTGATTGAATTTTATAGATGTGGTTGTCGTTCCGTAGATATGGTTACTTATGAAATGAAGTTAAGTTGATTTTATCTTTTGGATGTCAAATCCACATGTAGAGCCAAGTAATAAAGAATCTAATCTATGTAATCTTATATAAGATACTACAAGAGGCGTCCTAGAACGTCTCTAGTGCACAAGGTGATTTCTCTTCTGTTTCTTTCTTGAATTACAACCCCTTCAGTTGAGGATCACCTAATACTCATTTTTTAATACTCTTTTGTACTCATGATCCTCTATTTTTTCCTCTTCATGTGAAAAAGAAAATTATTAGAACTCCAAATTATATCTAACATTGCACAAAATTATTGATTCCTCTAGGAGTTGATGTCTCTTATTGATGTGACTTAGTTGTTGTATAGTAAATCACGTAAATTTAAAATTTATTAAACTAGAAAATATAATTTTTTGGATATTTAGAAGTATTTCTGAACAAATATATCAATTATAATTCAATTAAACTTCTAAAAATAGCGGTAATTTTACAAGTCGATCATAGGGATGTAATATAATATCAGGTAATTATTCAAAATTTTCCTCAAATAATATTATTTTTTCTAAATTTTATACTAGAAAATAAAAATAAAATATATTTAAAATTTACGAAAAAGGGAAATAAGGGTGTGGACGTCAAGATGACATCAGCACCCGACGAACGCAAATTGAGTGGAAATAGAGTTCTGCCCAACAATTCTTACGTAAGCGATTATAGACGATTTAATTGATCAAATTTAGATCTATAAAAGCGGGAAGAATCATAATTGAATGAAGTATATCTTGGTAAATTTAAATCACACAAATTATCACTAAATGAAGCGAAAAGTAAGTTCAAAGCAGGAAAATAAAAATCTGATGTCACGGCGGCGATGCGTCAGCGATGCACTAGAATCTTGAGCGTTCGGGAGGATTGTCATGTAGTGTCCACAACCTCGAGGGCTTTCCTTGGACAAGGACAACGTGGGCAATCTCTAGATCTCTTTACGAAGTCTAGAGATCAATGAAAGGGGTCGTCAAATCATCTCCGGCGGCTGTCACTCGGTGAAGCGAAAAAATGGCGACTTTGGGACTCTTGACGACTGTCACCTGACAGAGAAGAGCTAGATGGAGGTGGGGCGCATGTTAGGGAGCTTCATCCTCAAGTCCGCGCAGCAAGAGGAGGCTCTTCATCACACCTGGTATGCTCTCAGGAGGTGGCGACTTGTCTCTCGGTGGATCGTCCTCTTCCCAACGATGGCTTGTTCGTCGATCAATCGGAGATCCTTTACTCGATGGATTTACGATCCTTTTATCGCGAATTGTTCAACAATTTTAGTAACAATGCTCTGAGAATTACGTTGACAAGATTTTCGTCAATGATCTAGCGATTCTGGTGGCTTAATCCTTCACCGGTAATCTGCAAGAAAGTCGCAATAATCAAATAAAAATTATGAGTTTTGGCTCTTGAGAGGATTCAAACCCACGCCGATTGCTCGCCTACATGAGAGAGATTGACATACATACTCTAATGCCCTTATCTAATAACGTCATCATGGTATCTCTCTGTTATAAATAAGGGGTAGTTTAGGTATTCAAAACATCAAACCTTTTCTAGGGAAGGTGTGACGCGGGTTTAGTCCCACATCGCTTGTGCGCCGAAGTTTCGGACAAATATATAGTAATATTACATTTGCAAATAAGTCCCTTTCTCCCGTGAGTACGACCACTCCTTGCCCCACAACCGATTGGTCACTAGTGACGTGGAAGGAGAGTGACGCATACATGCTCCTATCGGTCCTAGTCGCTCGAGCCTCTACTCACGGCTCCTCCCTGATTGTGCTTCCGACCACTTTGTGGGCCCAGCTAGCCGGCGGGTCTCCCCCATTTTGCTATATTTTTATTTTTATTTCTTTTTCTTCATTTATTTCAAAAGTAAGACTGCAAAAATCATATAAATTCATATAAAATCACATAATTACCCAAAAAATTACGTTAATCAACTAAAAACCACTTTTCACACTTTAACACAAATATAAGTCTATTTATCATAAGTTACGGCTAAAACTATATTATTTACTAATTATTAACTCATGATAATAAAGACTTATCACTTATCAAGAGAAACATATTGTAAACACATTCTCTATTCTTGAAGGGAGCTTATCTTGCATTCAAATATTTATGATATAATATGTAATTAGATGTTTTTGAGCATTAATCTTGTTTACATTCTATATATCTGTAGCTAGCCTCTTATAGAATCAATATTTTGTGATTATGTTAAAAATAATAAATGTACATCAATGTTCTAATTTTATGGATCTAACCATTAATAATTATGATTTATCACTTGAAGGATAATCTAGAGCTTATCATTAATTGTCAAAATGCAACATACTTCCATGCATGGAATGTCATTTAGTTACAACTTTGAAAATATGCCCAATTACACATTTTCCACCATCAAACTATGGTCAATATTATCCTTAACGTGTGTAAATAAATTTGCTTCCTATAAAATTTTTCAGGTTAGAAAAATTCCCACATAATTGTGATTGGCTTCACTACACGATTTAGTTCACCATTTAAAATAATGAGGATTAAATATTATAAATTTAAAAAATTTCAAAAGGTGGAAAGAAACTGTCTAAGTTATGGATAAAATTTGAATAAGGTTTTTTACCATTTAATTATGTCCAATCAAACATTTTACACCATCATAATGTTTGTAAACATCATGAACATGCTTTAATTTTCAAAAGTAGCAGCATGATCTATGTTATTTTATTCTCATATAAATTACCTTAATGATTTAGTCTGCCATTTAAAAATATCATGATTAAAGATCGTAAATTGAATAACCAAGATCATAAAAAGGTAAATGGTGGAAAGAAAATGTTTAAGTTCACAGTATAACAACCAAGTGAGATACAAAAAGAAAATTGGTCATTACTAAAATCATTTGATGCCATTTGGATGTCAATGACATTATTAACAAAGTATCAAGAGGCACATTAGATCCATTTCTATATTTATTTTTCTAGATCTCCAAGCTCCCTACAAGAAAATCTCTCTTTGAGTGATTTCCTACATATTTCTAAGATATTAAGATAAAGGAGTGGCTATCACTAAGGAAACAAACTTATAAGATTTCATCACTGGTCTGATAAAATTCACTACATGTAGAAAGGAAATCCTTGAGAATATGATTCTAGAAGATTGAATAAGAAGTAGGTTATACTTGGGAAAAAGTCTTATCAAAATCAGCATGTAATAAATACCTATAATCTAGCATAATCAATGAAATTGTCATAACAAACTTATTAGATGAATCTCACAATCAGATCATATTCCATAAATGATTCTAGAAATAATCTCACCATCAAAACATTCCTCTTAAGGAAGAAAATCAAGTACAATATCCCATAAGATAACCTTTCTTATTTCATTATGTGGATAGACATGTATATATGCTTGATGGGTGTATACTGATTTTCCTGTGCATTATTAAAGTTTCAATATGGAAAATCATGAAGGATGCCATCAAGTACAAACAGGAGAAACGATCGGAGAGTCATTCACAAGGAGCAGCTATAAAGGGGTAATGCGACCTTCTGGTGGTAAGTGGACTGTGGAGCTCATTGATCCCCTCAAAAATAGGTATCATTTAGGGGCCTATAATAGTCTAGATGAGGCTACTACTATCTACAACAACATTGCTAGTGAGCTGTCTCAAAAGGCTGAACCTTCAGCATCAAGGAACCTACATGACATGGACTTGGTGGAGTACCTCGAAGCACTCAAGGTCATCAAGAAGCAATGAGAATAGAAAATTATTTCTTATTTTTTGTCACCACCTGAATAATGTATCCACAGGATCGTTTACGAGTGAAATACAATTATAATTCTTTATCACAATTCTTACAGGCCATCACTTAAGCCCATTACATAGGATATTTTATAGTTCAATGTGAACATAAGCTTTGTCAATCTTCTTTATTTTATCAGATATTAATATTCCAGATATCGATGTTTTTCAAGGTTATTGATCTGATTATTTGAAGTCATAAAAAAAAAATCAATCATGGAAGCTCTATACCATGGATGAACTTTATGCAAAGTAATTTTATGATTTCACTATTCACATTTTATTATTATTTATATTTAGCTACCATAGATGGTAATATTGATATATACCATGAGCCTATATTGAAGGATTTTTCTAAATATTAATAACTATTAGCATGTTTTGAAACCTTATTTTAGCACGTATATCGGGGGGTCATGTTCTATTGACGAACAGGCTGATGGGAATCCCACATATGGTAAGTCTGCCTGCTTCTCTCCCGTTCTCACTTAGTTCTGATCCAATATCCTTCTATTCTTTCCTTTCTTCCCCAATATTAGAAGAGTTTTGATGGGAAGTTCTCATATTCGATCATCCTCCCCTTCCCCTCTTTCGTCCAGTTCGTGTTCCTCCCCTTCCCCTTCCCCTCTCAGATTCGATCCTCCTCCCCTTCCCCTCTTCCCCAATATAAGATATATTGTTAATTTTAAAAGTCTGAAGTTAAAATACTTAGCGTATTTTTTTATTATTAAAATACAAAGAATAAAATATAAAAAAATCTTCTATCTATTAGCAAGTTGGCACTTGGAAGCTGACTCGAAGGGGGGACAACAGTCGAGCGGGTAGACCCAAACTAGGGGAGCCACGAGCTGGGCTCAAGTGGCAAAGGCCTCACTCTGCACACATGTGCATCACTCCCCTTCCATGTCCGGGTGACCAACCAGTCGTGGGGCAAGGAACACATGTACACACGTGCGCATGCAAGGGTAGACCACCTTATTGCCTTCTCCCAAGATGGTCTAGACATTATTTTATTTGGGGAGAGGGGATCTCTGTTGAGAGAGAGAAACTTTAATTTATATTCAACTTAAACAATGACAAACTTCCGATGAGTGACTAACCATTTTCGTCAGTTTCAACACAACAATCTAGAGCACAATATAATTCAGCAGTATTCAATGAGTGATAACATGATGATTATGACATGAAAGGCGTAAATCTTATAATATAGCATGTTATCATATTAAAAATAAACATTTATTATTTCTTTGAGTATTTCATGAAGTTTAATATTTTAGAGAATTTTTTTCGAATTTTTATTTGAGTTTTATAGTCATAATTGATTTTTTATTAATATGAGAGAATTTTAAGAATTTTTTATATCTTTTTATGATTTTTAGGAAGCCAATATATGCCTCGACAGACAAGATCTGATCTATGGAAATGAGATGATAGAATTAAAGGTTGAGGTGTTGACATGTGGCATCATCAAATGAGGATATCGAAAGCTGTCGAGAACATCCACAAAATCAATGGTAGATGGAGCATACTTACCGAGGGTGCAACAGATTGCAACTTTTGAGAAGATCCTACAGCTACGAATAAGACTTCCAAATCCAATGGTTCAGATCAACTCAAGAAGAAACAATTTTTGCCTAATCTTATCCTAGCCAAAAGGACAAAAATGCCCTCATTTAATCACAACCCTACACATGTATTCCCAACCTCTTGTGTAAACCTGTACACATTTAAGCTACTGTTTAAGGGTAGAGGAACTTAACTTCGAATGCCCCGACATTTCGTTGGCTCACGTGAAACAACATTGAGGTTTCACATCAAATTTTGATGCGTTTTTTATTGATTTAAGTGTGGATTCAAAGTGTAGATCCCTAGAGAGGCTACTCGAAGAAGAAAACTGCCTGGTCTTGACAATGTTGTACTCTAGTTTTCTTTAATAAGGACCAAAAATGATAATTATTAAGATGACTCCCCTCATCACTAATGATGGCTCTTGGACAGCCAAACCTTGAAAAGATATTTTGCTGAATGAATTTGAGTACTATTTTATGATCATTAGATCTAGTAGGGATTGCTTCTACCTATCTAAACATGTAATCGACATCCATAAGTTGTGCGAGAACTTATGTCAACACATACACTCACACATAGAAAATAAAATAAATCAAAAATTATAGTAAACTAATTCATCCCTTTTCCCCCTCCCCCTCTTCATGTTTCGCCTAGCCATATCGAACCCTTCAAAAATGAATTGTGATGTTCATGATGTGGCTTTTATTCCTTTTGAGTAACTCATAGCTTGTAGTATAATCTGGTGGCGAACGGGACCCATCTCCACCACTGCACAAGCTTGAGCCGACAAAGGAGACCCCGCCCTTACATGTCCAATCAGATCAAGGAGCACAAGTGAAGACGAAGGACCCCAAGTTCCGCTATACAGCATGAGGTGCCTTTATGTTTTCCACATCTTATGTTTCCCTTCACTCGTTTCCCTTGTCCATGAACTGTGTGGGTTCTAGTTTTGCTCCGTGTGGGGCGTCCCATACCTAGGGTCTGTGTTGGGCCCATGGCAGGGATGGGAAAGCCCATTTCCCTTTGTTTTCTTTTCTTTCCTCTCTTCTTCTTTCGGGCCATATGTGTTTGGGCTCAATTGGAGAAGGGGGCGTCCTTCTTTCCCTCGCTTCTCTTCTCTTTTGGGCCATTCTCGTCTGGGCCCAATTGAAGAGGAGGGCCCATTTTGGACTCTGTGTGTGTTCCTTTTTGGGGCTTTGGCGTCTTGGGCCTCAAGCGTGGCCCTCCACCCTTGACCCATTTGGGGCCTACATTAGGGGTGGAGAGCCACCCCCAAGAGACAAAGCCATCATTTATAGGAGAGCGTGTTTTGATTGAGAATCTCGTTCAGAGAGGATAGGAGAGGAAGGGGGCGCCGCCAGGTCGCAGCCGCCGCTACCAAGCCGTCAGCAGCCCACCGCGCCGCGCCAGGTCGCCGTCGCCGCTACCAGCGATCAGCAGCCCGCTGCGCCGCCGCCAGCGCGCCCGTCGCGCGGCCGTTACAGCGCCTCCGCGCGCACGTCGCGCGCCACCGTGCCTGCCCCTCGGAGCTCGCCATTGCGCCTGACCAAGGGCGCCCACCTGAGCGCTCCAGCCGCTTGGCCGTGCCCCTTCCTCCAGACCCCGTCCGAGCCCATATTGCTGAGGCTAGCCGAGTTCTCAGCCGACGCCCACCAGATGTTCGACGATTTGCCCCAGAGAGCGCCAACCTCACCAGAACGCCTTTCTTCAGGTCAGCTGTGCGCCCTGTCGCACACCAACCGGGCCTCAGCCCCGCAGGTTAGCTCTTATCCCCTTTCCACCGAGTCATTTACTACGTTCAGTATCTTCTCGCACTTGCTCCACGTCGAGTCTAGCTAGGTTAGAACGGATTAGGACTCTCCACTGTGCGATTCTGACGCACGCGCCAGAATTGTCACGTTGGTCGTCAAGCACTTGCGATGGAGCCGCTTCGACGCTACTAAGCCCTCGCCTTTTGGACATAGACTTGGAGGATCATCCTGCATCAGCACCACTTGGTGACGCCCAGACGCGATGGATCGTCGGCGTCACGGCACTTCGGCTACTGCCTGCACTTAGTTGAGTTCGGCATTCATCATCTAGAGTCCCTGGTTAGCATTATTCGTGGTGTATAGGGTTCCCTTCCTTTGTTATCTCACCCACATTTAGTTGTCAGGGCGGGTTTACAAGCCCGTCCTGCATCATAACCATTCAGTAACGATCTCAAACTTCAAAAGTTCCATAGTTTGACACTTTTATAAATGAATGTCCTTATTTACTCCCTTAGTCATTTGAATATGTTCAAAATAAAATAGTCTCTTGAATATCTCTTTACTAGTTGAAATGAACATGGATATATATTTTTGAATTTTAGGATACATAATGATGAACTATGAATTCTTGTCTTTTGAGCTCTAGCACCACATGGTGCATAGCATAACATACCAAATAGTAAATTCAACTTTATTTTAATTTTGATGACGTACATTGCACTTGCTCTTATCATTAATCTGAAAGGGTTTTAAGATGTTGAAAATGTTTCACTATTTTGAACAACTGTTGGAAGAATCCTGAGCTTAAAGTATTCAGTATAATTTTTGTTCTCGATATGTTTCACACATGAGTAGATGAAATTTTGAATGTGCAAAAAGCAAGATTAATCTACAACTGAAATTTTGGGGATTTCATTTTGACACCCTGAATTCATTTTTAGGTTAGTGTTTTAAATTCTTTGTTTGGTCCCATTTCTATGGTGGTAAGATATCATGAGATGCATTTTATGTGCCCTTGGGAGTTAGAGACATTATAGGATGGTTTCAAACAGATTATGATTTATAGTGTCCTCTAGATCTTTTCTTAATTTATTTATATCATAACGTGACAGTGTGTGAGCCTTATATTAGACTCTTAAGTCACTCAAGGGGCTTACAGTACACAACTGCATTTCAAATATGTGAAGCATTTAATTCTGATGTTTACAGGCAAACGACTGAAATCAACCTTCTTAGTCATTGTCTTAAGAGACATCAAATGTAAAAATTTATAAAACAGAATTCACGTGAAGATAAATCTAGTAACCACATTGAATTTAGGTTGAATCCATAGGGAAGATAACAAATGAGGTAATAAAATATGTTCACACACTATTTATTCGTTAAAATAGGTCATACTTCTAATTGTCAAGTGAGACTAGCCTATACAAGAATGAGGTAATAATGTGTTAATTAATAAGAGAACTATTGAAGAAAAATATGAAGAGGAAGAAATGTGAGATTTTATCCTTTTTAGATAATCTTAAATATATTCATCAATTTGAAGAGGACTAACATGACAATAGGGTTGAGATTATTTTAAAAACTTATATACGACACAACACAACTAAGAAGAAATCCTAATGCACCTACCAATAGACATGAGCCAAGATTACTAATAGAAGCAATAACAAGAAATATAAACAAAGTAGTCTAGCTTGTGATGCCACACCATCACCTTGATTCTGAAAGATGAACAAGGTTTGGAAGGTTAAACAATCTATCAATAAAATGTACAAAATGAAAGTTGCAAAGCATTATAATTGGCTCATGTCAACCCAATTATAAGGTACAAGTAACTTGGATTAATAGAAATAATAATGTAATTCATAATCAAGAAGAAGAAGAAGAAGAAGAAAAAGAAGAGACTCTAGCCAAGATCTTGGATTACCTAGTCAATGAGGAGCACCACAATCATCCTACAAAAAAGCATCTTCATGACCATGCTAACAACTTGTGGATAACCTTTAATATGTCATCGGGTCAATCCTATTGGGTCCAAGTTTTACTAAAATTTCAGAAAAATGAAACAAATTAAATTAATTTATCTGATATATCTAAATTACCATCACAAATATCTTGGATGGATGTAATCTCAGGAGAAGAGCTTCACAGGGTTAGGACCGAACTTACCTCGGTTCTAGCCTCGGACAGGCCTTGGTCGCCCTCATCAGCACCAACCAGCCTTCATTCTCGCGGAAACAGGAATAGTCAACACAAGGACTCCGCGAAGCTGGGTCAGAAGAGTAAGGCCCGTAACAAAGAACCCAAGGTCTCCCATACGAAAATCCATGAATAGATGTTACAGTATCGGAGAAATGAGTATCTGACCTGAGAAGGCTTGGCTGCGACCGTATTGCACAGAGGAGAATTGTGGGTAACTGCTTGTTCTCCTCATCTGTTCCTCCTAAGCGAGAGGGATCCGGCTGCGTGAGGATTTCGCAGTTTTCTAGGTCGGCTCCGGCTCTCGCTCCTTGGCGAGAATCAATCAGCGCGACGGGAGCTGCCGTGGGTTCAGCCGGCTCGAGGTTTCCTCTTCTGGATCGCATACCTGTCCTCTCCTCCCGCTCTCACCGCTGAGTTCCTCTTTCTGCCAAATTTTTTATATTTTCTTCATGTCATTGATTTTCTTGGCATTCTGTATGGCACATAACATCTCGCCGGGAGAACGATGTTGCTCATATCTTCGTCTCTAGTGCACCTCTGCTTTCGATTAAACTCTCCTTGAAATCTAGCGCCAGAGATTTGCCCTGTGAATGGAAAGAGTGCGTGTATTTCTTGTTCGGTCAGTTCGATCATATCCGTTCTGCAGAACTTAGCGGAAGATTTGCACCCCTAGGCCTGCCTACGTCCATGGAAGATACTGAAGAGGGAGATTTCTGTATCGGTCACCCTTTAGTTTCCCCTGCGTTCCAGTCTCAGCTGTCGAGGCCTGAGTCTGCTTCTGGGGTTCGCTCAGCTTCCTTTGTCTTAGTCCTGTGAAAGTTCTCAGGAGAAATCCTGCCCGATCGGCGTTTATGATCTTGCAGTTTATTTGATGGTATGATTCCGCGATGTGAGGTTAATGCGTTGTGGTATCCCTTCTCGTCCATCATTTCTCGCCAAATCTGCTACCATTGTTGATTGTTGATCTACATCCTACTGCCTTGCCCAAGTAGAGCAGAAGGAAAGTTAGGATGTGTGATCATCCCTCTCCAAGCTATTCTTCCCATTTGCCACTCTCAAGCCCTCTATTTCTTCCCTCCTTCCCTTTCTTCCTTTCACTCTCTGAGTTTCTTGGGACCTGATTACCTTCCTGGATCATCGTACTCATCTTAGTTCTTTTTAAGAATTACAGGACATGGAAGTCAGTTCGGCGGCAAGAGAGGAGGGTGATGAGAGAGAACAGGATGAGGAGGGGGAGGAGGAGGAGGGAGAAGAAGAAGAAGAAGAAGAAGAAGAAGAAGAGTTTCTTTTCCTTGACTTGGACGACGTTTATGAACATGCCCATATACCAGAAAATGTACCATATGTGCTCTCTGTGAGTAACCAGCTCTCATGCTTTCTTGTTGGGATAATTTACTAGCTTCAGTTGCATGGAGCTATGAAGTCATCCTTCCTGTTCATCACATTCCAAGTTTTTTTTCTTTCGAACTCCTTTCTTCATACTCTCTTGGGCTGATGATGAGCTCGATCCCTGGGATAATATAATGGCTTCGATAATTTTGATTAATTATAAAATGGAATTCAATCATCATTTATGATGTTACGTTTAAAATAGCTTCATTGGGAGGCTAATAATGGATTCGATCTTCCGATTCTCGCAGGGTCTGGACACTCTGAATCCTCTGCTGATTATCGATGACAATCTGAAACTGGTAAGTACTTCCTTTATCTTTAAAGCTCGATACCTTGGGGGGGTGGGGGGGGGGGGGCTTCTCAAATGCAGACTTGTTGAAGTAAATACAGCTTTTGTAATAACCTGATCATGATGAGGAAGTTTATTACTCCTATCATCCATAGTTTTCTCAAACTCATGAATTGCTGGATAAAAATTGATATATTGTTTATGAACGCTTCTGACCTTATGTATTCTCCGGAAGAAGTCAACTCCTGCATCCTTCTCTGATCAGCACTCTGTTTTTGGCATCAACTGTGATCATGGCCCTCCTGGATGTTGACTGGGTGTGTTATTTTGACTCTCTGGGTCGATCGTATGGTGTATAACGGTTTAATTGAATGGTAAAGTTTTAGCACTGGGGATGTCATATCTCCTACTTACCACTATACTAATTATTGGATATCTCCTTCCCCAACAGATTGGAAAATACGAAGAAACCGTTGGCACATGCTATATCTTTTCTGAAACCGGTGAGTCTGCAATTTCCTCCGCCTATGCTCTAATATTAACAATCGTATTCAGAACAGAATGATGAGAGAAAAATATCTCGCTGAGAAATCTTGGTTTGAGATCAATTAATCTAAGATCTGGTAAGTTTCGTTGGGGAAAGAGCCTAGTCTAATCCCTCCTCCATTTGTTCTGGCAGAGAATTCAACGGCCCTGGCCCACCAAGAAACTGGACCATCTGAGGCGAATCTCTTCAAGGACAAATCCATTGTGGGCCATAATCAATCCCCATGCCGACAGGTGAAGCCCCTTGGGGGCCTCAACAAGGTTCTGAAGTTCAGGATGGCAACTGAAGAAGAATTTCAGCCACCAGCAGCCAGGAAGAAAGATACCCATTAGCAGATCACCAATAGTTGACTTGGGAGAAGATCATGGACGATGGAAGAGAAGATATGACCGGGTTAATGCCCCGTCAGAGTTGCACCAGTGATGGAATCAAGCTGGTGGGGAGTTTTGAGGATCAAAAATAACACCGAAGAACAAAATTATAACGTCAGATTCTTTTCTTTTTTCTTTTTTTTTACAATGCATCAGGATCACATAAGGCTTGACACAGGTACATGGGAGATTGACCACCGTTTGCTTTACCTGTGCTCATCAGCACACTTTTGGACCAGATCATGGAAGATGGAAGAGAAGATGCGACTGGATTGATGCCACATCAGAGTCCCCCCAGTTGAGCTGAGGAATTTTGACGGCCCAGAGAACAAAATTATACCATCAAGATGGTTTCTTGGAGGGGCTGTTTAGGTCTCCATTTGCCAAAATTGTAGTTTGAAAATGCTCTTTCTCCTCAGCGTACTAATTTTTCAATGGATCTCTTGAGTTGATCATGGTTTCCACTAGCCATCAGAAAATTTGAAAGCAAAGGCATCATCTTGCCTCTGTTAGGTTTATGGCTCTAGTGGGGGGCCAATTTCTCTCGATGCTTGGTTATTGATTCAAGGTTCTTAGAAGCAAAAATTAGAGAAGCCATACTTGCCTCCTTTTGATTCATGGCCTTGGGGGGCTAGTCACCAGGATCTTGGTACTAGTTTCTTGTTCTTCATGGCCTTAGAAAAGCTTGGGTGCTCTCCCAAGTACTCACCATTAAAATGGTTTCCTACCAGCAACAGGAGGCCTCACAGAGAAACAAAATCGAAATTTAGGCTTATACCGTCAAAAACAAAGCTTTAGTGCAGCATTGGAGAGCACGAGCATTGATTCGGAAGCCTCCATCTGCTGGGGGCAGCATCCTTGACTTGCTTGGAGTAGATCAAAGCTAAAATCAGGTTTCAACTAATAATGAGTTGTAGATTTTATGGAGATGTCCAAAAATGAGGCAAAAGGGTTATCTATTGTTTCCTTGTTTTCCTACCATCGCATAAGCATGCATGCATTTGTTAGCGATCTGCCTTCCATAGCGCGCCATGCGTGATGCCGATGTTGCCTATGCATTTATATGTGATTTCTTTTCAAATGTAATATAAATATTACAAAATTCTACAACATCAAAAAGCCAAACTTTGTTCTAGAGATTTTGTGGTTAGTAGAGTTTAAATATTTCGGAAAAAACAAACTACAAATGTCATTTGCATGCAATTTATTACTCAATCTCTCTTCAAAGTTTTCTTAGGTGCGATTAGTTTTCTTACTTCATTTATGATTTAATGATTCCTCTTTGTGAAAAAAATGTAAAGCCCTAAGTATTACTTCACTATAATGATGTATAAAAATAATTTTTTTTTTCTGAAGAGAAAATTTGCACAAAAATAGAAATGGACATAACGTTGACATTATGTGATCCCTCTCTCTATTTATATATTAATGCACATTCAAAGATTTTATTAAAGAAGATGGAGGAAACTTAGGATCACATTTCACTATAAAATATCATATCAATTGGCTTCATTGAGAAATTATAACTAAAATCTCATAAGAACCAAAACTTGACTAATAGAATAAATTTACAATGCATTTGATTGATTAACATGGCATGAATACATTTTCCAGGTGATGACAAAGAATAACAACAAGTCTGCTATTCTTATAGATTCTTGATGACTCTTAGTACTCGGAGGTACTCCACCAAGTCCATGTCATGCATGTTGCTTGATGTTGAACATTCAGCCTTTTGGGAAAGGTCACCAGCAACATTGTTGTACATAGTAGCAGCCTCATCTAGAGTATTAAAGATACCTAAATGGTAGATGTTCTTCACGGGATCAATAAGCTCCACAGTCCACTTACTAGAGGAAGGTCGCATTACCCATTTATAGCTCTTGCCTCTTGTTGATGATTCTCCAATTATTTCTGCTGTTTGTACCTGATGGCATTCTTCATTATTTTCCATGTTTAAACTTCAATAATAGAGAAGAAAATGAGGATACATTCATCAAGCTTATATATATATGTATGTCAAAGAAATGAAATTAGAAAGGTTATCCTTTGTGATATTCTCCTTGATTTTCCTTCTTAAGAGGAATGTTTTGATAGTCAAAGGTGCACTTTCTAGTTTCAAGGAAGTGCACCTTTCTAATTTACATAGTGCACCTTTGACTATCAAAACATTCCTCTTAAGAAGGAAAATCAAGGAGAACATCACAAAGGATAACCTTTCTAATTTCATTTCTTTGACATACATATATATATAAGCTTGATGAATGTATCCTCATTTTCTTCTCTATTATTGAAGTTTAAACATGGAAAATAATGAAGAATGCCATCAGGTACAAACAGCAGAAATAATTGGAGAATCATCAACAAGAGGCAAGAGCTATAAATGGGTAATGCGACCTTCCTCTAGTAAGTGGACTGTGGAGCTTATTGATCCCGTGAAGAACATCTACCATTTAGGTATCTTTAATACTCTAGATGAGGCTGCTACTATGTACAACAATGTTGCTGGTGACCTTTCCCAAAAGGCTGAATGTTCAACATCAAGCAACATGCATGACATGGACTTGGTGGAGTACCTCCGAGTACTAAGAGTCATCAAGAATCTATAAGAATAGCAGACTTGTTGTTATTCTTTGTCATCACCTGGAAAATGTATTCATGCCATGTTAATCAATCAAATGCATTGTAAATTTATTCTATTAGTCAAGTTTTGGTTCTTATGAGATTTTAGTTATAATTTCTCAATGAAGCCAATTGATATGATATTTTATAGTGAAATGTGATCCTAAGTTTCCTCCATCTTCTTTAATAAAATCTTTGAATGTGCATTAATATATAAATAGAGAGAGGGATCACATAATGTCTACATTATGTCCATTTCTATTTTTGTGCAAATTTTCTCTTTGGAAAAAAAATATATTATTTTTATACATCATTATAGTGAAGTAATACTTAGGGCTTTACATTTTTTTCACAAAGAGGAATCACTAAATCATAAATGAAGTAAGAAAACTAATCGCACCTAAGAAAACTTTGAAGAGAGATTGAGTAATAAATTGCATGCAAATGGCATTTGTAGTTTGTTTTTTCCGAAATATTTAAACTCTACTAACCACAAAATCTCTAGAACAAAGTTTGGCTTTTTGATGTTGTAGAATTTTGTAATATTTATATTACATTTGAAAGAAGTCAACCTCAGCGAAATTTCAAGAAAATAAGTATTTGACTAATTTTTAACTTTAAAATGATATTCTAAGAAATTAAATCATTTCAATAAAGTTGTCTCTTTTTTCATAAATTACATATCTTATCATTTCATAAATCATTTACATAAATTACATATTTCAATAATGTATTTGTCTCAATTAATGAAGAAGACATGGAAAAGAGAAACTACATGTTTTTTGAATTATGAGGCATAACTCACTATGCAAATTATCATTGTGTTGTACACGATATGCATTCATAACTATGTCGGGTGTGTTTTTATTAAATATTTCTTTCATTTACACAAAAATGATTTAAATAAATTTGTATCTACATCACTTTATATATTTCTCGTCTATGTAGGCATTATTTTTGTAGCATAAATCAAATAAGTAAGCCACAGTACCAAACATTTCTAATTAGTAGCAGTCAAGATGAAACCTATCATGTTGTGTATTAAAGTTTTTATAATTAATAGCTGCTTGGTACATAATTTGAAGAAATACACGTTCTTTATTTTGTCATCTAAAGAAAGAAAGTCTATGCGAATTTTAATAAACCCTAATAAAGGAGTTTTGAATCATTAGGATGCAATCATAATTGTAATCAGCACATTAAAATTATTAGGATGCAATCATAATTGTAAGATAGAGTCATTGGTTTAGGAATTTTGATGCTAAAAAATAATGATAAAATGAAAAATTAATCATAAATATGGCATTCTTGTACTAATGCTGAAATGAGAATCTAAATTATCAGATCTAGTCCATTCATTGATTCCTTATGTCTTTCAACCAAAATATAGTGAAAAAAATCATTGAGAAAGATATATAATAGAAAAATGTCAGATTCAACACAAGAAAAAAATTAGAATATATTTCCAAGATGTTAAATTGTAAGAAATGATGATTAGATAAAAAATACTAGAACTTTGAAGTACAAGTATTATTTTCAACAAATAAAATGATCAGTTCTATAATAAGTTGAGTGAAGTGTAGAAAATAAGATTAATATTCAAAGACGTTCCATTACATTTAACATGATATAAATTTGAATTCTGGATAAATTACCTTGAAGAATAAAAAATGTGTGGGAAATAGGTTTCTCTTCATAAGTGATATTGACTTGTAGAAGATTAAAAGACTTTTGTGTTAATGTTAGACATAATTTGAAGGATTTCTGCTAATTTTGTTGTAACACTAAAAGGAAGAAATTCAGGAACATGAATATAAAGTAGTGTTAGCAATTAGGACGAACAATCTTACCATAATGCTTGAATCAGGCAATTGTAATTTTGGGAAGAAAGAGAAGTGAAGGGTAGCATCTTGTGTGCTAGAAACATTCTATGACTGGTGTCTTATATAAGATTGTGAGGTAAGGCATATAAATAAGATTATATGGTACTTGGCTTATATGTGGATTTGATATCCAAAAGATCTGATCACGTCATTAATGTACAATTCAACTCATTATTAATGTCCAAAAGATCCAATCGGATGCATCATTAACATCCTTTCATTAACGACAATGGTATCTTTACAATTCAATGCAAATAACCCCTATTTCCCAAAGTGTCATAAATTACTATTAATTTGTTTTATTAAAAGTACTTTTAGTTTTAAATATTAATATAAGTTCTTAGCATCAAGATGTTTTCTTGGATTTCATTCACCAAAAATTTACTCTAAGATGTCTTTCTCTTCAATGTAATTAATTCCTCATCGGGTCTGTAGAGTTGATCATCATATTAAGGACTTGGGTTGAATTGCCAACTTTGGATTTTTGATGTGGTCATACTTAGATGTTTCATTAAAAATACCACCTTAGATCTAGTAAGGAATTGAACAACTTAAATGCAGGAATTTTTTTTTTTTGAAGTACAAGCAAAAGTAATGTTTTTGCAAATGTAGCACCAGGTGAGGAAAACTTAAAACTTCAAAATCATATTTTCTTGCATGAATTTTCAAATTTCGTTTACACATTGAAATATAAAATCTTAAAAACTTTAACATTATAAATTTAATAAACTAAATGTAAAAACATTACTCAAAAAATTAGAATCTAAATAAGCATAAAATATAAAAAATCATAAAAAATAAACGTAAAATCAGGTCTTGAAAAATGTATGGATAAGAAATCGAAGATTAAGGTACACTCAGTAATAACAGGTTTTGGATTCAGCGCACGGGATGGGTAATTAAAAATCAAGCACCTCGTAAAAACTTTCCTTGAAAAAATAAATCACAGAAATTTCTTCCCGAGTGGAGCCTGATGGTCGCAAGGAAAGAGAAAACGGGGGGAGGTCAACGTCTAGACTTCAGAACGCTACGAATGGTGAGCTTTTTATTGGTCAACGAGGTGTCTATTAATGGAGCCTTTTCTCGTTAAAAGGGAACTTTACTTAAAAGGGCGGCCTTTCCTGATATGGACGGTTTGGTAGTACCCTCTCATATGCGGATCTTGCAAAAGATGGATTGGGCAGAGCGTTTCAAGCCGCTCTGATCGACCGTAAATACCTGCCTGTCACGTCGAGCTCCTCCCCCGTCTGTTTCTTGGGGAGTCGATTTACCGCCAGTGTGTAAGGAGGCGGGTCGAATCGATGTCAATCGCGTCAATCGCGGACGTAGAAGGCTCGCATTTATGGAAGTGGGAGTGGGAGGTGCTCAGGTCCGCAACCTGAAGAAGGGGAGAGGGGGAGAAGACAAGAGAGAAGAGAGAGAGAGATGACAATGAGGGGGAGGAAAGAGGTCAAGAAGTAGGGCAGAAAGAAGAGGTAGAAGGGAGAAAAGGTTCAAGGGAAGGGGAGAGGGACCCTGTTGCTCGTTGAGTTATGAAGTGAGGGGGCGTATCGAACGTAGCTCACACGAGGCCTCCATCGCATCTGCAGGCTAATAGGCCTCTCTCTCTCTCTCTCTCTCATCCCAACAACCAATAGAGCAAGGCTTCAAACTCCTTACGGCTCTCTTCAGCATGACATTACGGGAAGTCACAGTTTCACTTATTTGTCTCATACTGTTCTCTCTCACTTTTATCCCCACACCCGATAGAGTTAGCCTTCAAACTCCTCCTGCATCCTCTTAAGCATCAACCTATGGGAAATCTCAGGCATGCCGAGGCTAGTTCAAACGCACTCATTTGTCTTAGAATTAGCATACTGCTCTCTCTCTCTCTCTTCCCCTCTCTATCAATTATCCCCACGCCCAATAGAGCCAGGCTTCAAACTCCTTCCGGCTCACAAGAGGCCTCCGTCGCATATGCATGCTAATAGGCCTCTCTCTCTCTCTCTCTCTCTCTCTCTCATCCTAACAACCAATAGAGCAAGGCTTCAAACTCCTTACGGCTCTCTTGAGCATGACATTACGGGAAGTCACAGTCTCTCTTATTTGTCTCATACTGTTCTCTCTCACTTTTATCCCCACACCCGATAGAGTTAGCCTTCAAACTCCTCCTGCATCCTCTTAAGCATCAACTTATGGGAAGTGTCAGGCATGCCGAGGCTAGTTCAAACGCACTCATTTGTCTCAGAATTAGCATATTGCTCTCTCTCTCTCTTCCCCTCTCTATCAATTATCCCCACGCCCAATAGAGCCAGGCTTCAAACTCCTTCCGGATCCCTTGAACGTGACATTATGGGACGTGCCAGCCATGCCGATGGTACGTCACACTACCTCCGTTTTCTCAGAATGAGCGTGACATTATGGGAAGTCCCAGCTATACCAAGGCTAGCCCACACCATCACTCCGTTGTCTCAGACAGAGTACCATACTGTTCTCTCAGTCCTCTCTCTTATCTCTCTCTCTCTCTTCTGTCTCTCTGTCTCTCTGTCTCTCTCTCTCTGTCTCTGACTCTGTCTCTCTGTCTCTCTCTCTCTCTCGCACGCGCGCGCGCTCGCTCACGTCGATTTTTCCGTTTCCTTCTGACTATAACCAAGCGTAGCTCACCCCAACTTCCGATCTTATCACCATTAACCTACCGCTCTCTTTATCTACCACCTCTCCCCTACCCGCACTCATCTACTGGAAACAATTGTTGGCAGTCGCTTAGGGTTTCTGTGCGTCTTCTTGGGCCTGAAGAGCTTCCCCGGTGGCGGAGGGATATCACTGATGCAGGGATGGGAAGAGGAAGTCCAGAGCTCTACTACTCCAACTACCCGATGAGGACGCATAAGCCCCACTTCTTCAAGGTCCTTCTCGGCGACTTCTCGCGGCGTCTGGTAAGTGTTTTCCGGAGAGCCTTCTACGTGTGCTTCTGTGAGTTCATCGAGCCTTCTTAGATTTACTTGTGGAAATAGAAAGTGAGATCGGTGACTCTAGTTTTTCTCCGTTTCATCTTCTCGCTGAGATTACTTTTCCGATATTGGAAGTTGGGTCCATTCCTCCTAGTTTACTATCTCTTTCTCACTCACTCTCTCTCTCTTTAAGTATATTTATATCTATCTATTTACCCTCAAACAAGGTGATTTTTACTTCAGATCAACTCAGTAGGACCCTCGCTCTCTCTCTCTCTCTCTCTCTCTCTCTCTCTCCTGCTCTGCACCTAATGTAGAAATAAGAAGCTGCGACGGGACATTTTTTGCAGACTTCTACTACCTCTCCCCTACACGTACATCTTTCCATGTTTCAGGCTTCATCGTAGGCTTCTCCTCTTCCTCTCTCTCTTGCCGAATGTATTAAAAAGTAAAAATGAGAATGAAAATAGGAGTCAATTATCTCGTCTGCTTTCCCTATCTAGCCGGAAATGACGATAGGGAAATGACAAAGGAAATGACGATGAATGACGGATTATGCTATGATTTATATTTCCAACCTAGATTCGTCTTTCTGGGTTCTCAGAGCGTTCCCAGGAAGTTTGTGGTTCGTCTCCGTGGGGCGCTGCCGGAGACGGTGGAGCTCAAGGACCCATCAGAGGGTCGATGGCGGGTCAGTCTAAAGAAGACTGATTGCACCACCTTCCTTGAGGAAGGCTGGGAGGAGTTTGCCAGAGCCCAGTCTCTTGAAGCGGGCGACTTCCTGGTCTTCAGATTCAACGGCGTGTCGCGCTTCAAGGTCCTGGTGTTCGGCCCCAGCGGGTGCGAGAAGTGCTCCCCCGCCGCCGGCGAGAGCTTCCCCCCTGGAGCTCGAGAGAGAGAAACCCCCACCGGAGCATGTTCAGTCTCCGTCCCCAAAATGGCCGTCGGCCTGGACGAGCCAGAGGACAGTCCGCAAGAGTGCGGCGAGCTTCGGCGCTGCTTCTCGGGAGGAGATGGGAGGCGGTGGCGGTGGCGGTGGCGGCAGTGGGGGAAGAGAGGAGAAACGGAGACCATCGCCGAAGAAGAAGAGCTTGCAGACGATGATACCACGCGTAAGAAGACGTGCAGCTCCTACCCTCTTCATCTAATCTCCCAGAGAGGTCCCGTTTCGGCGGGGGACAGAGAGAGGACACTGCGGCTTGCCACGACGGTCAAACCAGTTCACCCGTCCTTCCTGTGCGTCATCAAGCGGAGCCACATCTCCCGGAAGCCCTTCCTGGTGAGTCTTCTCTCGCCGCCGAATTAGAACCAGAGCTTCGCCGTTATAGGATCGGAAGAGTGTGTCTGGGGGTTGACGATGTGTAGACCTGGTTGTTTCAGACGGTCCCCTGGCGCTTCGCGGCGGAGTTCTTCCCCGGTAAGGAACGGAGTGTCGTCCTCCGCAGCACTGCCGGGGAGTGGGAAGTCGGCTGCCGGAGCTACGGGAAGCTCTCCCACTTCCAGCGTGGATGGAGGAGCTTCGTCGTCGGCAACCATCTCGATATTGGAGACATCCTCGTTTTCGAGTTCGCCGCCAGCCGGAGTAACCAACACATGAACGTCACCATCTTCCGTGCCGACGAGCTACTCCCCCCTCCGTCTTCTGGGCCAACGTAAAGACCCCTTCTCTCTCTCTCTCTATCTTGTTTCTGTCATTCGAGGACTGCTTCCCTATGGTTTACGTCGCCCTGAAGTCGTCATCCTTGTCAAAAAAAACCCTCCTTTTTGCCGAATTTTTCCCGTCCCTAGTCAACTCTCTCTCTCTCGTCATTTGACTGCTTCCCTGACGTTTTACCTCCGTGAAGTCGTCTGTTTTTGTCCCCAAGAGAACCCCTCATAGATTGTGTCATTAAATTTTTACCCTCCCAGTCAACGGTCATCTCTCTCTCTCTCTCTCCCTCCCTCCCTCCCTCCCTCCCTCCTTCCCTCCTTCCCTCCTTCCCTCCTCCGATTCCTCCTTGCCATGGGCGATAAGACAGGATAGAGAGGGGGGGTGTGTGGACGTGCTGTGAGTGATAGAATAACAAAAAGAAGCGGAGAGAGAAGTAGCGAGAGAGAGAGAGAGAGAGAGAGGTGTGGATATGGTTTGCTGGCTGCTTACAAATTCTATACTCTCTCTCTCTCTTCTCTCTCTACATATATATATATCAAACGGAACTATTGTCGGAAACGAGCATGTAAGAATTATATCCTTGCGAATCATCAACGATATTCCCCTTTGGAAAATAGACGATATTTCTGGCATCTGCCACGTCATTGTGCTGTGCCGTTGACAAGTCAACCCGCTTCATCGATTGTGACAGCGGGTTCCAGTCGTCGAGTTGGTATTTGTGGAATATATCGGATTTAATATTTGCTCTTATTTTGGGCATGGATTTATTCGGCGTGCCATCGAAGTTGACGACAGCAGGCTCCCGTCACCGGTCCACGTCAGTGGTCAAAAAGAGGGCGGCGCTTCGGTCTACGAGGCACCATCGGGATACCCCAGAAAAAAGTATACATCTTATCGAAGACTTCTCTATAATTTATACCCAGTTATCTGGTTAAGGATTATTTATACTAATTGGTATTCGAGGTTTCGTCGGACAAATAATTGGATGTGGGCCCCGCATCGGTTGTCCACGTCACCACTTTGACCCAACCAGCGTGTCCCCTCCCCCCCTCTCTCCCCCTTCTCTCCTCCGTTGAAGACTTTATCTTTCTCTCCTCTCTGCCCCCGCATAATTCTTCCCTCTTTCGCTCTAGCACAGTTGATTCTCCCTCTTCTCTCACTCTCTCTCTCCGTCTCACCTCTTTTCTCTCTCTAGAGTGACTCTCTCTCTCTCTTTCTCTCATGGGCACGGTCTGCGAATCGACAGCTGATGATTGATGTTATACGAAGTACCTGGGACCCACAACTCCACCTCAACCAACCATTCGCCTAGTCTACCTGTCAACGTCCACGCCCAGTTGCCTGCCCCCTACCATTTATATCCATTCTCGCTCTCTCTCTCCTCTCTCTCTCTCTCTCCCCAGCTTAGGTTTGTGTCTGGCAATTTAATAAAATGGCGAGCTGGGAATTTAATATTGCTATTTATGGGTAAATTTAATGTCCCAAAAAAATTGAACCTTGTATCTGTAAGTATTTTATAAGTACCCACTATCGTCCAAGAGCCCCGCCGGGGGGCTGGGGGGGTGGCTACCGCTGTAATGGCTTGTTCAGTAGCCAGGCTCGATTGCGCACAATTACGAAATGGTCACTTTGAAGAAGGCATTAACGTAAGGGCCTAAATAGGAAGTTAATTTCGTACTTTCGGAGTTGATTAGGGGGCGAAGAGAAAATTGTGGATAAAATAACGGCGAGTGGGAGGGACGCTGCCGTACTCGATGTGCAAACCGCACGTCGGCGGCTATCACGTGATCCCGATGCCACGTGGTACAAAAAGACGAATCTCCTTCACTCCTCCCGCCTTTCTATGTCGGCGGGGCGGTGTTCTAGCGCTGGCGAAGGTGGGCGCCTCTCTGACCTCCACGTGTCGATCCCTCCTTCCTCCCCCTTCTCTCTCTCCCCTCTCCCGCCGTCTCCAATATCGCCGACTAATGAAAGCCCGACAAACCAAACAGTAACCTAGAATCCGGATTCCTCCCCCCCTCTCCCTCCTCAACCATCTCCTTCTCCATATAAGTTCCACCCGGGCAGCGATAACAGACCAGAATTCAAGAGAAAGAGAGAGCGAGAGACAGGAGAAGGGGGAGGGATGGTAGGGGACTGCTGCTCGACGAGCGAGGATTCAGGGGGGAGATCGTCGCCAAGCGAGGGAAAGTTGGAAGGCGGTGGGGAAGCGATCGGAGGAGCGGCGGCGGCGGCTGCGGCGGCGGCGGCGGCAGGAGGAGGAGGGAGGCAGTACAGAGGGGTGAGAATGAGGAAGTGGGGGAAGTGGGTGGCAGAGATCAGGGAGCCGAACAAGAGGTCGAGGATCTGGCTTGGGTCCTACTCCACCGCCGTCGCCGCAGCGCACGCCTACGACATCGCGGTCTACCACCTCCGGGGGAGATCCGCCAGGCTGAACTTCCCGAATGAGCTCCCGGTGGAGGGGGAGGAGGGAGGAGGCGCCGGGGGCCAAAGGCACGGCGGCGGAGGAGGGGAGTCGGAGGCGCTCTCCGCCGCCGTGATCCGGAAGAAGGCGACGGAGGTTGGGGCCAGGGTGGACGCGATGCACGCCGGAACCCTAGGGCGGCGCCACCACCACGTCTACAATCGGCCGCGGCGGAACCAGCCGCAGGCGGAGGCGGCGGAGGAGGATCGGGAGAGGAGGCCGATGAATCCGGACCTCAACCGGCGCCCGAGCCCTGAGAGCTCCGACAATGAGTTCTGAGCGCCGGCCGGCGGCGGTGGTAGCGGCGGGGGGGCATCAGGAGGAAGCTGTACAGCAGCAGAAAGTGAGCGGAGGACTCGGCCATCAGAGAAAACCGACGAAGGTTGTCGTTAATCTTCCCCCGGTTCGTGTCTGAATTCTGTACAATTTCCCCTTTCTTACGAGCTCCGTCCCCTCGGGGGCGGCTCTGCGGCGATCTCTCTCGTAGTTTAATCGCCGATCAGGCGTCGTCGTCTTGGAAGCGGAGTCCTGACAGGCGGCCCAAGGAGAAGTGCGTAGAGAGAGAGAGAGAGCCGTGAATGTAGAGAGGGAAAGGGAGGCTGGCACATGGCTCCGCCGCCCACCATCTCTGCTGATTTGATAGGCACGAGAGAGAAAGAGAGAGAGAGAGTGATGTTCACTTGGGGGGGAGACGTGGGGGCACTGTTCCATTCCATTTCTGCAGCACCTGCACGGGGAAGAGGGAAAGTGTTAGCTAGGGTTTCCATCCTGGCCGTCCTCTCGTCGCCACCCTGTGCCGGCCTCTGGTGGCTCTCTGCCGTCTACCAGTAGAGAGAGAAAGGGCGGGTTAACAGAGAGATGGGGGAGTTGAGGGATCATGGTCACGGTGGGTGTGTTCCGGTGGTCGACCCCCATTAAAGAAAGAAGGCCATGTCAGGTCGCCGCCCCCTTCATCCCAGGTTCTCTCTATCTCTCTCTCTCTCTCTCCCTCCCTCCCTCCCTCTCTCTCTCTCTCTCTAAATTCCTCGTTTTGGTACCGAAGCAGAAATGGGTATCAGGCTACAGGAGGGATGTTCCTCGATTGTTAGATGATCATCATAGGTTGTCTCCATTGTCTGATCATTCCCTTAGTTATCCGGACAACGAGAAATCATTTCTAACTTGGCTTGTGGAATGGTCAACGGCCGTGGGTATGGATGATCAGGAAACAGTTAAGAGATTGACTTTATGTCTACAATATGACAAGTTGAGAACTGCGTCACCCGTAACCTCATTCCTGATAACTACCAGAGGTTCCGGGTTAGATGAGGCTGCTGTTGTTGTTAGCTCGTAATCAATTTTTGTGACCTACGTTTATTGTTTTATATTCGAATGTTCCTGGATTTATTTATTTTGGCGGCTCATCAAGCTAATCCAGATGGGTAAGCTATCACGAGTCAAATGTCTGATAAGCGCGTTGCATCCTCAACGAGGAATGTGTTGACTTATCCAATTTGCTCTTTTCTAATAATTAAGCCACCTATTTAGTCAGTATTTTTATGTTTAAATGTATTTTCTTCACACCTGCTTGCCCAATGTTTGCATTCCGTATTTTGTATATGATTAAAAACCGGGGTGGGAAATTTGAACGATATTTTTCTCGCATTCATTTATTTTCATATTTTACCAGAGAAAATAGTTTCCAAGTTGTTCGCGAAGCAGTTTTTAACGTGGGGGAATTTCCGTGTAATAATAATAATAATAATAATAATACTAATAATAATAATACTAATAATAATAATAATACTACTAATAATAATAATAATACTAATAATAATAATAATATAGTACAGTGGCACCAAATAAAGTACAAAGCCTGGGGGAATATTTCGGAATTTCCACATCATTTCGTATCACCCCTTTTATTTTCAATATTTATTGTCATAACCCTACCCCGGCATTTACCCACATTAATTATGAACATTTTATCGCATGCTAAAAAGTCATAATAATGCCATCATCCTAATTTTAAAATTAAATTTAATAATATGTCATCAAAATAAGCGTAGCCTGTTGTTTTATCGTGAATAATCGATCAATTGATGAACATAACTTTTCTTTTTTAACTACTCATTCAAAATGTGTTGCGGCGTCTTGCTAAATGTTGTTAATACGGGTCTAAGCGGGCCAGGGACGAGCAGGCCCATCTACCCATGAAAAAAGCCCAAATACGGAAATAACCGGGCCGAGCGAGGATTCGGCCAGGCCGACCCGTTAGCACTAGTCCGCCGATAAATCTTCGGCGGGAACACAAAATCGTGGGTCGCCGGAGGGAATGAAGGAGGAGCGAGTGGCCAGCGACCGCGGCGGATAATGGAATGCGGGGTCGGGACACGGCGGCGGCGATCCACCGGCTGCGGCGAGTGGAGTGGGTCCTGAAGCTGGACAATGTCGCCGGCATCCGCGTCGTCGAAGGCGTGGTGGAGCGCCGTTCGCGCGCTTGCCTCCGCCTGGCCCTGGGAGGTTGATCACGGGGAGGAACCAGAGACATCAGCCTTGTCGCCGGCTTCTTCGCCGTCGTGTTGGTCCGCGAACGCTCATGATTCGGATGCCGGCGGGAGGGCTTTCTCTCGAGATCGACCTCATGAAAGCTGCATTGCGGGAAACAGTACGGCGACTCGAGGTAGACACGAGCGGGCGAGGAGGGATGGTGGTGAGGGATGTGCAAGTGGAGAGTGTCGCCGATGGCGAGCAGATGACGGACGAGTTGGTAAGGAGGGCGGATATGGCGACCACTGTATAATTTTATTATTTTTCATTTGTCCTCATTTCCTGTCCGGGACGTCGTTGGGTAATCGATGGTGCTGTTAAGTAAACATGTGCGATTTCTGTGAATTTCACAAAGTCATATGTCTAGGATTGTACAGTTGAACCACACTTCCTGCTTAGCACTGCCAACTTATGCGCATTCTTTCTGGAGAGTTTGTTAGACACAAGGGCCATTATGACACTGTTCGCAAGTTTGGATTGGATCCAGAAATTGGTTTTATATGGATTAGACCTGGGAACTTGGAGGTTATACCCTGTTTAAGCTGACTCGTATTTCACCCATTTTGGAATCCATTCCAGCCAGCAATATGAGCTACACATCATCAATTTATTTATTAACTGTTTTTTTTTCTTAATACAGATCTTCCCAAACTGCTGTTGACTGGATAATTGCAAAACCCATTACCATGTGTGTAGGAATTGGAAGAGAAGCTCTCTAGTTGCCCTTCCATCAGATTTTTAGGATGTCCTATCTTTGGTGCTTTATTAGTGAAAAGTTTCATAGATTGTGGAGAAGATTGAGTGACACCTAGTGACCACAGATGTTCAGATTGAAGAGAGAACAAATGGTGCAGAAATGATGCCCAGAAACCGCAGGCGCCTTCTGTGGAGAAGAATTTTCATCTCATCTTCTGACACCCCCTAGGTTAATGCTATAAGGGATACATGCTTAGTGGACTCAAAGGTGGCCCAAGTGGGTACAAGGTCTAATGATCTCAAAAGACCCTTACTACTTCCCAATATTTCTCAACACTCCCCCTCAAGCGTTGCATATATGTCATGTATGCGTAATTTACTTGGTACAGAATTTAGTTACTCTCTCATGAAACCTTTTGAAGACACATCTGTTGCATGATTTCCAAAGTGACCATAGGAAATACGAAGACCTCCAGAGTCAAGTTTCTCCTTGATAAAATGACACTCTATCTTACTATGCTTGCATCTATTGTGTTGGTTGGATTATTAACAATATTTATTGAAGCCTTATTATCACAATAAGACTTCCCAGAAACATTTAAAGCTTCGTTGGAGGACAGATATGGATACGAATATCTTGAAGAAGTAGTTGAAGCCAGTGTAGCTCAGTCAAATAATGTGCTATAACTTTGTATTCTGCATCAGCGCCAGAGCTGGTCATAATTGTTTGTTTTTTACTCCTCCATGTCGTAAGAATCCCTCCAAGATAGGCACAATGACCTGTAGTAGCAATTTGCAAGTGGTGAAATTTGGAATACAATATATACCTCCGCTTGCATATATAACTTGATGTACAATAGAATTTGATCCACAGTTTTCATATGGGAGTCCCTTGGAGGATGAACGATTTGACTGACTACACTCACGGCAAAGGTAATGCCAGGTTGAGTAAAGGTTAGAAAGAAAAGTTTACCAACAAGCCTTGATATATGCTGTTGTCACAATCAGAGAGAAGTATGCCTTCTTATTCATGCAGGTCATGATTTACATTGACAGGAGTTTCAGTATGGTTCACGCACTCGAGTCTACTGGTCTCTGGTAAAAGATTAAATGCATATTTTCTCTGACACATGCAAACCCTTTCATTTGATTCAGGCACTTCGTTGCTAAGGAAGTACCTGAGATTATCAAGACATTTTGGTTTCAAATTCCTTAGTCCCTTTATCTTTAATAGTTTAATCTCTGCATCATCACCTGTGATCATTGTATCACCAACATAAACTACTAGGATACAAAGCCTTTCTTCTTGCCATTTTGTGAACAGGGTATGATCACCACCACTGCTCTCTCTATAGTTGATAGTGATCATGACTCATCTAATTTTTTTTCAAACTAGGTTTGTGGAGATTTCTCCAAGTAGTACAGAGATTCCTTCCTTGAGTAGGGTAGCCAGGTGGGCACTGCATAATAATTTCCTCTTGAAGGTCTCTACTCAAGAAGGCATTTTTCCCATCAAATTGGTGGAGGTTCCATTGATATTGATCAGCTGGTGAAAAGATATCCCTAACACAGAGTTGACTTTTGCGGCGGGGACAAAAGCTTCTTACCCGTTCTGAGCCATAGGTTTGTGTAAACCCTTTTCCCACTCAAGCCATAGGTTCTGAGGCATAGGTTTGTGTAAATAAACGATGGGGTGAGGAGATAGGACGGGGATAGACAACATGATTGCCCGAGAACAACCTCTCATGGATTGGAAGTATGACATACTTAAGACGAGCTGAAGATGAGTCAACTCCACTTCCTCTTGGTCTCGTACCCGCTTGCAGCGAGATGGGGATGATCGGGTGGGAAAAATGGAGCTCCTTTATTTCTTCTGGTTATCCTCTGCTGGATGGATGCCGTTGGGTCAGGATTCCTCTGACCTTGTCGGCCAAAGCGTCCCTCAGTGCCGCCGCCGCAGGGGCGGCGCCGCCCGGCGGATTCTCGCCGGAGCTGCCCGAGCGATCGCCATCGTCGTCGTCGTCCTCCTCCTCCGGTGGCGCCGCCGTCAGAGAAGAGAAGTCCTCCCTGGACAGTAGCATGTTGTGGAGTATGGCGCAGGTAGCAACGCACGCCGCCACCGCCCTCGGGTCCTCCTCCCCCTCCATGGCGGAGCTGAGAACTCCCCAGTTCATCAAGCTCGAGATGGTCCGTAGCACCGTCCGGGCCATGATCCGGCGGTGCACCGCATTGAACGCCGCCGGCGAAGCGGCGCTGGCGTCCAGGAAGGGCACCATCAGCCACGGCATAAGCGGGTACTCCTCCCCGCCGACCAAGTACTCCTCCGGTGGGCCCATCAGCCTCCCGGCTTCCTGGAAGAGAGAAGACCGTCTTAGGATCGTGGAGCTCGGCTGGTCTTTCGGGAAGCCGGCGGCTATGTTGAGGATCCGGCAGGAGGCGTCGGCGACCACCTGGGCGGCGGCGCCACCGCTGCCGCCGAGGTCGAAGCGGGCGCAGGCGACGGCGCCGCGGCAGCCGGGGAGGTGGCGGAAGCCGGCGGAGAGCTCGCTGGAGGGGGAGGGGAATGCGACCCAGAAGCGGAAGTTGGTGCAGAGGACGCGGCGGAGGCGGCGGGCGCAGGAGCGGGCGGCGGCGGCGGAGACGGCAAAGCGGGCGGCGAGGTCCCCGTAGGAAGCTCCGGTGGCGAGGTGGGAGAGCCCCACAGCGAGCCTGGCGGCGGCGGCGGGGAGCTCCTGTGGCCCGCCGGGCCAGTCGAGGAGGGGATCGAGGAGCCCCGCCAGCCACTCGAAGGTGGAGGCCCCAACACCGAGGCCCAGCCTGAAGTGATCCGGCTGCCGGCGGACGCTGATCGGAGCCGCCGCCACCGCCGCCCCCGGCGGAGGATCTCCGGGATCGTCCAAGTGTCGCCGCCGCTTGCGATTTCTGGGCAGGAATAGGTCCCCGGCGGCGGCGATCTCAAAAGAGGAAAGAAAGTGGAAGAGGAGGGCCGTGGGATCGTCGTCGGCTGAGGAGGACGAATATGAAGGGAGGGAGAAGAGGAGGACGAGGGCCTGGGAGACGGCGGCCGTCGCGGCGGCGGCGACCGCCCGGTTCTCCATCTCCCAGCCCGGTTTCGCCTTTCTCAACGAGCACGAAGTCAATAATAAATCGCTCTGCTTGCTCAACGTGAACGGTACGGAGTCAGATCGTATGACCACCGGGGCGAGCTAAGATTCTGGGGGGGAGCCGAAATTCACTGAAATTCTTGAAAGTCAAATCATTTTTCCTGTTATGGAATCCCTCCAACGTCAACGCCCGTTCTTCTCATCAGTTTGTCTACCCCCGCCTAAGAGGAGGGGAGGTTATATCTATAGATTAGATCCGGGATGATGAATAAATAAATATTATGAGCTCTTCCGATCTGTGAGATGAGAGGGAAAAGGGAGGAATCAGAGGGCATTATGCTAAGATCCTCCTCACGAGAGGTAAACGTTTTGACTTGGCGTGGTGGGTGGTGGGTTCTACAAAATGAAGTAGAGTGGGACCCCACCTCCCATGATGAGAGGAAGTCTTCTGGGGTCCACAAGAATGAGTCACAGACCTCCTACGCACAATCCATCATCATACCCCATTACTTCCATAAACGTTATGAGCTTCAGAGTTTATGAGTTGTGAAAGAAAAAAATGTGGCGAACTCCGCTTTGACCTTGAGCAGAGTCAAGGGAACTACCACTCCTGACCATTAAGAGATCACGGAATTCTCATGGAGTCATTGGTGACGGAAGAACCCACTCCTGACCATTTTTTTATTTTTCTTTAAATCCTCATTTGTGCACATAATATTGCTCATGCTTCCCTTTTTTTTAATGGGCTTCTTGGGCCCCATACCTCATTATGATGCCCTAATTAAGAATTAAAAACCGTCCCATTTAATATTTTTTAGGGCGAATTAAAAAGGGATATCCGTCCCTTAAAAAAAAAATTAAAGGGCGTTAAAGGTGTATATTTTCCTTTATTTTAATGAAAATGAGTATAATAATTAGGGTTTATAGAATTGTGGCGGGTTTATTTGAAATTATTATTTATCCATTAAAAAAATAAATCCTAGATGCAAAATGAATGAAGATTCTTCTCCGACGTCCTCCTCCTTCCGACAATACCCACAACCAAGATTTGTCCTGTTTTAGTCAGAAACTCTGGGAGTCAAAGCCAAGTCGTCACTTCTGCACCTCGGCGTGGGCCCGGGTTGTCGGCGGGCTTTCGGGCCCACCTCTGTCAGCGCCCACGAGTATCTGCTCCCGCCCGATCCCCACCAAGGAGTGGAATCCACGTCGGCCCCCACTTCGTCGGGGTCCACATTCAAATAAAGATATCTCCATCTCCATTAAGGAAAAAAAGATTTCTATGGAGAGAGAGAGAGAGAGAGAGATAGAGAGAGGGGGGGGGAAGGGGGGGCCTCGGGCCGGGCCCACCAGAAATCACCGCCACGTGTACCGTCCGTGGTCCAATAATGAAGTCACTTCAAAGGTTCTGGTTAGACCCGGAGAAAATAGTAATTTACATTTGGCGAACGGGAGAAAGAATCATTACATTATTACTTGATTTGACACGTTGAAACAAGCTACGCATCTTTATCGGGCAGGTGAGTGGTCGCCGGATTCCGTATCCATTCTGGATATCCTGTAAAGAGCTGGTGATGGCGCCGCCGGTCGCGGCGGCGGCATTGGGTGGTGAGTGGGTCGGTGGGTGGGTCGGTGGTTGGACGAAGAGGACAGGGACTGCAGTGGCTCACCGGCGGGGCCCGCAATGATGGCGCAGGTGTCGCTTTCCAACCAGCCTGCGCCGCCCACCACCACCACTCGCCGGTGATTTAACCGGCCCGCCACCACTCACCACTGCGCCTTATCGCAGGGATGGAGAAGAGGAGGCCGCCGCTGATGTCGCCGGGGAGGAGCGGCGCCGCCGCCGGGTACGTGGGTCTCGGTGACGAGGGCGCAGCGGCGAGCTCCTCCTCCTCCGCCGGCGCCTACAGCTTCAACGGGCCCAGCGGCGGCAGCGGCGGCGGCGGGTTCTCATATACCGCCGACCCGGAGAACCAGCGGAAGAAGCGGGTCGCCGCCTACAACTCGTTCGTCGCCGAGAACAAGCTCAAATCCTCCGTCCGCACCAGCTTCAGGTGGCTCAAGAGCAAGCTCTTCTCCGACGCCCGCTACGCCTGACCTACCCATCTCCCCTCCCCTTTCTCTCTCTTTCTCTCTCTTTCTCTCTCTCTGTGTCCTTGTTCGTAGAGAGAGAATGTGCAGGGCTTGGGCCTATCATTTGGACGATAGCAGCGTTCAGTTTCACAGTAGTTTAGCTTAACAAGGTTGTGGAGAGGAAGGGAGCTGGTCCGAGTCCAAGGCAAGATCTTCACGCGGGCTCTCCATAACTTCACAGCATTCAACGGGGATGGAGACTGAGATGGCGACTGTGACGATGTTGATCGTGATATTCGTGAAAGGTAATTTCTCGTCCCAATTAGTTAGTATAAAAACATCTGCTCTCTTGAGAAAATACGGGGAGCCGCCTATTCGATGCCTCGTGCTTCACAAGTATATATACCCGACGGAGATTTTTCAAATAATTATCGAGTACTTGGAAACTACGGTAAAATTTACCAAATAAAAAAAGTAAAATAAATAAATAAATACATTACTGACTACCGAAAACCCCACAAATCAGGATTAATCTAAAAGATTAGAAAAATAAAACGCTGTCTGAAAGGAAAAATGTCATAATTACCAGTTTCAATGTGAACATAAGAAGATCAAATGCGATATATACGCCCGAATACATGCGACTAGCTCTCAGCTGCTTGATGATGCATAGTCTCTTAATTAATTTATTTAAATGAACAAGAAAATAGTAAAATTCACAGATGGGCACAAAATCGCGGAGAAGTACAAGTTAGGCGTTGACTCGGCCCTCATGAAACACCTTCCACAGGTATAATAGAGGACCACGAGGCGGGCCAAACCTCCTGAGTCCAGGATTGAGCCATATAATCATCCGGGCTTTTTTCACATAAGATTTTAGGGCCCGGGAACAGGGTAAATGGGTCGGGTCGGGCTTTCCGGCTTCTGGGCTTCGACCGACCCGCATCCTTTAGTAGAAGCACGAGAATAGAAGGCAAGCACACACATTTATTTCACAGTGCATAGTCAATTATACCCCATATATAATGGTTAGAAAACGCTAGCAGCGCCAAGGATGAAGGACACGGTACAGGACTATGCAGAGGGCAAAGTGAGATGGGCGGTTGGACTTTAATCCAAATCATGCTTCGGATATGAGACCATCACACCATACTTAGAGAGAGAAGAGGGAGGAAAGAGAGGCAAGAGAGAAGAGCCCCTCACTTCTTTCCGCTCTTCTTGAGCCCAGATCCGCCGAATGATCCCTTCTGTGATGCTTTGGCTTTCAGGTCTCTGAGGGCCTGTTTTCCCACAAAAAGGTTTGATCATTGGACCGTAAATAATAAAAAATGAAGTATATTTAAGCGGAAGTCTGGGTTAGTTAGTGAGTGAAGAGTTGTTTACCTTCTCCTCATCCTTTTTCTTCTGAAGATGGGCAAGGTCCGCCTACGAAAACCGATATAAGGGTCATTTCGAACACTAAGGGGAATAAAAGTGAAAGTTGGTCGAATGAAATTAAGCAGCATCAAAATCTATCAATAACATGAAAAAAATGGCTTATTGCGAGTTTTACAAATAGGCCATACAAGTTTATATTCTGCTGGAAACATGAAAAGAGTTAATGAGATAAATGTGATGACAGATCCACATAAATGAGAGCTGAGTCAGAATATCAGTGAGAAAAGGCAGGATAATAAAAATGATTGGAGAATAAATATCTGAGCGGTTGAACTCGGCACAAATTCAACTTCGGGATGACAAATGTCTTCATAGATTGACAGAAAATACCATGATCTCGATCCAATACTTAATTCAGGCAGGATCTCTGCTCATGCAGCTGTAGGAGATGTCGAGATAAATATATGGGAATCGAAAAGCATCTGATTCAGATAGAGGCGAGGTGGAAACACGAAAGGCATATCCGGTATGGCTGCTTTTAGAATCTTAAACAGCTAAAAAGAGATGCAAGTGGTGTCTAGCACTCACCGCAATTATTCGAAATGCAGCTCAATGATTGCGATTCAATGGTGATCAATATGATTCCGATAGGGTTAATCCTTTGAAGAAGGAAACTGTCACACCATTTTGGAATAGGTTGGGCAAAAGTAGGGATAAAAATCCATTTATTCATCCATCCATCCATCCGCGTATAGAATCAATAAATTAAATTATAAAAATTAGATTATAAGACTTCCTGGAATCATGTATAAGCTCCGCGGCTGGGAATTCAGTCCGCCATTCAAGTCTGCCCAATAATCCATTACCCTACTAACCATTAAAATAATGGCGTCAATCATTGGCAGTCAATAAAAACAACAGCTATTTTTTCCAAACATCTTATAGAAAAAAATGACGTCCGAACGTAATCTTCCGCCCCAGGAAAAAAGGCCGAGGTTAAACTACAGCAAGTGCTCGTTAGACAGAAATCAATCACCTTTACAATTAACGGAAAAAAATACGGACAGATGTGAGAAAAGCCATCCCGGTCTAATCACCAAATCGACATCTCCGAATACATAATCAGGGAACAACAGTACAACTCACGATCATGCCAAGAACCGAAAAACGGATGCAATCAGTTGTCAATGATAACAGATGAAAAGGTCGGAAGAAAAAAATACCTCGTCGTAATCTTTCTTCTCCGATTTGGGCTGCTTGAGCGGCTTCGCCTTCCCGCCTGCACACATCGATCATTCACGCACGTAAGCACATATTCATAGCAGCACACCAAAAAAAATGAGACGGGAATCGGAGCGACGCCGACCTTGCTTGGACGACATGGTCTGGATTTCAGGAAGGGAGGAGCGAAGCGGAGGGGCAGGGGAAACCCTAACAAGCTTCGAAAAACGAAGGCCAATCGCAAGCCAAATCATAGCAAGAAAATGGTATTTAAATAGCCGTCCTAGATATTGACTTTGAAACCCCTATACTTTAATGTATTTTCAAAACCTCCCATAGTAAATTTTTATTTCCAAATTAGACCAAATAATTGAAAGTGTTTTCCTCCCCGCCACTTTCCATCGTCTCCATGGAGGCGCAGAACTGCCGCCTCAATCCGGCCGGATGGGCGGCGGCCATCCAGCGACGGCGACCGGCAGAAGCCCGGCGACCCGAGGTGGGTGGCGGAGATACAGGGAAGGCGAATGGCGGCAGCCTGGGGACCGGAGGTGGGCGGCGAAACCAGCCGCGACAGAGCAGAGGGCTGGGGGCAAAGAAGGCAGGGACGGCGAGGGTGCAATCGAGCAGGGACTGGAATTTGAGGTTTATTTCTTTCCAATTTTGGTTTCCATATCGCGCTAGACCCCATATAAATCACTGCCCTGGATGCGGTTTTAGAAGTACCTAATTTTGATGATTCCCCTTGTTTCCTCTCATTGTCCCCTTCCTCCATTGTCCGCCGCCGCCGACGCCGACACCGCTGCTATCCTCCAACCGCAGGCTTCGCCGGAACCGACGCCTGTACCGCCACTTCTCCCAGCTACTGGTGCCCACTCTTCCCTCCGCTGTCGTTGCTGCCGCCGTGGGTAATCTTCCTCTCCTCATCTTCATCCCGAACTCTTCGTCTCCATCTCCCTTCTACGTAGCGATCCATTTTGTGAAAAATAATCGGTGGAATGTGCACTTTGCGCTGATAAGGTTCGCCTTGATTCATAGTAATTGCAGAACTTGATTAAAACTTTAATTTTTTGTTTTAGGCACGAGAGGAGATGATAAAGCCTACAGTCTCAAAGCTTGTCTTGTTCTTATCCTTCTTGGTAACAAAGAGCTGAGCGACCCTTACTCTTCCTCATCTGTCTTTTGCCATTACGTGCATTACTCATAACCTTCTTCATTGTAGATGCTCGCAGGATCACTCGGGTTTGTGCTTTACGTGTGGCATTCCACCCTAAACCAGGTGGGGCAACTGGTGATGGAGGCCTCTGATGATGTCCACAAAGCAGCCCTAAGAACAGCCCGTGACAGGACCCTGTCTTTGTTTCACCACATGAATGCCTCTTCCTCGAGCCTTGCCAAGGTCTTCAGCAACAATTCCTTTTCTGCCCCCGATCAGCAGGTGCTCGACTAAATGTTCTCTCTCTTCTCTCTCTCTCTCTCTCTCTCTCTCCTGAATGCGAATATTTTGCTTGATATGACGCAGGTGTCTCGTGCTCTGTTTCTCACGTACATGGCATTCTACCCCATTGTGACCCAAGTATCGTTCTTTCGAGAAGATGGCCTCCTCTTCTCATATTTTGGCCAAGGAAATGGCACAACTTCTGCGATATTCTCAAACGGATCAGCTTCTCATAGTGGCTCCTCAGTGCCCTCTTGCTACTATTCTCAAGTTGTGGATCATGACACTGGAACCCACGTGGGGAACCCAGTTGCTGCAAGTGTGGTTCCCAGTACTACTACATGGCTCAATGATGCCTTCTCTCATACCTTCAGTTTCATTTCCTTGGGGTCAAAGTGGAATGAAGCTAAGGATCGTCTAATCCTTGTCACAGCTCCCGTGAAGGTCAGGGGTTTGGAAAAGACTCTTTCTGCAATCTTATCTCTCGGCATTTCTGTACAAGGTCTCGTGGATATGATAGACATTTTGGGAGCTCATGGTGGGAGCTTTTTCTTGGTCACGGACGATGGTCAAGTCCTACAAAAAGGCGGAATTATTCCAAATGGCCTCCTCTCCCTTGACAATGGAACACTTTCTATCCACATAGAGAGCCCAAAAATGGGTAACTTCGCAAAGGAGTCTGCCGTTTCTTGCAATGCTGGAAATGGCTTTGTTGATGTCACCATATTGGATATTGGCGGCCAATCATTCAAGTTCTATTGTGCTTCTCTTCACGTTGGAATAAATGTGGTGCGTATATTTCACTTGATAGCAGCCATGCTCGATGCGTAGTATTATGTGTTTCTCAGTTAATGATAATCACTTGATGTCTTTGATCTCGGTATTTGTAAGATGTGCTAATTGATTGCCTTAAAGCCTCTAGGTTACTTGCCTATTATTAAGCACTGTTTCATTACATGACTAATTTTTTTTCGAATGGATTTATTTAAGTTGTCTTGCTTCTGGATTTTTGTGTTTTGTGGAGGTTGCTTAAATTCAGCATGTGAACAATGTCTATCGTTGTCACTGTCTATTAACCACAAGTGATTCATATAATCACTAAAAGAGTCTAAAACCACATTTTTGATTGAATTGCTTATTTTCCTTACTACATACATGCACATCTGTACATAACCAATGCACAGATCGGCAGACAGAGAAATAGTTTTTTCAACAGATGCATGTATGGACGAATACATGTTTAGAATCCTTCAGAAATTTCAGAGGGAAATGTTTCATAGCTGTGATTTAATTTCAGCTTCAAGAGTGGAATATAAGGGTAGAGCCTCAAGGAGAAACAAAACGAATGTTCTGGTTGTTACTAGGAGAAAAAGACATAAAATGGTAATTATCATAGCAGAATCCATCCGTCAAATGCGTAAATACTGGTTTATCAGTATTTTTTTTGATTTTTTAGTGGAACCGGGTGATAATCTTATTTCATGGTGTTGTCTTTCATATTCTTACGGCATATTTCGAATACCATTAAATGCTGCTTTTTCATAGTTTATAATTGATTTGGTCTCCCTATTTTATTTTTTTTGAATATTAAATGGGTACTTGTTGATAGTAAAGTATAGACTAAATTTTAGATTCCTTCCACTAAATTTTAGATTCCTACGTGTCACCATTCCATGGTTTTGTTTGGATTGTCCATAAACAATTCTTTTGATATTGAATTATTAGCTGATAAATTACGGTTTGTAATCAAAAGTTTCTTTAATTCAGTTGCTATTACTTGATATTGATCATAAATCTTGAACTTGTCTTTTTTTTTTTTTAGGTTTTTGTGCTAGCCTTCCCACATGTGAGCTTGATTAGTCATGCCCACAAGTTCGGCACCATATCATATTTTCTCTTGTTATCTGTTCTTTTTATGGCAGTGGTTACGTGTGTCCTCGTATTCCAATGGATCATAAAATATCAAAGACGAGATACATTCCTCCATTCCTCTCTAATCAAACAGAAGGAAGCAACTCAACAAGCGGAGAGGAAAAGCATGAACAAGAGCTTAGCATTTGCTAGTGCAAGTCATGATGTTCGCACTTCTCTTGCTGGTATTATAGGTCTAATAGAGCTTTGCCAAGCAGAGGTCTCCCCGCATTCTGAACTAGACAAAAATCTTGACCAAATGAACGTCTGTGCGTCAAAACTTTATGGTCAGTATGGAGAGAGATTTCTCTTGATATTATTATAAATGATGTGCATCATTGTCATATTTTACATGTTTAAGAAATAATGATATGTTTGAGAAATTTTATACTTCAATTGTATTATACTGCCTTCTGGGATTATTGTGTCTTTGCAATTGTGATTCCCCTCAGATAATCATCCCAGCAATGCATCACTGTCGGATGCTTTTCCTGGGGACATGGATTTCTGTTCATAGTTTTCATCTTTTATGTGCATAATGAGATGTAAATTGAGCTGTACTTATTCAACTTGGTAGTATATATAAAATCAACCCCATTTATATCCAACTTGTGGATTCAACTTAACTATAGTCTCTCATTCGGATGATTGTTTCTCTGAAAATGTTGACTCCCCTCCAACAATTGCCTTCTTCATGCGTTTTTGTTTTCAGGGATATTGAATTCTGTGCTTGATATGAGTAAAGTGGAGGCTGGAAAGATGCAGTTAGAAGAGGCAGAATTCGACATAGCAAAAGTGATCGAAGAGTCCGTTGATATTTTTCATATTGTTGCTCTGAAAAAGGGTCTGGAGGTGATCTGGGATCCTTGTGACGGCTCTGTTCTGAGTTCATCCCGTGTTAAGGGAGATTCCGGACGGCTCAAGCAGATTCTCGACAACCTACTAAGTAATGCCGTCAAGTTCACACTTGAAGGGCATGTTTTGGTTCGAGCCTGGGCCCGGCGGCTAAACTTGGAAGCTCTCACAAACCCACATGCTTACGACTGCAATTTCTCTACCGTCCCGAGTCTTCTGTCTTGCTTTTCTGTCAAGAACCAAGATGTCTTTGGCCACTGCAGCTCCATCTATTCCGCTGATTTTGACCCGAACGCCATTGAGTTCGTATTCGAGGTAGATGATACGGGTGTAGGAATACCAAGGGATAAGAGGGAGTCTATATTTGAGAACTTTGTTCAAGTCAAGGAGTCGATGAATGGACAGGGGGGTACAGGCCTAGGCCTTGGTATAGTTCAATCCTATGTAAGTACATGATCTTATGAAGTTCATGTTTCGTGATTACTGCGTAAATCTTCTGACCCATTTCGTATTATTTTTTTATTTTTATTGTTTGATTCCTAGGTGCGATTGATGGGTGGAGAGATTAACATCATAGATAAAGGATTGGATGAGAAAGGGACCTGTTTCAGGTTCAACGTCTTTCTCAAGTCCACCGCGGCCGCTGCCGCCGAGGGGGGAGTCGAGTTTCTCTCTCCTGAGGACCAAGTACCAGCAGACCTACCCAGCTCAAGCGCTTCTGCCTCGGCCTTCCAACGCAGGCACCACCACAGGGTTGTCCAGTCCGGCAGCAGAGCCATGAGGGGCTTGAAACACGAAGCCACGCATGGCGTTCTTCTGATCCAGGGTGAGGAAACGAGGAAGATCTTAGCAAGATGGCTGGAGGGTCTCGGAGTTAGAGTGTGGGTCGTCGATCACTGGGAACTTCTGACCCCAACACTGGAGAAGATAAAGCAGAAGCCTTCTCTTAGCCACCTGAGCATCTTCGAAAGGTCTCACGCAGCAGTAGCACCTGGAATAGGATCAGATCCGTCGGCCGCCGATAATGCAAGCGAAATCCAACCAGATCCTCTTCTGCCACTGAAAGCTCCCGCTGCCATTCATGACCCTCACACAAAGATGACGAGCTTCTCAGGCACATCAGCAGCTCGTATCTTGATTATCGTCGATATGGGTTTTGAATTCTACCGGAATTCACATCTTTCACTGAACAGTCTGCTGAAGAGCATCAATCATAATGAATGTAGGGTCGTCTGGCTGGCCAATTCAAACACTCCCACCGCAGAGATAGCAATCCTGAAGAACAAGGAGGTCCCATGTGATTTGCTGCTGCACAAGCCCCTGCATGGCTCTCGTCTTCAGGCTATTCTGGACCTTCTTCAGGGGTTTGGCGAACCCATGGATCCGATCTTGCCAGAGGTAGGCCGGGGCGTTGTACTGATCCATGCATCCGATCAAACTCGATTCTTTTCTCGATTCACCAACAGCTTCTCTTTCTTTCTCCGGCCAGAAAGGCGATCCGGATCTTCCTTTCCACAGGGATGATAAGCCGCTGTCTGGGCTGAGAGTCCTGATTGCCGAAGATAATCCCGTGCTGCGTCGCCTGACTTCGGCCACTCTCTCCCGGCTTGGTGCGACTGCTGAATCATGCGAGAATGGGAGAGAGGCCGTCGAGCTAGTTCGAAGGACCATGCGAGGAGAATGGTTCCGAGAAGATGGGGGAGTCGAGAAGCAACGCCAGCAGAGCGGGTGGTTCCTGCGACGTCCTCCGTTTGACATTATCTTCATGGACTGCGAGGTAATTGTGGTCTCTTATTCGTCCGTCTGATTTACTTAAATATAATATTTTTATGAAATTGAGAAATTGTTGCAATCAGCATAGAATGCTTATAGCTTTAAGATTAATAATGAAGGGGATTATTTCGATATATATATATATAGTTATATTTATTTATTAGCTGCCATTGATTTCTTGCGCTCTGCATGTCCCAGATGCCGATCATGGATGGATACCAGGCCACAAAGCAAATCCGAGACGAGGAAAAGCAGCATGGGTTCCACATTCCAATCGTAGCTCTTACGGCTCACGCTCTGGGAGAAGAGGGAGTGGACTTTCGTCAAGCAGGAATGGACTTCCACTTGATGAAACCGCTGCAGCCTGCACTGTTGATGGATGCAGTTCGTCAGATTAATAAAATCTAAATGTTTTTTAAAAGCATTTTCTCTCCCTATTCTCCAGTCAGATTTTTTGTTTTTTTTTGAAGGGTTCATGCATGCGCTGAGATCTGGGAAAGTATAATAATCTCAGAACGATATTGAATGAGAGTTCATATCTCAGATATTTAATTAAATCACGCCCGATTGAATCTGAGCTGGTTTTTATCGTAGATTTGAAGCTTATATGTATGCATGTATGCAGATCTGAGAAGAAGTTTTGACGAGGAACATTTCGATCTATGCCATCATAATTGATGGTTCTCGTTGAATCCCATTTATAGATTATTTTACCTAGCGAAAAAATATATTTTTATTGTACCATCATATTTCATGCTTTATATTCTTTAGGCAGACCGAGGACGATGATGACTATCACATTTGATGGAAGGAAACGCCCTCATGTTCCATTGGGCCGCCGAGGTCAACTTTTGAGAGAGAGAGAGAGAGAGAGAGAATCAGAGAGAGAAGGATCTAGGCTGAATGTTAATTTTATGAGATATTTTCAAGGTTGTAGGAATCTTCTCTAGAGGGAGTGAGATGAGAGAGAGCGAGAGAGAGAGAGAGAGAGAGAGAGAGAGAGAGAGAGGGGAGGGGGGACTTGGCAGTTGGATCTCTTCGCCGGTCGGCTCGTCAGCTACCCTCCGAATGGACGGTTAGGTCTGAATCACCGGTAGAGAGAACGAGAATATCTTATATCTCCAGTTCAACATAAGCTCCCACCATCCCTCCCCCCTCTCCATCTCTCCTTCACACCATGGTACGTCTCTCTCTCTCTCTCTCTCTCTCTAACTGTGGCATTACGGCAGTCTAATCTCTCTCATGTTGTTCTTCTTTCTTTCCCACACAGTCGCTCTCGCCGCTGCTGGTAAGGTCGTCGGTGAGGTTGATGGTGCTGCTGCTTCGCCAGCCGGCCACAACGGTCACCACCCTCCTCTTCTTCGCCGGCCTCCTCCCCAGGAGCCGGGCCCTCGAGCGCCTCGTCCATCACGATCTACTCCTCCCCCGCAGCGACGCCTACCTCCTCCGCCTCATCGTCGCCATCTTACGCTCCTTCTAGTCTCCCTCTCTCCCTCTCCCTCTCTCTAGCGGTAGAAGAGCCCGCTTATGACCACCACCGGCTTCGCCTGCCCAGAGGGAGAATAGAGAGAGAAAGAGAAAAAGTAGCCACCTTGCGCAAGTGGGGGCTGCCCCCGCCTCCACCTCGTCGTTGGTCCTACTCTCTCTCTCTCTCTCTCTCTCTCTCTAGCAGAGCCTACTTTAGAGGAAAAGTTCGACCAACGGCTAGGCCTGCCTATAGAGAGAATAGAGAGAGAAATTACCCAAATTTGTACATTGGATGGACCGGGCCCGGCTGGCTAGTTCCTCTTCTTCTTCTTCCTCTCAGGGCAACTCCTGCTCCGCCGCCAGAAGTGATTCCCTCACGGCCCTCAGCATGTCGGAGAGGGAGACGAGCCCCACCAGGAGGCCCTCCCCGTCCACTGCCCACACGCGGTGCACCCTCGCCGCCGCCGCCGCCTCCATCACCTTCCCCAGGCTGCTCTCCCTCCGGCAAGTCACCAGCCGCCTCTCTGCCCCTCCGCCACCGCCACCACCCGCCGCCGTCGCCGCCCGATCCAGGAACTCCACCACCGTCAGGTATAGCCACGACTGCAGCCGCTCCGCCGGGCACCCCCGCAGGTCCGTCGCCGACAACGTCCCCACCAGCCTCCTCCTTCCCCTCTGCCCACACCACCACCCGTCACTGTCAGAGAGAGAGATATATATATATATAGAGAGAGAGAGAGAGCAGGAAAATTCACCTGAGAATATATAGATAGATATAGAGAGAGAGGGAAACCAGGAAAATTCACCTGGGCGAGGACGTCGCCGCCGGCGTTGTTGTCGTCGTCAGCGGCAGCGACGATGGGGACGGAGGAGAGGGAAGCGGCTCTCATGGCCTTGAGGGTGTCGATAACGCGGGCGGCAGCGGTGACGGAGAAGACGGCGGTGTTGAGGGCGCCCATCTCCGCCACGGAGGGGGTGAGGACGGCGGCAAGGCGGTCACGGGAGGCGCTGAGGTAGGCGAGGAGGTCCTTCTGGGTGAGCATGCGGTACCCCGGGGAGGCCTCCTCCAGCTCCGCCGCTACCACGTGCTCCGCCCGGCTCTCCACCGGCACCATTGCCCGGTGCACCCCCTTGCTGAACGCCTCCATGCAGTCCATCAGGCTGTAGAACAACACCCCCCAAGAACACAAAGAACATCGGAGGAACGATCGATCGATCGATCAATCAATCAATCAATACAAAAAAAAAACTAGAAATTTATGATGATGATGATCATGATGGCATCGCCACTGGCATTCAACAAAACGTATTGAATGAAAAACAAAGATCTTAGAACGACGGGGAACGTATTGATGATGATCTTAGAACGGAGATCAAGCATTTCTTCTTCTTTTTTTTTTACCAGGAGTTTACTGCCCTTGGAACGATGGGGAATATTTTTCCGCTCAAACGGAAACAACCAGCCAGCACTTGCATTCGACGGAGGGCATCGATCAAACAGAGGAACGCATTCGGATTAAGTATGTCTCGAGAGTATCAGCTGGTTGGAAGAATGGCAAAACTCTTTAGAGATCTGCACCAGCATATGTTCAGTCGTTGGGACCATACTTCACTTGACTTGGATGGATGGATGGATGGAATGGAACAGACCAGGGAGGAGAAAACGGTGCAAATAGGAACCCAATGCATTAAATTGGATGAGATTTCCACCTCGGGAAGATTCTAGGAATCCCAAAAGAAGCTCCAGGGATTGGGCGTGAGTGAAGCATTCATACTATGTAAGTAGAAACCCCGGCATTTTCGAGAACCCAAGGACTGATCTTCATCAGAAAAACGCCCTCATTTGGCGAGAGGGGAGAAATAATGTGGGCTCATCATGTCTTCTCGGAGAGAGTTTCAGCACCAAAGAGGGAAACAGTTCTTAGAACAAGATTGGTATGAACTCTGGCGATGTCGGAGATCGGAGTTTGCATTCCACGGGAAAAAAATACTTCGATTCTGTATACTCACAGTGGCCTTAATTCCATATTTTCCATTATCCAATTGGAACCTTCGCATGATGACGGCATTATGGCACAGTATTCATAGATTTAATTAGATCTCGGTGATAAAATGCACCGATAATCTCTGAATGGAGAAAAGAATAACCTCTGAAAATCAAACCAATTAACTTGTCCAACAGGATAAAGATACCAGAAGAGGGTTTCCAAAATATGATGTCTGGGATTAAATACAAACGAAATTTTTTCAAGCAGGTGGTCTATAGAGTACCAAAAAGAACATCTCATGAACTGGCATACCCGGAATCAAGGACAATACATACCATATAAATGTTCAAGCTTAGAAGAAACCTCTGATTATGAGTAATTTCGTAGAATTTCAGATTCTTTCTCAGTGGGGAATGCTGGATTTTGTGTCTATTTATAGACGTTTTGAATAGTTAATGCTTACTCTGTGAGGGCCTTTCCACGGAGCCATTCATTCCAATGCTCAAATGCTCTTCTGAAAAAATACTTCTCATCCTTTTTTCTTCCATTTTTGTTCTTTCGGGATTTTCTTCCATTATGAGCAGATGATAAATCCTCAAGATTTCAAACAACCGTAACAAATATGACGCTGTCATCGGGAAATTCCTAAATGAATGACAGGACAATTTCAATATGCTACTTTTACGATTATTTGCGATATATTTCAGTCAAAATTTTGAAATATTTGCAACTCAAAGAGATGAGTGACTATAATAGCACCAAGCTTACTTATACTCGAGGTTTTAGATTAAATGGAATGAAAATTCCCATCACATACAGATCATCAGCTGAACAAAGATTTTCCCCTACCCAGAGAGAGGTCGTTTTCAGAATTTCAGAGTCAGCCAAGAACACGGCCAGTAAATAAGGAAAATCCCCCAGAATCACGGTGGTCAACAGGAAAAACCACAAGGGATATGGGAATGATTTTTGAAGGAATTTCAAGAAATCGGGATCATAAGAAAATTAAAGCTATAGAATTATCCAGATCAGGAAAGAAAACAAGAAGCTCAAAGAAACAATTATGGGTGAATGTTAAGGGAGGAAGGAGGAAGACAATGAATCGAAGATCGAAACACGTGCGCTCCCTGCAATCAACAAGATGGGGAAACCTAGCGAAAGAATGTAGCAACTTGATCGAAATAAGGAACGAATTTCTGAGTAAACCAGAGAGAGAAAAAGGTTGAAGCCAAGCAAGTAGACAATCTGAAAGAAAACTTCCATGGAGAGGAAGAGGAGACCTGGTGTTGGGGTTCAAGGTCCAGAGGCTGAGCCCCTCCAGGGAGTGCCCGATGATGGACGACACCGGCACGGACATCCTATGCTCCAGGTCGAACCCCCTGGCAGCGGCCGCCGCCGTCCGCGGGCTGCTGGCGGTGTCCTCGCCCTCTTCCTCGGCGATGTGGATGAGCACGTCGAGCATCGTGACAATGCCGATGTAGTGCTTGCGGGGCGCCCCCGTGGCCCTGTCAAGTTCCACAATCGAGGTCCCGCCGGCGCCGATCCATCGCCCCGGCGGCGCTGCCACGGGGACTGCCACCACGTTGTTGGCCACGAGCGCGTTCAGCGTATCCCGGAGGGTGGCGGTGTAGGGCACCTCCACCATCCGCCTCTTCTCCTTCACCAGATCTCCCACCTTCGTCTCCCTCAGCCACCTGCAAGCCGCCCTCCTCCCCTCCACCGCCTTCGACATCCCCATCATTCTCTCCCCTCTCTCTCTCCCTCTCTACTCTCTCTCTACTTTCTCTCTCTACTTTCTCGCTTCTAGAAACGACGGTTACATCTGTAGCTACTCTCTCTCTCGGTATGTATAGGGGGGGCGTGTCCGCGCCGTACGACTTCTGGCAGGTTGTGGATAGGCACGTCCTTTGCCCACGTGGCGCCGGAGTTCCTGAAAACTGCCACCGTTTTCCCGCCGCCGCCGTCTGATTTCCGCGCTCCCCGGGTTTCCATCTGCCACGTGGGTTTCAGAGTTCGTCCCTACCCGATATCCACGTGGATTCTGAAAATGGTTAATAAAAGTGATTAAAATATAATTCTGGCCCGTTTTCTCATTTCGGGCTTTGCATTCCAGCCCAAAAATAATATCTGGCCCGGCCCAAACACTATCTCCCTCGTGGGCCCCAACCGTCTCCCAAGGGCCCAATTGTCCATTTTATGCTGATCGGGCCCAAATTTTCGTGGGCCGAAAAGGGCCAAAAAGTTGGCTAATAAGGTGTGTGAGAGAGAGCTGACTTACTATCAAGAGAAATATAATTTGGGGCGGGGGTGTGGATTGGGCTGGGCCCATTATCTTCTGAGATAGATAATTTCGTGAAATATTCCTGCCATGAGATGCAATGTTCAGACTAAAATAAGTGATTTTATGATTATATGGATTTTATACGTGATATTACTTCTCGTGCCACGTTTCCCAGGTTAAGTTGCCCAGAAATAATACTCTTGTTTTTATTATTTTTAATATTATTGGTCAAACTAGTGCGTGCACATTTCTCGCACGAAGAATCCCGTGAATAGTAATATTTTGGATTTTTATCCAACCCGTCAAAACAGGACGAATCATTTTTAGTATTTTTAATTAAATGATTATTATCCATATTTTTTGCGTGAATAATGCTATTTTTTGTTTTCTTTTCCTCAAGACAAAAAAAGAGGAAAATCTGCCCCGCCCCAACGATTTTCATAAAGTTTGGGCTTTTGGGGCCCATCTCTCTCGGGCTCTCTCTCAGCGAAAGGGACCGGGCCTAAGCCCGTTTTTAAACTATTTTTTCTCTGTGTCGGCCCGTTGATGCCTCGAAACAATGTGCTAAAGTACAAATACAATATATGTTTGGAAGGGGGATATATTTGACATTAATGAGAACTATAGGAAAAAAACATTAATATTTCATTTGAAATTCCCTTAAATCGGGGAGGTACGAGGAGGAGCTGCAATCCACCTGAGCAGCCATGGCCTCGAAGCTAGATGAAGGGGAGGCAACGGAGGTCCTACTCGGCGTCCGCTCCCTGTACGACTCCCATCCCTACGCTGTCGCCGGTCTCCGGCGGCGGCGCTGGAGCTCCGCCGCCGCCTCCGTCTCTTGCATGTACTACGACACCGTGTTTCTGCTTCTGATCGCTCTGCTCGTGCTCACCGCCGTCGGAGCCTTCCTCTGGCCCTCCAAGCCCCGGGTGAGCGTCATCGGCCTCAAGTTGTCCGGGGCCACATCCTCCGCAGCCGGAGACTACTCCTCCTCCGCCGCCGCCGCCACCACCATCTCTCTGAGCGTTCAAGCGGAGATCCGGAATCCGGATCTCGTCTCCCGGAATTACAGCACGATCTCGGCGTCGGTGAGTTATGAAGGGGCGTCGTTCGCGAATGCGACGGCGGACGCGGTATCTCTGGATCCGCGAAACTCGTCAACTGTGCTTCTTCCGATTCAATTCAGTCTGAATACGACTTCCTCGAACGGAACGGCGGATCTTGGCCTGGCCATTGCGGTTGGTGGAGAATTTGAATTTCTAATGTTCAACATCTACGTCGAGGTAAGAGGATCGATCCCCCGGCCTCCTATATAGATATATTCGTTTATTCAAAATAAAAAATATCTCATTGACAGTAATTCATGTGTATTTTTTCCAAAGTGTCGTTCATTCTCACCTCGATCATTCAAGTTTTTTTGTAAAAAAAACAAAAAAGATGACAAAATAAATGCCTCTGTGGTGCGCTGTTCATACCAATTGGAGAACACCAGATGCCTATTTTGGATGTTGTTCCCGAGAGTCTTTCATTCTTTTCAAATCTAAGTAAACGCAGAATTAAATTCCGCGAATCTAATCTAATCTTGAGACTTTCATCCTCTGAGATGCGACAATATCTTCTGTTTCCTTTTCAGGGAAAAAAATCTTGCACAATTGGTGTGAACACAGAAAATCAGACCATCGCTCATCAGAATTGCTATGAGTAGGTGAGTGAGTGAGTATGTGTGGATGCCTGTACATACTGATCGTACTATCGTATCTACGCTGCCATTCTAGGTGACACTGACGATTCGAGAGCTATGTTTTCTTAATTTTCGCTGGTGAAATGTCTCTTGATATTTGGCATCTCCGAGGGAAGCATCGATTTCACATTTGATTTTATCTGCGCGTATAATTAAATGAATATATATTGCAAATTTGCTCCTCCCCTGGGCCCCACGTTTCAGATATTTTTTTATTTGGCTTTTTTTTGAGGCCCAAGCAGGACAAAAAGTGGGCCCATTGGGCGGGTTCGGTTGTAGTGAAAAAACAGTTACAACCCTGATATTTTAATATTTTAAAAGAAGGAAAAGAGAGTGCCGCCGGTACACGTGGAAAGCAGGTGGCTGCCACGTGGAAAATGATGGAATCCGAGCCCTTATCCTCACTCTCCCCACCCCTGGCCACGTGTCTTCCCACCACAAAAAATCTGAAACGTTTCCGAGGAGGAAATATTCCACGTCTCCCTCCACCTCCTCCCCCCCCCCCACCCGTCATTATTCCTTCGTCACAGAGAAACCGAAGATGTGTTTCCCGGAGTTCCGCCCCGCCACCGCCTTCCCCTCCCTGCCCCCGCCGCGTCCGTACGCTGCGGCGGTGCCCGACGAGGGGACGGCGCCGCCGCCACCGTCGCGGGAGGCGGAGGGTGGGTGCATCTGTTCGCCGACGAGCCACCCCGGGTCATTCCGTTGCCGGAAGCACCGAAGGGGTTACAAGTGGGTCGGCCGGCGGAGGTCGTAACGGCGGCGGCGGTGGCGGTGGCGGCGACGGCGAGGGGGAGAAGGGTGCAGTCCTCGGCGGGTGCGGAGAGTTCACGGTCGCTGCCTACGTCAGGTATGTACAGCGCGCCATCACAATTCATCTCTGTTCTCTCTCTATGGATTGTCTCCATTCCCAGTCTGAAATCTCTCTAAACTGTCTTCTCTGGGAAGATTTGTGTTGGTTTTCTTGCTTCTTTCTCTTTCTCTCTCTCTAGATATGTCTCTCCTTGTTGTTCTTCGAGGTGAGAGAGAAGTGGGAGGTGGTTTCCTGGGGGCCAGGGGGGCGTCGGTGAGGAGGCTTCGTCTGGTGTGGGGTAGACTCTCGCGCGGCTGCTTTACACGCAGTGGGCGAGGCTTTCCGTGCTTCCAGAGAGAGCGACTTATTCTCCGGTCCCACCTTTCCTTCTGTCACCATGCAACTCTCTCTCTCCCTCTAAATCTCTTGCCCCAGGTTCATGAAAAGGGTACACGTGGAATGTCAAAATGACAATGTGGACGAATATTTGAGCTCTGGCGTGAATATCAATCATCCTTTCTCTCTCTCTCTCGCTCTCCCACTAAAAAAGGAAGGATACACACGCAATTTACTCTCTCTCTCTCTCTCTCTCTCTCTCTCTCTCTCTCGCTGTGTAAAAGGGGGAGTACACGTAGAATGCCGCCGCAGCCTCCAAAACCAAATCCGATTTACTTGAAGAGATGGTCACATTTCAAGCAAACGACAATCATCTCCATCTGCATGATCACATTTCACTTTTACTTGTAGTATTGCCAAGCTTTACAATATTATCCGGATAAAACTAACTTATTTCTTCATTCTCCAGAAGAGAATTTTCAAAATAAGAAAACTCCCTCAAACCCACCATCTGACAAGAAAAAATAATAAAACACAGCTCCGTCGCAGATTTTTTTTTATTTAAGAAAAATGCATTTATGTGTATTTCTTCTCAGATAAATAATACAGCAATCATCCCTAAACCCAGAGACCGATAAAGCATTAGTGTGAACCCTGATGAGACCCATTTCTCATCCAAAACTTTCATGCGACTAGAGAGAGAAGCTCCACTCGAAACCCAGGACATTATTAACTCTAATCGGCATCCGTCTAACAAACCAGGTGTAATCGCCCATTTGAATCAAAGATAAAAAACCCATTTGACTTCAAACCTTGAAAGCCTTCATGCATCAATTAAACCTAGAAACATTTCATGCATCATTCTAATGAACGGGGGGGGGTAGGTAGTAATTTAGGCTACATACTTTACAAATGCATCATCTCCAGGAATCACATCATCTCATCAAAGCTTTCAGACTCTCATCTTAACATATACAACAAGGACAAAAAGAAGAAGAAACCCAAGGCAAGTTCATGGGGGGGGGGGGAGAACATCTACTACTCACAGGCCGGCTCAGATCTCTGCTCAGGTGAAGGTATCCTCACGGTCGCCCTCCCCGGCCTCACCCTCCTCCAGGTTGCTGAACTCAAGGAAGTGGGTCGGGCGGTGATCCTCGTGGTAGTACTCTCTCGGCGTCCCCAGCTTCATCCCGTACTTCATGCTTGCCGTGTGCTTCACCCCCATGAAGTTGTAGTTCCACGGGCCGTTGTCGGGAACCTGCCGGCGGGGATGAATGATCAGAGCCATTCTCCATCAAACCAAGACGATTGATTCCATATTTAAAGGTGGGAGGATTATACAGTCACAAATGTGCTTATATCAATCTTACATGGTTGAAATTCATTTCATCATATCGATAGGATAATGCGAGCACAGAGATACATATATTAATCCAATCAGATGACAACGCAATTCATTCCACAACAGTGATGAGATCATGCAAGAACTTATACATAAACTATTAAAGATTGTGATGAATTTCATAAGATAGACGTGATTACAGAGGCACATATATAGTAATCTCATAAGTTCTAATTTATTTCATGACACTCGTGGGATTATGCAAGCACATATTGATTCAATGCATCCAATTATCCAAGCACATGCGTCTGTATATTTTAATATTACTTCTTTTAGATAGATAACGATTTATTTCAAAGATGATAAAGGAGAGTGGGTTGTTACTGAAAAAAATACCATGTAGAACCCGAGGAAGCGGTCGCTGAGGAGCATCTGGACCTTCTCGTAGTGGGTTGGGAGGTACCCATGAGGATTGCTCCCGGTGTCCTTGTTCACCCGGCCCCACTCATACCCGGTCGGCGTGAGCTTGTAGGCGGTCAGAGAGCAGGAGCCAGGGGTGAAGCTGCAGGTCAGAACGATGCACTTCTCACCGTCCCACTGCTTGTTGTTCTCCAGAATCCGAGCATGGGAGGTGAGATCCTGGCGGAAGAACCAACACCAACACGTTAGAAACAACAGCATCTAGCACCAACCTTCTTTCATTCTCTTGTCGAGGGTTTATTTGCCCCAGCTCGAATATTCCGAATAAGCTCGATGTTTACGTATTATAAGAAAGAAACGGGAGGAAAATGAGGGATCCGCAAAGGAAAACCCTTTCCTTGGTTTGATGAGGAAGAAGAGCACTAGAGAAAAGAAACGATTTGACCTAGAGAATGGAAAAGAGAAGAAGAGAAAAAAAAGGATGAATTCCAATTTAAAAGAGAGATCCAAACCTGAGGAGAGAGTTGGGGGAGCTCGTTTGGCTGCGTGTGCATCCACCCTAGTGGTTCCAGGTCGTTCAGGAACTCGTGCTCGGGGAGAGAAGAAGGGAGGTTGACTTGCTGGTGGGTGCCCCACTGCGGGGGCATGGCTATACACCTGATCTCCTTCACCTGCGGGTTATCTTGAGGGCTCAGCCCATAAAGGTACCCACAGATCTGAGTCCGAAGGTCCGCCACACAGATGAACTTCTTCAAAATGTTCTTGGGCATGATGTACGTGTACCCCGTTTCCTGAAAGGTTGATGATTATTATTTAGATGATTATTCGACGAAAATAACGATGAATTAAATGTAAAGGAAGTCAGCCCAGCAATACCTTGATGTCATCTGAATTCACATAAATATGATTTACTCGCAGATAAAGATTTGTGGCCGAGATAGCCCTGACACGCCAATCAGTCTTGGATCCAAACGCTGCTTGCTCGTAAGGGCTCGTTGTGGTGACAATGAGTTCGTCACCATGCACATTTGTCGTCTTTGTCGTCACTGCAGTCAACTGGCTTGCTTCTTTCGCCTGCAGATTATATAGATAATTAAAAAAAAGAAGAAATCATCAGGGATGCTGCAAATCATTAATTATCAGAGATCTGAACGGATAAATCTTCTTGGGGGGGAAAAAAAATCACCTGTTTCTCAATCTCGGCAATCTGTTGTCTCTGCTGTGAAGGCGGGGTTATCTCTGCCCCGAGTATTATGTCACGGATTTCAGACTGCGTCAAGGCTGATGTGTTCACATTATTCTTCTTTGCATAATCTGAGAGTATAAGATCCCTCAGAGCGACTTCCACCTGCACAAGAGGACCAGATCCCGTTATTATGCTTCACGAAAATGAATCAACAAAGTAATCTCGTCAAAATAGCAGGAGGAGACTACCTTCATCCACTGGTCGTCTGTGAGAGAAGGCCAGATGTGGTGCGGCTCCGTGACAATGGTTTTGTCCGGTTTCAAGAGCATCTTTGCCTTCTCATTATTCACATGGAGCGCCCTCAATATCAATATGAGACGAGAGAAGGCGGTGTATGATGAGATGCTCTTTAACCAATCATCATAGATGTTGAAGAGAACCATCTGCGGCTCAGTAGCCTTCAGAATGAGATCACCGAACTTCTCAATCTTGAGACACGCCTGGAATGGCAGCTGAAGCTCACTACCCTTGATTACTATGTTTGGGAAGTCGAGCAAGTGAACCTCCAAAGGATCCAACATTCCCTTGCGGGTCACGATGATTTGCTTCGGCTGTTCTTCAACAGGCAACGAGCGCACCAGAGCAGCCACCTCCTCTGCTGTCTTCCACTTAGCTAGCTGACCCAGACGCTTTTGCCCTGCCCAGACACTCGTGTGGATGACCTGAAACAGTTCCTCAGGTCAATAATTAAACATTATCGCTGTAACTGCTAGCTGACAAACAAAGGAGGAATAAGAACAACCTTCAGAAAGAGTTGTCCGGTCCTTGGGTTGAATATAAAGATTGCACCATTGATGGGCTTTGTGGTAAGATTTCCTTCAAAGGTCTTGTGTATCGTGACTCTATAGACATTAGTGTCGTCAACAAACCATATGATCTGGTTGCTGAATATCTCCCCGTAGTTTTGTGATGAAAGGTATGGCTCCGTTGGTTCAGAGGAATAAAGCTGCAGGCCTTTCCGTATTCTTTCTCTCAGAACATACAAGGCAGGATTCGACTGCAATATTAATATAGACGAGTTAGTTGAGCTATTTTCACATTTTCTGGATCCAGTATCTGATGCTTGTCCCAAGAAAATTTACCTTCATAATCTTATTCATTGCTTGAGCTAGCAATGGTTTTGACCCAGGAAACCAATTGCCAAATGCAGAGTGCAAGTTATATGCTAGGTCAAGTCCAATCATCACCCCTTTGAGAAAAAAAATAAAATCGTATGAAATATAGATACATAAAAGGAAACCCAAGCAGAGTCGAAAGTAAAGAAGCCTACCAGTTGGAGAAGGATATATTGACATGTTGTCCGTGGTGTAATCCATGAACTTTGCCCTTGTATACCGTTCTATATCATGAGAATCGTAGTCTCCCCAGCGGAGCTGGACGTCTATCCAATATTTATTGCTCGCCTTCTGGTCAAAAACATCCTTGGACTCAGCTACCAAGCTAGGTTTCGACATTGGCCATCTGTGCGCAGCAAATAGTAGGATATCGGCACATGAGCTGTTCATTTTATAACTCTTCCTAGGATGTATCGTTTCTTTCTGCACAGTCTCGATTTCCAATGCATCCAACTCCTGATCCAACACCTGGCAGAGATCCATGACAACACTTTCATGGACCTTTTGCCAAAGATGAGCACGGAATATCTGAATTAAAGATATTTTCAATGTCGGAATCTTTCCGTGCATGAATATTCCTGTAAGATCTAGCTGCACTTGAAATCCTACATACACATTTGCTCGATTTATTGTAGGAGACCACCACAGGGTAAACCTACGGTTAGGAATCTGATTCAACCCAGATCGCTGTGCATTAGTCAGTTTCTTGTACTTCATAGATTCCTCAAAACCAGAGGCCTTCTCCCAGAACAGACCTTCCCATGTCGGGAAACTGCAAGGCAATAAAACCAGAGAAAGATAATCAATACAGAAGACCTAAGAAATATGGTGAAGAATCTGTCCAAGACATCAAATAGTTAAGGCATAGAGAGAAGCAATTAAATATCAGACATTACATATAGCAAAAACCATTTAAATAGAAAGGTAAAAATGCATATTTAGGTCAGAGTGGTCGAAAGGTAAAAATGCTCAATAATGATTTCCATTTGACTTACTATGTTCCTTTAAACAAGGTATGCTCAAGTATTCCTTCAACTCCTCCCAGGGCTTGGATGACATCAGTCCTATAATTGTTCAAGTTCCACAACTTGCCATCATGTCTCTGATGGGTCCACCAAAATGGATTTTGTTTCAGCACTTGGTACTGCTTAAAATCAGTGCGTACTCGCCAACCCTTGTCATATGCCAAAGTATGACGATCCTTCTGGAAAAGGGTATTTATCCGAGGGATTCCCCTGTCCCATGAGTCCTGTCAGAAAGGAGAGGTAAACAACAGGATTGTAAGTTCATCATGATCATCACCATCATCATGGTCATTCTACAATCTTACCGTATCAGCTGATGTCAGTTTAGGCCAATGAATAAAATAGGCAAGATAGATAAAGGTTATAAGACACAAACAAGAAGTTTAAGATAGAAAACGGTTATTGAACCACATTGAATGACAATGGAGTACCACACAATTTCCATAGAACATACCTCAAGATCCTCAAGGGTCAATCGTCTGTTTTGTGATTGTGCTTCTTGTCTCTTCAGAGCATACTCAGCCCAAACACGTTGCGAATCAATGAATTCACTTTCCCATGGCTGCACATGGAAACGAGGTAAGATTAAATTCTCAAGTGAGAAGAATAAAAACAAAGAGATATGTAGATAACTAAAGGGAAAGAAACAAGAAATCTGAACTGAACCAACCTGAATGTAACGATAAAGGTTTGGAATAAGCTGATCTTCCTCATGGCTCATACCGCTTCTAAAATGTGTCACCCCAACATCTGTTTGCTTGCTGTACCGGAGATCACTTTGGGGGATCAAAATGTGCCCCATTGACAACATCCCAAGGCCTCCAATTTCCTTAGGCGTGTAAAAGATAACAGGAGGGAACCTGAAAAGAAGAACACGATTTTTATAAAAGCAATTCATCGAAGATCACAGTCAACCAAGAACAGGTTTTGTGGCTGCAGACTACCTGCTGGGCATCTTTGAATTCAAACCAATCTTGATACGTGTCTGGATCTTGTTTTCACATTTTACAAGCAAATCCAACAACTCCTGGGTATGCACTGTTGCTTCGCGGAAGTATGTCATAAGGCCTGACGGAGAAGTACCATGGCTTAGTGAACAGAAAGGGGAAATTTCCAAATGACAGGGAAGGGAAAAATGACATTTCTCACACACCTATAAGAGCTGTGTTCCATTTGTTGACAATCTTAGTAAAGGTTGTAGAGCCTGACGACATAAGGATCTGACGTACACGATTCTCAAACACTTTCATATGTTCATCATCAACACGTAAGAACGCTATTGCAGTTCTCTCCTTAGTCTGCTCGTTCTGCAAGTTCCAGACTCCATCTTTTGTGTTGCTAAATGCTTCCAGAGTCATTCTAATTTTTGGCAATATTCGTACCTCAAAACCACACCTAAAAATATATAATTGAACCAAACGTCAGCGAAAATCCTCTCATTAGACATACTCTCAAGTAAGAACGAGAGAAAATGCTGAAATTTCATTAACTTTTTTTTGTAGATGACTAAACTAGTCTCTATTAAGTAGACCTATACTTTCATGGACCAGTAGCAGGGTGATGTCTGTAAAAAGGAGGATGGTAACATAGTCTGTAAATAGAAAGCCATTTAAACTTACATGCTGAAAAGCAAGTTAGGATTATCCTTGCTGTAAACAGAAACAAAACTGTTTTCCCACTCCAACGTTGTGATACTTCGAGGAAGCCTGTTCTTCATGTCCCAAAAGACACTTCTTCCGAGATTAACTGCAATGCAATGGAATCACGATGCCATGCTACAAAGAACCTGGCTAAAAGCATTTCAATTTTCTAAAATTAGAAAAACCTACCATCATGCTTCATGAGCCTCATTCTTGCATCCCTAGGCCAGCACTTCTTGTTATTATAACCAACCATATTCTCATTATTTGGATCAGGGTGCTCAGTAAGATAACGCTGAATGAGGTCACGTGCCTCCTCATGAGTGAAATGGAATAGAATGTGCACTTTATCAATGTAGCGGGAATACAAACGTATTGGATGCCTGGCTTCAATTTTGGTGTCTGCATAAGTAAGAAACTCATTGGGCAACTGAGGAGGCCCAGCGATTTCACTTGCCCGGGTCAAACCAAGAAGCAGAAGATCTAGGACCAGCCCATAATACTGCACCACAAAGGAGGCAAATTGAAGACCACGAATAAGACCATACGAGTTTGTGTGGCTCATATCCTTGTACGATAAGACAACATTATTCTTAGCAGTGACATAATCAGCGATGTTGTGGTCGAGAACTAAGCGGAGGAGCCTGAAAAGGAAAAAAATTATAACATCGTTATATCAATATTCAACAGAAGCTTCTCCAGGCTGGTCTGAAAAAATAGGAAAAGACTGAAGTTACCTATTTAACATGGTCAAATCAATTTTCTCATAGAATTTCTCAAACTTCGTCTGCAGCATCACAACACACTGCCCGTCGTTCGTATCCCATACACCCTGTAAATTGTTTATACCTTGACACCATTTATAAACCAGAAGTGGTGGTGGTTCAGAGTCAGCAGGTTTGATCCAGTTAGGAAAGAGGTGACGCTTGTCTCCTTCATACCACAGGTATTGATCAAGGTATGCATCAGTGATTTTCTCTAGCGGTTCAATTTCATAAACAGGAATGAGATAACTGTAGAGATCCATGAACTCAATGCCAACCTGCAGAAAAAATCATTTTCAGTTATTCAAGAATTGTCTAAAATAAAATTTCCACAGCCATTCTCAAGGTCATGAACGTACTTCCTTAAAAGCACGCTGTGTAAGCAGGTGCCGCTTAATTCGTGACAATGCCTCATGTGGATTGTCATAAGCTTGCTCAATGAGACCTAATTCTTCCCTTTGTAGCTGGTTTAATCTCACAGCCACGCTATAAGACTCCTTCAACCTCTCAAGTGCAAGGATAAGAAGCTTTGTGTCATGTTTGTAGGATAAAGGAGGAAATGGTATGGGAGAAAACTTTCTTGACTCAAGCCAATGCACAGTGGTAGTATATATAGCAACTGCCTCTTCAGGTGTCACATATGGACCATCTTTCAAGTAATTGTGTTGCCTCTCCTGCGATGAATTAGCATCTGGTAAGGCACATTCGAAAGATAAAGTGACAGGAAAGAAGGGACCATCCCCAAAATACATAGCAATACGTATGATACTAAATTTTACTTTTCTTTTAAATTATTGCAAAAATAAAAATAAAAATATGGTGTGAATTAAGTCAGCTAACAGACACAGGTGGGCTTCTAGTCAGAGAATAAAAAGAGATAGGCCTCCTATTCACTTCACTCCAATGAAGACATTGCCTTGCACTAGGAAACACTTAAGAAAAGAAGTTGACAGCATGAAGGAATTGGTGATAGAGTTTTAGATGATAACCAACATGAAAGAAGCTGAGGTATAACATAATTGATATAGGGAAAAAAGAGTGATCAAGTAAGTTTACCTGCTCAGCCTTCAACCACAAACGAGTTAACCTCCCCAGGTTCTTTCGGCAAACAGTCTTGTCAACTGTTGCCCCTCTTCTTATACGCTCACGATTGTAATGAGCTACATTTGTCCACCAATCTGCTTTTGACTTCACATAGCGAAGAATCATGTTCTCAATGGGGACAGGGAGCCCAGGAACCTGAAAATATCTATCTGTGAGGCAGCTGTAAGGCAAAAAAGTATACAAGTTAAACATCATAAAATAACATCATTGTACCTTCCAGGGAATGTTTGCTTTCCAACAACGCCATGCTTCGCTCAGATGCTGCAAAATAGTTCTAGCTTTATTCTGCTTGATGCCCTCTGCAACAAAAGGCATTTCTATACTTTAATTTCATCTATGGGCAATACAAAATGCAAAAAAAGCTAAAAAGAAATCATGTATAGAATGATTCCAAATGAAGTCCACGAAAACTAGACAAGTATCTCGCTTATTCACAGAGAACTGATCAGGTCAATGGTTTATTGTATATATCATGTCTTTGAACTGTATGCAGTTGCATGTCAGCCAGATTAAAGATCATGATCAGTCATTTTTTCAGTTTCAGTAATAACTAAGAGGATAAAGCACATAAATATTTGACTCATAGAATCACCTGGCATGGCATCAAGAATATCATGCATAACTGCGGCTCGAAGTTCCAAATCAAAATGGCTCTCAACACGCTGCTTAGTAACAGTCTTTGCAACTCCCTTCGAATGACGACCTTCAAACTGGCGTGCAAGTAAATTACCCAGCCACCTTTCCAGCAAGGGCACAATACCACGAAGGAAAAATAACCAAACCCTCCACATTGGTGCCCAGAAGCCACAGCCAGGTCCCTTCCCAACAGGTCCAGTATTAAAGCGGTAGTAAATCAAATGCTTCAAGTCCTTGCACATCCTGATCTGGCGCATAAGACGATACTTGTAGCGATACATGCCTGTTAGCTGGCCAACATGTGAAAAGGTGTACTGCAGCCCATCAGCAAGTTGAAATGCATCCACATTTCCCAGTCGAAATTGGATGTTGGCATCAACAACAAGCTTTGTAAGACGCAAAATTTCACGACATAAATGAAAAGCATTTCCAAAGCGAGACTTTTTCCTCTCCTTTGTAGTAAGTGTCTTCACAGGCTTCAAGTTGAAATTGTAATCAAGGTGAAGATAGTTAAGATTTTTTCTATGTATCAACAAATTAAGCATGTTGTAACCCTGCTTGCAAACTTGAAGACCTGCTTCTGCCCAATCCAACTCAGTAGTCTGAAAGAACTTAGTTGCTTGAAGAGACCGAAATAAATGCTTCTTTTTCTGTGCCTTGGGAGGTCTGTGATGCAGCTCATTGAGTACAAAGCATTTCAACAACTTTTGGTAGCTCACCCGAACTTTAACTGGATATGATGGAGGGCTGCAAAAAGATAATATTACAACATAAGTTGAAAGCTGAATTTAAAAGGAAAGATGTAAGATTTGAATGCTTCTAACGTAAAGAAAACAGCATTTTGGAGAAGATAGACATAGGATTCATCGCTTACCAATGCTCCTTGTACCACTCTGATACAAGAGGTATGTCCTCAGCCCTTCTCATCCGGCCAGATCTCATGTTAAATGGCCTTGGAGCAAATAATAACGATATACCAGCAGCAGTGGTATCAGTATACAGCTGAACACTTTGCAAAAAGGGCTCCACACCATCAGGAAGTTCAAAATCTTCCTCATCATCCTCCTCATAACCCCGCCTCTCTCGGCGGTCAACCTTGCTGACTGAGGTAACGGGATTAATCAAAGGGTCATAGTAGAATGCTGGCAAATCAGGATCCTCAGTCTTTATGTACATTATCATAGGAGTATGATATATGCCAAGTTTCACTTTCCTAGGTCTGTTATTGTAAAGATGAGGAAAAGCAATTCTGTACTCAGTCCTGAGAGGAGAACGGATGATGAGTTTGTTAATGTCATTAAATTCATTCCAATCTTCATCGCCCTTTTCCATGTCCCGGTACAACGGTTCAAATTTGGGACCACCTGCAATAAAATGTAATAAAATTTAATATAAATATGGAAAAAGCTATAGAAAAATAAGAATCTAAGATTTCCTTGAGGGATTAGTAGAAATCGTCCCGGAAAAAAAAAAAATTCTAACATAATGGTGGCTTTATCGTATGCCTACATTAGAGGACATATTAAATTGACACAGAAAAACCATCAAAGGACATATCTCAAAGTTGTAAGATATGAGTAATTATGCCACCAGAAGGCAAATTAGATCTACTCCATCAACGACAAAATAAAAAGGGGTTGGATGGTAAATAGATTTATTTAGTTTCCTCATCAAAGAGAGGATCTGTAGGAAATGCGACAAGAAGCAAGTGTACCTGGTATGCACATGTTCAGTGCTTTAGCAGTGAAAAATGACTCCATGTCAAACAGGTAGAAATAATTGCGGTCAATCAGATCAGACAGTAGCTGTCCTGCAAGCCGATGAAGAGTGGCCATGATTGGCAGCGAAAGATGCCACTTCCTATAACTAGGACCATTGATGAGCTTTGTTTTCACGAGAGGTTTATGATCATAGAACCATGTATACACAGCAGAATCTTCTTCTTCATCCAATTCCAACTGTATGGATTCAAGTGGATCCACATCCAGCACATTGTCGGCATAATCCAGTGGAGGTTCCTCATCATCAAAAGGAGGGAATCGCATTCTCTTGAAATGACGCCGGTCCCTTTTCTCCCTTCGCATCATTATCCACATTGTACCCCACTGTAGAAGTCCAATATTTAATAAATTACAAAGCTCATAAATTTTGTTCATATATACCAGGAAGTTCACTTGGCAAAAGAAGCCATAAATTTTGTTCTCTTTGAAAACGTACTAAGAACAACCGATGTCAAGGCTTTAAACTATCTAATATTACAGCAACTAGGATATTCATTAAAAATATGTATTCAGAGCAGGTGACAGCTAATGAAACGAAAACCAAGTAGGCAACATAGTTGAGAAAAACATACACGATTGCACTGCCAGTGCACCCCACCCTCCCCAACAACTTATCCATCATTAAGCCTAATGAATCAAGATCAGAAGTCTGGGGCACTTTTGGGAGAAACAAGAACGAAGGTTTGATAATCAGCATCAAGGAGATAAAAATGATTTTGCAAGAAAATTTTACATAAGCTAAAGAATAGTAGTTAAAATTTGGATGAGATCTGAAAAGGTTTATTAGAAGACTGTGCAGCAAAAAACTTCTTCCAAAACTTGGGGTCCGTATTTCAAGCTATCACCTACATATGCTCTTTATGCAAAAAAATAAACTCATAATAAAAATTCGAAATAAAATACCTGTGCCAAATATATAGGCTCGACCACCCATGGAATCTCATTGACAAATGTGATCGCACCAGTGATGTGATACAAAATTTTTACATCACGAACCTTCCATGGCAAAAAAATATGTCAGGAGCTAGACAAGCCAAAATCAAGAGACCAAGGAAGATAAAGTTCTATGCCTCTAGAAGATAAGAAAAGAACCTGTTCCCAAGGCATCGGCATATTCTCTAACAGCTTGTACACTGCGTGTGGAATAAACTTGAGTGCCCCAAGATACACACGCTTATCATGGCGGTATTTCTTAGAGGACATATCTCCATGGTCCCTGAACAGAAATAAAAAAAGAGGAAAAAAACATGATTTAAAATGAGAAAGGGAAGACAGACGGAGGAAGTGAAAGTTGAAAAACTTCGGTCAAATAGCATGACGGTTGTACAGCTCTCTATAAACTGAGGTTCCAGAATATATACCTCTCTATGAATAAGCCAACAGTTTTTGGGGCCCCATTTGGACAAATAAAAACAAAAATAAACTTCATGACAGTACATACAAGGCTCAGCTCTCAACAGAAAAAATGAAGAGATGTTCGCATGATTAAAAATGTCAACCCCCATCGTAAAAAGGTTCCAATCATTAATCCTCAAACGGGATCTGCACGGCAGGATGGGTCCTGATAGGGCAAACAAAGAACAGATGCATCCAACTGGATTCTGAAAAGACTGATCACCACTAGTGTGCAGAAGATACGGGTGGAAGAAAACACAGCTCAAATTCCTATAAACACAGACGTCGAAGCACGACATGTATGAAATATGAATGAGATGATGAAATGAATGATGTTCCAATCACTATATCATGTTCATCAACTCACCTGATGATCTTACGAACGTGCTCCGGGGGCATATCCTCTTTCTGAGTCTCCACGAACCCGAATTTCCGCTTGTCCCCGTACCTCTTCGAGTTAAGCTGGTGCCACTTCTGCGCCCGGTCGTCCAGTACCCTCTTCCTCTCCTCATCGGTGAGGGGTATCCTGAAATCCGGCTGCGCAGCCGGCGCAGGCGGTTGTGGTGGTGGCGGTATCGGCGGTGGGGGTCCCATCCCTAGAACCCCTACCGTTCCCGGTGGCGCCATCGGCGGCTGTTGCATAGACGGGGCAGCCTGTGACGGATGAGGAGGAAGGGGCACCGGAACCCCACTGTTCCACATTTCTACCTCTAAAACGTCACAACCATAACCTGCTCAGCCCTCTGCTCAGGTCCCACACACCTGCAGAGAAGCTCCGATCACCTCACTCCTTCTCCCCCAGCTTCTTCTTCCTCTTCTCCCGCTAGGTTTCCCTCGCTAGGGTTTTTGCAGTAGTGAGAGAGAGGACCAGAGAGGGCGGGCTTTCTTCAGCCCCAAAGATGGGAGATCCAAGCATGCAGTGGTGACTAAAGAGGTCAGTATATATAGTTGGGGCGGTAAGAAGACGGTCATGATACCGTCACACTTCGTACGCGCGGATGGGTTCTGGACACCGGCACTCGGGAGGCGGAGGAGTTCCCCGCACCTGTGTTGAGTAACACGTCCCATCTCTCTACTTATGAACCATCACGCCCTATCTCAATTTAATCTTTATAATAATACAAAACTATTAAATTTATTATAAATACTGATTTAATGAGTAATATAGTCCGAATAATATGACCGAGTAGGACTCATTAAATAAAACTTATTTAATAAGTATGACCGAATAATACTGTCGATCTGGGCTTGGGCCGGCCCGTTGACGTCTGAGAATATCTCGTGACAATAACTTTTGCGTGGGTCCCACGGATTCGTGCTCAGACAAACCGGCCAATACATCGAGTCAACGAGAGGCCGCCACGTCTGCTGTGGAGCCGGTCGACCAGAACTACTGGGGCTGTCCCATCCTCTGTAGCGCACCACACGAGCGGGTCCGATGGAGGAAAGGATGACATGGCAGGTCTCCATGTGGCTAAACTCTATTGAAGCGGAGGCCGACGTGAGAAGCCGAGCGGACCAGATTCCCCTGGAATGAGGCCACTCGTGTGGGGCTCGGGTTGCACGTGCAACTGGTTTGCTTAGGCTCGAAGGGAAACAGATCCACTGGAAGGTGGCATCTGTCTGCCTTCTCTCTGCCTGGTCTGCCGTTCTCCATCCTTCCCTCCTTCCTTGCCCGCCTCCATGATGCAGGAGGCGGATCTGCACGACCTCTCCGACGATCCTGACTACGCCGCCTCCCAGCAGCAGGTATACCTCGCTTGCTTGCCGACGCGATCATCTGTGCCAATCCTGGAGGCCTTTGTGATTGTGACTGAATGGTCGTCGGTCGTGTTTTAATTGTTGTTGATGGTGGTGGTGTTGTGGGCGGGAAGGCTCTGGGGAGAAGCCTCTATCGGAGCGACTCCGCTAAGTCGACCGAGATGGACAGCGGCGGCGGTGGCGGCTCCGAAACGGTTTACGTGAAGGATAATGTTGCGATACACCCGACGCAGTACGCTTCTGAGAGGATCAGTGGGCGCCTGCTACTCGTGAAGAGGGATTCGTCGCTGTTTATGGTGCGTAGCTTGTTTTCTGTCCCCTATGTTATCCCCTTCTCTTTTTCTCTCACGCTAACTCTCTCTACGTGTGTTTCTTGATCGATGTATTGACCATCTTTCGTAATTTAGTGTTGAAAATTTTCTATTTATTTTTTGACTGTGATTCATCGTTTAGACCTGGATCCCGTACAAACTAAGCGTTGGTGGGACCGACTCTACTGGGCGCAGCTCAAATGCGGGGATTCTCGAGAAAGGTTAGACGGACGTCTCGTTTTAGTTGTTTCTTCCATATCATTCTCGACGTAGTCCACTCTGCATGTACCTTCTTCAGTCTGTTTTAACCTCAAATGTGATCAGCTCCCTCTAGTGTTTGCTGGGACAACATCAAAGGATTCTCCCCGAGGTCATGGTATAATGTGTTCAGTAGTTGTCATGTCTTACCGCTCCTTCTCTGTCCATCTCCTCGACATTACGTAGAACATTCATTAGCCAGCGAAATGGGATGATAAAATGTGATTAGCTGAGACACAAACATAATTCTTTCATGATGGACTAGTGTTTTTCCAATGACTCTAACAGATGGTTTTTGAGGACTGATCTTTATACAAGAGTTGCCGAAAGACTTGGACTATTGATGTTGTTATTATTTTCTGGATCTGTTAACTTTTTCCTCTGCATATGATTGCCCTTCCTAATTCAATTTCTTTTTAATTGAAAGCATTTGTGGAGTGTCTAGGTTCACTTTCTCAGATTCATAATTTGGAAAATTATCCTTGCGAAGTAGTGCAGGGTTGAGGTTTTTATGATTTCATCAGATATTCTGATGGCATGATTACTTTTTATCACCGCAAATGATGACAATAGAGTTTGCAGGTCTATGCAGTGTTTGCACATTTTACATTTTTATTGTTTCTTCATTTATAGAGAATCCTGACAGTTTTGACGTGTGCCTTCTTTTTTATAATGTCTAGTTAAGTTCTATGAACACTCCTGACAATTTACTTCGCTTCTATTGGTTGACACAGATAGAAAGCTGTATACTATCAAGGATGTGCCCTTAGCTGATGTGCATTCAATCCGTAGGCATACCCCTACACTTGGCTGGCAGTACATCATTGTTGTCCTCTCATCAGGTACTTCATTTCTATTGTCTTTTTCCATCCTGTCTCAATATCGATATGTTAGCAATTTATTCTTACCATGTTGCTGTTTCTTTTGATTCAATTCTGCCAATGCTTCCTTCTAGGCAATCTGGTCGTGACTACCATTATCTTTTAACTCCTTGTCAAACATGCTAACTGCTATCTGGTGTCTACAACCTCTCTGGAGATGAAACAGTAGTTTTCATCATATTAAACTTGGGGGATTCAGAGTGTAGGTGTGCTCTTTGAGACTGTGCTACAAGTAGGAGTGGCACATATTTCCTTTAAACGCTTCTCCATACTTGTGTGTAGAAATTAAACTAGCAGGATAAAAACTCCACAAGTTACAGAGTAATGTTTCTATGATTTTTCCTGGCTTTGACGTTCTACTTGGGTTTGGGATATAACTGGAAACTAGAATCGAAGACATGTGAATGCCCAAATTTTGATGTAATGTATATGTGTAGCACGTTTGACTTTTAATTCTCCCAGCAGTATATTCCATTCATCATTCAGGTGCACATCATTGGAGAGGAATGAAATTCGGAAAGGTTGCACTTGACGACATGAATCTTATCAAAATCTTTCTCCAGTATGTCTGTTGGAGGATCAAAGTTACGGGGAAATGATTGCTAGCTTGTTGACTTCATCATTGCCTTTGAGGAAAGGGGGGTGAATATTTTTCTTGGTAGAATAGAATAAGCTGAAGTTTCTTTACCAATTGTGCTCAAGATAGTTTGGTGTGAATGGAAAAATCAAGTCTTGTAGGAATTCTTCAAAAGTCAAATTTCAGCTCTGGAAAAAGTAGTCTGTTTATGCTGGACCGGTCTATGATCAGGGAAGGCTTGGGCTAGATAATCCTGGCCTCTTCTAGAACTGGTCTCCTCATGGCTGGCCGATGTCTAACTCAATGGCATTTCTTACGGTTCTGCATTTTTTCTGAGATAACATACAAAGTGGAGGAGCTATCTGCACATTTTATATAATCACCAGGACAGAAATCATTTATGCTGCTCGTTATTGCAGGAAATTTCTAGATTTCTATGCTGAGAAAGCATGTAAAATTGTTTACTTTGCAAATGTATGTGTATATCCTTATTCAGTTGGGAGTCATGCAGGACTTGCATTCCCGCCACTTTATTTCTACAATGGAGGGGTTCGGGAATTCCTTGCAACTCTGAAGCAACATGTTTTTATTGTGAGGTCTGTATTCATTATTCAAATCATGATGTTTTTATTGACTTTATTGACACATTTGTGTGGTTCGTGGCCACTGGTTTATGTTTGTTTCTGTTGGAAGGTCTGGTCGTAAGGAAATACTATAAAAGATTGAGGGTATTTTGGGACAATTGTCTGGAGTTCCTCCTTATATAATGGGTGTTAGAGGTGAATGGATATTGAGGCGGTTATCTGCTGTTCTCCCCTCTGTCCTTCGTGACAGAGGTCATTCTCCCTGTACCTATATTTCTCAATAGTTTATAGTAGCATTAAGACAGAAGTGAATTATACACTATGGGAAGCAAAATGTTTTGATTTCTAGAAAAAAAATGACTCCTCTTATATTTAATGCTATAAGTTTCGTATCTTTGTGGCAACTCTTCTTAAATGTTTGACTTGGTAGCTGGCTAATTACTTTCTGATTAATTTTATGCTGTTTCCAGATCTGCAGATGATGCAAATGTCTTTCTTGCGAATGACTTTCAAGACCCTTTGCAGGTTCAGTTCTTGTCCGTTTTGTGTTACTATATTCTGAAGTCCAAAGTTGTCACAATATTAACTGAAATTGTTGTACATCTGACATAAATGTGCAATATGAATTTCCTCTTGTCATATGAAACATTTGTCAATGTGGTTATACCGAAATATCATGATTTCCGTTAGATTCTGATGCTTAATCATTGACTTCTGCAGTCAATGATGTAAATTAACCCTTGGAAGAATTTGAGTGAGAAAATACTTTTCTGTTGAAACATGTAATGTAGTTTCACTGACAGGGAAGGTCGCTTAGTGTGGGGATCGACCACTAGATTAAGAGCTCCATTCACCAAAAAATCAGTGACCAGGTTTTGGCTGACCTTGGTTTCCAGATGGGTTCAACGTTTCTTAGTTGCTATTTGAGAGAATACTTATCCCAGTGGCGCAGTAACAGCAGTTGGAGGAGAGAAAATACGTTTAAGGCACACAAAGGAAGGAAAACTGGAGAAGGCTGGTTGCCCTTGTTGTGAGGTGGTTTGTTGTCTTTATACCTGCGAGACTTGAAGCTGCTCTTCCGAAGATTACCCGGCCAACTTTATTACTCAGTTTTAAAATCAAGAACATCTTAGCTTTTGCTGCAAATTTTTCTGGGATCTATATAAACCTATTTTTTTTTGTATGCTGACAATTGTGCATGGCGGGAAACAGAATGAAGTGTTTGAGAGACATGGTTTCGGAAATCCCAACTAAGCAATGATATGATTAGGCATGACTCTTATAATTAGGTATGGTTAGCCATAGATCTTAAGCAGAAAGGTGAAAATGATGGTATCAAGTTGGTGAAGATGCTGATTATCCATCTTTTCTTCCACAAACCCAAAATCAAAGGGTCGATTCAAGAGGTGTGGACTCTACTTGTCTGGGAGGAGAAGCTTAGTCTGAAGAGGTTAGGTTCCTCCTGGAGAAAGACGAGGAAAGAACGGTAATACTAGTTTCAAAGTGTGTGTTTAAAAGTTCATTCATGATCCCGTTCCCATCAACAAAAGTGGCATTTGTTCTCCTGGAGGAGCCACTCTGTTTGACTTCGAGTGTTTTGGTAAGGAATGATTCTTCTCTCTGAATGCAATCTTTTCCATTGGATAGCTTGATATTTCTGCTATAAGGCCTTCACCAATTGTCACAAACAGCAGGATCTGGTCACTTGTTGCTGCTGTTTGATATGAATGGCAGATGTGTCAAAGGATGAATAATGGTTTCTCTAGATATAGGTTCTGTTTGATGTTTACGCACTGCAAGAACCATGCACAGAAATATTGTTCCCTGATGCTGCTAGATTTCATCTGCAAAATTGGTTTGACTCTTCCCCGAATGCTTGTCATATGGAGAGTACTGTTTTGCTGAAGGATCCACCTGGAGAAGAGTAGATTCTTCTCTGGCTTGACTGAGTTATCGTTAAGAGAGATAGAAACAATTTTTTTTATCTATATTATTTTTTTTCCCAATTGACATTAGTTAAGGGTTTTGCATTTCAAATCTTTCCTAATGTTCTGTTACAATGCTTCAAACTACATTTAGCTTGAACTTATAGGAGTGTATGTAAATATATGAAACAACGTGAAATAGATGAGGAATAGTGGTGCTTTTGTGTAATGGTAGCATTAGGTTAGCCTTCTCCCTCAAACCAGTTGGTGATGATGGGCTTGATCATTCAATCAATATCAAACTTGTTAGTTGGCCAAAAAGGAAGAGAAGTGCTTCTCCCTTATAGGGTAATCTACAACTTTTGGATGCATTGTCCCAGGTCAGTGATGGAGTGTGTCAGATATGTCGATTAGAGTGATTGTGGAGCAGTAACATAAGCTAAGGTGTACAATCTGCTGCGCCCTTTGACACTTCTTTTCGTTGGGATTCTTATGGGCCTAGCATTCAATCTTTTTATTGTAGTGAATTTGGTCTATCCCTAGAATGCTAAGAGGGATCAGTGATTGAAGGCTTTGCAAGATAATGAGGATGTGTTGTTGTAGGTTGATTGGATACTTGCAATAGTTAGATGTTGAAGAATCTTTCAACTTGTGAGGTCTTTCAAGTTCAATGAGTTGGCCTTTCTGTCTCTTTGAAAATTATGAGTATAGATGAATTTATAAGGTACATGATTGTCATACGTGGGGCTTGAAAATTACAATAAAGAAGGGATGGGAGTGAATCATATTTACTTAAAGCATTGGTGTTGTAATAAATGCTATCCAATTAAGACACAAACACTCGGTGCAAGTTTTATTCGTTTTATGGTGGTTCAATCTGACTCAAGATGTACTCCACTCCCCAAGTTCTCTCTTGGGTGTTTTATAAGGTTAGCCCCTTATCTCCTATTATAATTGAGTTGTCAAGGCGTAGACTATACCTTTTGTGACATTTCAAGGCTTGGCCAATACAAAGGCTATTCTAATATGGTGAAAAATAATAATAAATCGATTTTAAAAAACCTTTAATTTGGAGAAGATAGCTTAATTAACTTGAAGGACTACTCTGATGTTGAGAGATCATTGAGTGCTTTATGAGTGTTTGGAGAGAGAACTTTCAGACTTTGAATGTAAGTATCCCTGGAAGCCTTAAACGAGCCTCATTTGTGATGTCTTTTATAGCTCGAAAGATTTGACTCTATTAGAAAACATTTTTCTTCATTGGTTGGAATGCAACTAATTTTCAACTTTTCTTAATTACTATTTTAGGTGCATAAATCATTGTAGCTTTTCAGGTTGTAACCTTTGAGTCTGGGTGCTTTGGCCCTTTGTGTTGATCCTTGAGTCATGAGCTTGAACCCTTGGTGTTCACCTCAAACTGTGTATCGGCACATGCAACTATTTCTTTGTTTTGCCACAAGTGTTGAACCTTAAGTTCTGAATGCTGACATGTATGCAACTTGCTATCTAGTTTTTTTTATAGGTGTAAACCCCAAGATTTTGAGTGCCAATTCACGTGCATTCTATGTTTTTTGCCTTTAAGTATCGTCCTTCAATCTCAAATATTGATCCTTCTTGCCAGCTAATTTCTTTTTAGTTTTGACGAGATTAATACCATTAGCTTGGTGTCAATCTCTTCAACAGTTCCGATGTATCATTTCAGTAGACCAAGGTGTGTTGGTGGGAATCTCGATGCCCTTGGGTTCTTTCAGAAGCTCTTAGAGAAGGACATAGACACAATGGAGGTTGAATTTGCTTTGCAAGGACTAGAAATTGCTAGATTTGATGAGTGCTCAAGATACACGGATGATGATGGATTAGATTATGTTGCTGGGACAATGTGCAAAATTTTGGATCAATTCCAGATAAGTAGTTATGGTGAGTGGAACAGTGCATATAATTGGATCATGTCTAACTTGATGGTTGATAGGCTGTGAGTGGTGTGGTGATGTAGCAGTAGGAGATTGTCTTTGTTAAGGGACGACTTTAAGAACCAGCATACCTCTGAGGATATAAAAAAATATATGCTGAAATTCGGGCGACCTAATCATCAAATTTGATTACATGTTTTGTTGTATTGTCTATTAGCCTTTCTGTTTTTTAATCAATCGTATAGCATTTATTTTATGAATACCGGAATATTTGATGCCTTGATACTTTTCTGGTGCATGGTGTCAAGTTTCATGTTAAATTCGTGAGTGGTATTTAATTCTTACTCTCAGATTTCGTTTTGATTTCCTTTTTTTCTTAGTTTTATTACATATTTAAAATTTTTGTGGTAGATATATTTTATAATTTTCATTAGCAGGCTGTATTGCATGCTCTGTAGTTTCTTTTCCTGTGAGGAGCTTTGCCCCTTAAAAGTTCTATAATGTGTGACGCTCTTTTGCAGAAAAGCCTTTCATCATTGGAGTTACCTCGTGTTGTTTCTGTAGCGAATGGTGCTACCTTACACGGTTCAGTGGGTGCACTTTCATCTGTTGAAAATTCTGAGAGAAGAAATGGGGATATGCAAATTGCGACCTCCAGCTCTGAGTACAGTGGGCGGAACAAGCATAAGCTTCATGATCCTGCTCGTGATATTTCAATCCAAGTCTTGGAGAAATTCTCCCTCGTCACCAAATTCGCCCGAGAAACAACATCACATCTTTTTCGTGAAAATCACAATAACGACTCAAGCATTCATGAGAGAAAACAACTTGACCATAAGCCTAGCAGCGCATCAACCGATACACAAAAAATATCGAGTGCCCCAGTGGCCCCAGATCCTTTGGAGGTGAGAATTGATGCTCCTTTTTTAGCTTCCTGGTTAGTTTCTAATTTTACATGTGTTATGAAAGCGCTAAACGTTTTTTCTTCGTGCCTTTTTCTTTGCTCAAGTCCTCACTAACATGCAATTATTTCTGAGCTAGTTATTGTCCCAACTAGAAATCCTTGTCTCCAATTTCCTTGGTCTTTTTATTTATCCAGATTTTTTTCTTTGTTTGAAGTTTTCCAGTTTTCATAACTACGACGATTTGTGTTCTAGAGACTAGTCATGGTTACCACTTTCATAATGAGGAAAAGCTTTATCCCTTCATTTGATGGGGTTGACTTAGCATGGACTGTATATTCCTGGGGAAAATCTGGAGACGCTATATAAAGTTTCTTTTTTGGGAGCACATTGGACATGTACTTGTATATCCCTTCTCTTGTCAATTTGAATGAATTGGTGGTACCATCCAGTTTCAAAAATAGCAAGGAATATTTTTATTTTTCTTTTTTTTCATCTTATGGCTGTTTCAATGTTCACTTGCGATATTCTTAGACGATCTTCTCAGACACCACTATTATTATCTGGAGTTCACCATATGAAAAGTACTCATTGTTCTGCTTTATATTGTTCTTGAAATATAGTTGTTTCAGAACCGTCTAGATCCCCTGGCAGGGACCTGTCAGGCCAATCTGTGTCCAACTTAAAGGAATGGCAGTGGTGAAAAATGTCTCCCTGTCTAAGATTCCTTGTGTCCTTTAAGCAGTCACAAGATTGTCATTAAGATGAATTCAAAGTTTGGCAATAGAGATGCGGATGTAGGCTCAATTGACCGGTTGTGTTTCTGAAACCCACGATTCGGAAAATTCTTCCCATACCAAGTATATGTTACCTCTGTTCTTCAGATATTGGATTCATTCATGAACTAACATAAAAAAATAGTGCTTCCTTCAGTAGATGCAGTCTAATTCTTGTCCAATCATTAAATTACTCAGAAAACTCCTAATGATTGTTCGAATCTTTCCACCTTAGATTGAGTCATATTTTCCTGGGAAACACACCTCGAACTTTATTTTGGTAGTTGAATCTCTATCAAAATACAATTGATCTATTTACTAAAGGTATTTTTTTCTAACCCCTCAGGCTGATGACTCTTTCTCTCCCATGGATAGCTCACATAAATTAAGTCTCTTATAGTCCACCAGGAATTCTCCTGGTTCTTTCCTAAAAGACCCTAAACTTCTCACAACTCATTAATTAATTAATTTATTTTTTACTGTTTTGTACCGAAAAAATACTTAAACAAGAATGGCTGTAATCAGATTCTGCTAGCCGTAATCTTGACAATGATGTCCTGTTCCGAATCGAAATAGAGGTCCCATTAAGTATGATTAAAGCATAGGTGTGCACACTTCATCAAACGAAAGAACAGTACACCTAGGTTACCATCAGCAAGCCCTTTGGAGTGGACATATCCCATCTGGCTTAAGGGCTGTGAGGCATCCATAAAATGTGTCTTCTTTGGGGCTCTGCTCACTATTAACGATGCTTTAATTTTTCGGGTAACTTTGTATTTTATGTTCCTATCTTTCAGTGCTCATTTGTTTAATCCAAGTTGCACCTTGATTACAGAATGCTATTAAATTGGATGTCAGATTTTTTCAATTCCCACTAGAAGTTGAGCCAGTGCTGTCGAACTATAAAAAATAATTAACACAGAAAATGCAAACAGAAAATAAATTAGTTAGAGCTAGCCTTAAAAAGATGGGAAATATGCTACAAGATTGGGTGTTGGTAAGTCACAGTGCCTGTAGCATTCTGGGATTCATCTTGAATATGTTATATTTACTTGCTTACTTTCAATCGATAATATGCACGTTTCAAAATGTAAAATCCCCGCCTAATTTTATTTATTTTGGTAGTTCGATAAGCTACCTCTAATATGGGGGAAACAAAGGCAACAACCTTTGGACGTCAAAGAGGTACGTTTCCTTTTTTTTTCTTCTTTTTTTTTTGTTATAAATTACTGAGTTACCATCTAATCTCTTATTGTCTTTTTCTCCAAACCCTCCCCACCCTCCACTCTTCCTCAACACACACACACACACACAAAAATGGCACTAGCTTATAAAATATTATATTTTCTGTTAAATGAAAGTTGATTTTTGCATTACTTTCTGGATCTTAAGTCATGTAGTTAATGTTTGAATATTATGGCATATATTTAGGAATAGTTCATCTGGCTGACTCTGTTCATTCTATGTTTCTCAACTCAGGAATGGGAGTTGTGATGTTGTAAAGAGACTACATAGAGCACGTCTGTTACTTGTGTTGTTTTTATTGAAATCTACTGTTGTCAGTTTTCCTATTTGATGCATCCAAACAAATGATTGTGATTGTAATCACGTAATCTGAGGCAACCAGGCGTAGTAGTGTGTTGGGCATTATTTTTATGGCTTTTAGCCTTTGGAGTATCATGGTGGATTTTTATCAATGTTGTACATATAAGAACTCGTAAATTATTTTCCTTTAGTTATGTGTGGTAGAAACCACTTTCTAGGAAAAGAATTTGAACAAGTTTTAATGTGCGGTCATCTGATGACAGTGCTTTTGTCATTTTTTCCTAAGTAGTCTGTGTGAAAACAGTTTCCTGTTCTGTTCATATTACAGAAATACAGTCAGCCTCACTGGACTGTGCTTGGAATTGCTTGAGAAACTGCGTGAACAGTTTTCAGGCATTTGACACCAATTCGAATTAAATATGTATCTTCAACAGGAACTCGGCAAGTGTGCAATTCAAGATGATTATGGGAAATGATGATATTTTGCATTTATTTGTGTGCTGTTGGAATGGGGGCGGAAATCTATTCGGGAGAGGCATTATTATTGTGTTCAATATCAAGTGAACGCCTTTCATGTAAAAATAATTTACCCTTTTTTTAATATTTTTGGGGTGGCATGGAAAGCCGAAGTTACACAGGCTGATTAGTTTGATTATAAATTTTCATTAAATTTATGCGAAAAAGATGAATATTTCTGAGAAGACCATCATTAGCAATGATAGCTTAGATCTTGTGGAAAATATTCTCTGAAGCTGAGTGCTTTGAGGGCATCACAGTTTTGTTTAGGACTTGTGTGAAGCTGAGTGGCATCAATTCTGTGCAGCCATGGTTTCGAAATATTCTTAGGAGAGTATGGTTAATTGATCATGTTGTGGTGGGATGCACTGGTGAGAACTACCATTGTTATGGTAGAATTGGTTTTCTAATTTTTCTTTTAGGTAATCTTTATAATTTGTCTATTCTGCTGCTGACCATAGTGGAAAAGTTATGAAATTCATGACAAATAAGACAAGATCTGATAATAGCACTAATGGCAAGTAAAAGAAGAGGTAGACCATTATAGACTTTGGTGATAGTGGCAATAAGTTTTTGAGCATAAGTATGGTGACGAGAAAGGGAAGAGAGCTCAGCCGTAAAAAGTAGATATCACCTCAATCATTCACCTCTGTACAAAAGCGAAGTGAAATGTTAGATAGATAAGAATTATATTTCTGATTATTCGAGAAGAAGCATGAATTTATATTGACTAGGATGAGAGCTTGTGAGCTAACGAGGAAGAAGTATACACAATGAAGGGCAATTGCGTATACTATTCATGGTATTTGAACTGATACCTTGATCAATGCCCCATACTTGATCTGGAATGAAACTGGATTGGCGAAAACAGTTGGGCAGGACTGGTCTTTTAAACTTTTAAGAAATGTACAAGAAATAGAAAATCAGAAAAAACATGAAATTCATTTGAAGGAAACAGCATATGAAATTGTGAAACCTGTATCCTTATTATCATTTATGATAACATGCTAAATATCTTCAAGAACGTACTGTGTGAAATCTATGAACTTAATGCATTTTGAATCAACATCGCGCTAGAATGCCTTATGAATTAGTAAGGTTCCTTAACCCTTCCGACAGTATCTAGGGTTCTTGCACAATGTGATATCTTGCACTGGCTAAATCCTTAATCCTTCCTCTTACTAATATTGCAGAATGTTCTTGTGAATTATGCCCAATACCAGGCATAGGCATATAAACGGCAATTTCAAATATGGTGGTTATCTGGCAACTGTAAGGCAAAGATTTGTTTTTTTGGGGTCATAGTGGAAGAGTCGACAGATAAGTCACCCTTACTGTCGCTCTACAGGACCGTACATAAGATTTTCACCAGTGGGTATCTTTCTGTCTAGAGGAAATCATTTTTGATGAATCAATAGTGCCTTAACTGGATAAATTAACTTGCCTTACACAATTCTTCTGCTCATGCCTTCATAATCCACATTCTGATGGTGTCAGCCACACTAACACCCCAACCTCCTTAAATTCAAAGAATATTGTACTTCATCATTATAAAAGCTCATAGCGCACTCTATTGTACTCCATCTTTGCTGATAATCTGTTTTTTGCTTCATTACTAATAGTCTTATCAGTAACATGCAAAATATATTTTTTCATCAACTTTAGTATTTACTATTTTGATTCAACCTCTCACAACTTCACCACGACCCAAGGATATGCCATTTTATGCGTACTCTATGTTGAAGAATTTGTAAATTTACTTTGAAAATGAGCATCGGGGAAATGAGTGATCTAGTGAACTTTCCCACATCAGTTGTATGAGACTCACACAGTGGATGAAGGAATCAAGCTGATCACATGTGGGTTGTCTTCTGTATGAAAATAGTCTTTCACAGTACCTTGTCAGGTCAGGCCTTGAGCAAGTTTGTTTCGTCTGGAATTGGCCAATGCTTATGTTATTATCTGATTCTGTTCAATTTGTTAATTAGTTAGCCTGATTCGTTAGTTTCTCATTGTTAGTTTAGTGTCCTATCAAAAATAGGGTCTTCTATCAGTTGGTTTATTGCCTTTTGACTTTTTTTTTTATAGTTTAATCTTCGTGAACAATCGTTTACTCAGATATGCTTTTTTGATGGATATGTTGTATATGATGCCTATTCACAGTTTTGCTGCTTGATTTCTTATGTTATGATTTTTAATAATTGTCCTGAAACCTTTTCAAATTGTAGGCAGTTATTGTACCCTTAACTGATTTGTATGCAAACTCTCACTTGAGACGCTGCTTATGCTTTCAAGACAATCCGATTAGTTTCTATAAGAAATTTTGATGTCTTGGATCACTTGAGACTCTCACTTAAAATTCCATTTAAGTCCTGGATTTTTTTCTTAGAAAATGTCAGAATCTACTTGAGAGTTGAATCATTAAGAAAGAGACTGACACGAATCAAATAAAGTTAATGGCGAAATGGGATGTGACTTCTTAGAAAAAAGCCAATCCACAGTAGTATTCTATTGCACAGTTTCGCTGTGAAATGTTGGGTAGAAGGGTAGATGTAAAGAGCACAGTAGGATCTTGATTGTCAATATCCCTGCTACCGACTCCTTTCTTGTTGATATTGTTTCTCTTCAAATTTACTTACATGCGAATTCTTTGACAGTGGGTTTGTTTCCTGGACGCTGAAGGCAGGATAACGGATTCTAAAGCATTGAGAAAGAGAATTTTCTATGGTGGAGTGGAGCATAGCATACGAAAAGAGGTTGGTGTCTAACTTCACCTGTGGACCTTGCTTGTTTTTCACCCTGGTTGTTTATTTGCAACTCTTTTGCAAAATTCCCAGGTCTGGAAATTTTTGTTGGGATACCATCCATATGATTCTACCTATGCTGAGAGAGAATACCTTGCTTCAGTTAAGAAATCGGAGTACGAAATCATCAAATCTCAATGGCAGGTCCGTAGTTTTTTGATTCATCTCGTCTGCAGATTTTAAATTCTTCTGAATAAATGTTAAATGTACCATATACCGAACACCCTGTAAACCTATAGTTAACCTTGGCCCTTCTGCATCTTTTCATTAATTACTGTATTGGATTTCTAATTTTGTTGTCGTGCATTTTATTGTCACTATATAGCATTTCTTTCTTTTTGTCGTGCTTGTTCTTGTCACTGTGATGTCTTCATGTGCACGTGGTTGGTGGATACTTGCCAATTCATATGCTGGTGTCTTTGCTTTTCCATTAAGGAACTAGTAGAGTGGAGTTATCTTTTCTACTATCAGTGGCATTTTTTATGCCCTAGATGAGGCTAGATGTAGATGATGATAAGCTGCAAAGGTCATTCCCTTGTCATCAGTATCACTTGTCCTATCCCAGAGTTGCCTGTCAAATCTGAATAAAGACCTATGCTTCTTTAATCCGAAGAGGAGACAATGCTAGATTACCCCCTTTGTAGTCTAGGAGGTCAAGCTGCTCGGCCAGTAGGATGGAAGATCTGTGCCTTGATTTAACTCATCAATCTGGGCTGTTTCTATCCATTGCATGGTCATTTCCTGAAGAATTGATAACGAGTCTTATCATAAATCATCTCTCTAAAACTGACTTGGTATTCATTCTGACCTTGATGAGCCCAGTTTGGAGTTTGAGGGGTTTTGCTTTCCCTTATAAGTCGTGCCTATGATTGTCATCTTTCATTAGGCTTTCGTTAGAGGAAAACAACTTTTTTTATGAATAATACGAGAGGAAAATATTATAGACCATTCAGACTCATACAAAAAGAGCACTCTTGAACACGTCACCTTTCAATCCTCAACCTCCAACATTCATCCCGAGATAAAGTATTTACACTGCTCTTATATTTTCTTTCACCGTCTTCATGCCACTAAGCCTAAATGGACAAATATTTCTTTCTTAGTTAGAGCTGTTTTCAGCGTACATTTAACATGCCTAAACCAATCCAATGTTTCTTATGTCTGTTTTCAAGGGATGTTATATCAGTTATCCTTAAGCATAAAAATATGAGTGGATATACAAGTGTGCGCTCAATCAGCTCTACAAAAGCCCCCTGTGCTAAAAGCAATAGACTCCAAGAGACGTAGAATTTTTCAGTTATCCTAATGCTCTCAAAATAGTCGAATCAGCTCCTTCCTCGTTGCAAAACGATCCTTTTCAGTCTTTAATCTTGGAATAAACAGGGGTAAAATCCCTATCGTGTCCTTGCAGTATATTTACTTATCCAACTTTGGTGAATTAGTCGATTCTGGTCTGAACTGGCTAAGGTAAATTGGAATTCTGGGGTTCTGTTCCAGTTCCAGAGAGGAAGGAGACCTGATCCCCCTTGAAAATTTGCAGAACGAAAAAGTAAGACATTCAGCTGAAAATCACTGTCTTCGGTTAGTTGGTTCCAGGCCGAGCTTGAACTTTTATGGCGTTCCCTCCTGACGCCACATGCTGGATGTTGCCCTCTGACACTGAGAAAGGAAGAAGAATAGGGAAAGAGACAACAGTGGGTTTGATTAGTATTCAAGAAATAAATTAAAAGAGGCTGAACAGTGGGGTACAGCTTTTTATTCTCCTCTAGCTCTGCTATCGGTTCATGTCGCCTCAACCTGCAGTGTTTCACCCTGAAGCTTCTGTATTTTAAGCACAACTCTGGGCTGGTTTTAATGAAAGGTTCAAAAAGCATTGAAAACTCTATTAATTTGAAGCTGTCCCAGAGTTCTGTTATTTGCTGGAAATCAATTAAGAGTTTCAATCCTTATTATTGTCCATAAAAACATCTCATGAGCTGCTATAAACTAGCATATTTTTTGGTGTGAAATGTGGATGCTGTATTTGTACTTAGACTAGCATGATTTGGTATGAAAGATTGCCATCTCCCTCTCTTCAGATTGTAGGAGCTGAGCTATCCTAATTCATCTATTTCAGAGTATCTCTCCCGCACAAGCAAGAAGGTTTACGAAATTCAGGGAGAGAAAAGGCCTCATTGAAAAAGATGTGGTATTGACTAAGTCGCATGATAAAGTTCTTATTTTTATTTTATATTATAGCTACTGAATTTTCTTTCTTTTTGCAATTTTGGTTGCTATTTGAAGGTGAGGACAGATAGGTCTATTTCCTTCTACGATGGAGATGACAATCCAAATGTTGCAGTCCTACATGACATACTTTTGACTTACTCCTTTTACAATTTTGACCTTGGTTACTGCCAGGTAATGATTTTCTGCTTTTCGGCAAATCATGGATTATAGTTTTTTTTACTCAAATACGTAATGTAGTATTATATGCTGTCAAACTTTGTGGGAAACATAGATCCTTTGAAATGCTATACTTCTTGCAAAAATAAGAAGTGGAGCCAAGAAATTTTGGACGTAAAATAAAAGCCAGGGTTGGCTTTTTGAGGTAGAAAATTTTCTCATAAGTTGTTCTAGTTTATAAACCCTGAGATTGTGTTTGAGCTAAACAACGAATTGCTTTCACCTTCCAAAAAGACTTGGTAATTCCCTTTGGATCTAGACAATCCCTACTGCAGTGTCTACCAGTATGTTGCTCAGTGCTGAATCTAGGGGTATATTCGTCATTTTTGTGATGTCGAATAATGAAGTTTGTGTGCCGTTAGCTTTCAGGGTGAAAATAATTTTGTTAAAAATTTGTACTGACAAGGAAGAACGTTGAAATAAAACATAACGACCCCTAACTCTCTCTTTCTCTCCCTTCGCCATTGCCCTCCTTTTTCTCTCCTTCATCCTCCACCGTTTCATTTCATCTTTTTCTTCCTCTGTCCTTAGTTGGAGAGCTGTGTTTCTATGTTCTTCCTCCAACAATGGCACTGATGTTAGAAATCAGCTGATCCAAGAGTGCGCCAGTCATTGCCATGAAAATTGGCTGATATCCCAAGAATCTGCCTACTAGAGTTAAATTTACCTCAGAAATTGATCAGTCTCCTTTGATTTGATGGTTTTTTAAATATTCATTATGGGCCAAAAGAAAAAAGTCACATCAATATTCTCACCCTTGCATTTACTTTGCCACACATTAAGGTATTGTCATCTAATTTAGTCGTGGTCATCATTATCAAAGATGTTCAACAACTGGTCTTGAACTTTCCAACATTTTTTAGTTCATTCTTTGTTAGAGCTGGCTGTCTCACATAAGCCTACAGCTAGCTTCTTTTGAAATATGCTTGTTGGATTTCTAAATCGTAATGCACTGAGTATGGGAACTCACAATGTGATGATGGTCACCATGGGAACTTGTAGTTTGAGGGTGCATCGGGAAATATCATGTAGCGTTTTCTCCTTATTTAAGAGGTGCTAAATGTCAATGAAAAGTTAGGTGGTTTCCCGCTCCTCCAATCTGTCCTCTGAGACAGAGGACAGTTGCCCCTCCATATCGTCCATTTCCCTCTCTTTGTTTCAACAATGTTTAACCTTGGCTACTCTCCATACGCCAGGTTTGTTTTCCAAGGTATGCTGGATGCTGCTTTTGAAGACTAGTAAAGTCTCTCTAGAAGCATTTGAAACGTGTTTCCGCTGATAATCAAATTAGGAGTCTTATGCACTATTTGACAGAATATTATTTCGTATCATCATCCTTGAAGGTGCCAAGAGATTGATTTAATACATCTTTTTTGCTATCAGTCTGATGACCACTCTTACAATGTTATACTACCCTGTGGGCTAAGGAACCCAGTTGTGCTGTTCGAAGATGTTGTTCAGCAGTGGCAGTGGGGTAAGGGTAATGGTAACCAAATATGAAGGGGAGTGCCAGTACTGTCTTAGAAATCTTTTTTTATTTTCGGATTTTCTCTATTTAATTAGGACATCCAGATGTTTTGGGTGACTAGCTGGTGAAGAAAAATGGGATGCTTGATAAATTATACATCTTTTATGCTACGTGCTATCCTCGGTAGTAAACTTGGTATCTGTCTCATATTATGAACTTATCCCAATGCTTTATATTCTATTTCTCTAATAATTTTTTCTTAATATTTTACTTCCATTTTTTTATATTTTATTGTGCCAATCATGAATCTTTTGCTGGTGTCTCTTCGACTTCAGGGTATGAGTGATCTTTTATCTCCTATATTTTATGTAATGGAAGATGAATCAGAGTCATTTTGGTGTTTTGTGGAATTAATGGAACGTCTTGGGCCAAACTTCAATCGAGATCAGAGTGGCATGCATTCACAACTTTTTGCATTGTTGAAGGTAAATAAGCTCGTGCTCGTAGGATGTATTCTCTTGAGTCATTTAGCGCTGTTTAGATGATTTATTCTCTTTCATTTCTTTTCTTTATTGAATCAACTCGATTGTAGGATGTATGAAGTTGAGACTTGATATTTATTAGTCTATGCTTGAGGCCATGTTTCCACTTTGATGTTCTGATATCATTTTATACCTTCCATGGTCATGGATTGATAAAGAACAAGAATTGTCACATTTTGGAGCTTGAGATAACGAGCAAGAATCAGTTCTTACTACGTCATTTGCTATCAATAAGATCCCATGTGGTGTACCCACGAAAGTATCCTTTTTTCCTCTTTCATCCTAATCCTCTCAATTCCACCTTCCTCTTTGAATTCTTAGTCGTCTCTATTTCATTGATTGTCTGCATCCAGAGTGTTGTAGTGTTAATCATGGGGTTGTTAAAGTTTTCTTAGGCTACTCTCATGTCAGCTTTGTGGAGTCGCATCTCGTCTGAGCTCTCAGCAAGTGGAGATTGATGCTGTTATTCATCTTCCCTGGCACACGAGAAAGAATTTTCTGCATACTCCAAACAACCAAGATAGGAAGATACTTATCTTATTAATAATAATTTCAAGAGAATATTGAGCCCTAAGTCCAAATCTTAAACCATCAGATGATATATTCTCTCCATCTCAAACCTCAGAAAACTGGCCTATTCCCCTCATTAAAGGAACCAGATAGCCATGCATCCTGTATCTAAACGTCGACCATAGTCTCCTTTCTCCCTCATGTAATTTTTTTCTGCTCTATCTTCCTTCTCCGTTCATATTTATCTTGCAAATGGACAGGTCCAAGGTAGGTCAGTACATGGAAAAGAAAACGAGAATGCTAAAGAACGAGACTCTGGAGCTTGTGGCCTCTCCCCAAGAAAACTCTGATGGGTACCATTGGTGTTTTCACCATATGTGCAATACCAGTGACTTACATAAGCCAAGTTTTGTGATGCAAGGGTACATAAAATCAGATAAATTGACTGTTAGGATACGTTCATACCTGTTGCAGAGTTGAACTCTACCGGAAGGCATGATCTCATTGGTTCAGTAGGTTTTTTATTCAAGCTTGATGAAAAAAATGAATCCTGAATTGTGACTCATGGGGGGAGACCTACATCTGCCTTCCAGGGCATGAGAAAAGGTATGCAGACTGCAAAAATCTTGTGCAACCGAAAGTAGTCTCGCATGAGCTGATCTGATAGGTTTATGATAAGCATTTTTTTTTTCTATAGGAGAAGTAATTTTGATCACGCTTTATTTGTTAAGTGATAGATTGAAATAGTCTTCATATTTGTCTGTGTAGATGAAATGATGATAGCAAGAAACGACAAGGAAGATATCAGAAGTAGTTAAAGAATGAACAAGAAACAGAGTTTGAAAAGAGAATCAAAGTCTGTTGGATAAAATATGCACTAGATTTGTTGAAGGGAACAGATCTGCTCTTACTCTGAGGAAGTTATCCGTAGCTTGATTGGTCAAGAGGGAGAACTTAGTTAAACTGTCTTGGGGAGACGTTACTTTGATGATGATGTGTAAATATGATATTTAATATCACTTTGATCCAATGTCACTTAAACTATTAGCATGGTTCCATTGCAACATAGTGTAATCAAAAGTGAAACTCCCATTGAGGTTGTATTGAGACACTGTGTCAATATTTTTCAATATATTTCTGAGGGAAAGAGTTAAAGCGTGTGGTGTCCTAAAATTTCTTATTTACATTGCCATACAGTTTCCGATATTGGTTGAGATATCTGCCCCTTTTCCTCTTGTCTTAGCCTGTTCAGGCCTATTCAAGTTTTCTCCTATTGTCTATCACCTTCTACTCCTCTTGGAGTGCCAAGAGTGAAGGAAGAAGAGAACAGGATTCTCTTGGACTGCACAAGATAACTCCTGAAGAGCTTGGATCGATCCTTTTCTCTCTTTTTCCCTTCTACTCCCCGTTGTTCTTGATCTGTGATCTCCTCATAATGATCTTAAGTCCTTTTGCTCTTATTTACCATGAAGAAAGGCTTCTAGAATATGGTCAGAAGCGTGGGGGGTAGGTAGTATTATCTCCTCTTTCTCCTTCGATGTTAACCCCAATAATAAAGGTTACGAAACATCTACTTAACTCTAACCCTAGGGCAAAGAAGAGAAATAGAAGGAGAAAGGGAAACAATGAAGAGAACCATTCATGCGTGAATAGTAACACATGATTAGTAACATGCCTCATTAAAATTCATAAACAGTTATCTTTCTAAGCCTACCTGTGACCATGGGTTGGAAAATGTTTGAAAATCCCCATCTAATTAGGATGTACAGTTGACATTCTTTGCATCTTTCAAGTTCAGTCCCATTAACCAACCATCTTTCTCTTATTTAGACATCCTAGTTTGATTACTTTGTGTTAGTTGGTGCCTGAAAACAGTCGAGTCTATCCTCTTTAGTAGTTTACTTAATACAAAGTGGAGTTTCAAACTTGGAGGTGAATCATTGCTTTTGCAATTATGTCGCCATTTCTTTTTCCTTCTAATACAAATGAATATTTTGTGTTCACATGCTCCTGGCTCTTATTTCGGTCCGAATCTCACACTCCAAGCGTCTAATGGCTGCATCTTACTTTTAGCTTCGTGAAACCTTACCTTCTCCATTTAGTATTTCCTGTATCTTAATTATTTCTTTTGCCCCCGCTTGCAGTTGGTGGAGCTTCTTGACACCCCATTACACAATTATTTCAGCAAGACAGAGTGCTTGAATTATTTCTTTTGTTTCCGATGGCTTCTTATACAGTTTAAAAGGTGAGCAATCTCTATATATCACTTGGTTAAATCTTTTGACCTATGTTTCTAATACAGACATGTTTTGCTGGAAGTTACCGTTAAATGAAATACCCTAGTTAAGATTTAATCTCCTAATGCCCATGCGCATTTCCCAACTGTCAGTTACAGTTTGATACCTAATACTATGATACAGTGGCAGCGTTTGAGCTCTTTGGTGGTTTTTCTAACCCAGAAGTCAATCTACTCCGTGTCATTCTCTTCATTTTATTTTTAAACGGTTTATCCACCCGTCATAATGTTCTTTGGACATGAAATCTGTTTTTCTTTTCCTTGAGATAATGCGCCTCTCTTTTGGGTCTAATTCGGTCAATGTTCCTATACGAGCTTGAATGGCTAATATTCATGGAGAAGAGCAGTGATATCCTCGCCCATACTCTCTCCCTCTTGTGCTATTTCCTTGTAATAGGAATCCAACATTCTCTTTCCTTAATTTTTCTTTTCCTTTCTAGGGTTATTATACAAGCTTTGCCCACCGCAATTAGACCTGCTGGTGCTTTTAACCCACTACTCAGCAATAAAAAAGATTAACTGTTGGAAAGATTTTCTTTTTGTCGTCGTGTTCTAATCATGCTGAATGTAAAATTGACCGCCTACGCCTGTTTTGTCGACCCAGTGCATAAAAGTACATGCCCTTAATCAGTAGTTAATGCCTCTCCAGACCGTTTCATAAATCTTTTTCTTCTTTGTTTTTTGGTGGGTTTGGCGAGAGAAGAACAAGAAATGAAAAAAACATAAAAAACAAATGGGGCACTCAATCGGTAGATATGAAAAGAAAAGAACCAAAGTTTCTCTCGGTACATATGAAACCCGGTTCTGACTGCTCTCCTCCCCCAAACCCTTTGCAGGGAATTTGAGTACGAGGAGGTGATGCGGCTGTGGGAGGTGCTGTGGACTCACTACCTCTCTGAGCACTTGCACCTGTATATCTGTGTGGCCATCCTCAAGCGGTACCGCCAGAAGATCATGGGTGAGGAGATGGACTTCGACACCCTCCTCAAGTTCATCAATGAGCTCAGCGGCCGCATCCGCCTCGGCGACATCCTCCGGGACGCCGAGGCACTCTGTGTCTGTGCTGGGGAGAACGGCGACGCCTGCATCCCCCCGGGGACGCCGCCTTCCCTCCCGCTGGAAACCGCTTCCTTGTATCCCCAGCAGGATCAAGATGACATCTGATAGCATGCTACGAGTGCTGACCGGCATAAATTTTTTAACTTGGTCGATTCGGCATCAATCCGACGACCAATTGTAAACTGGGCACGGTGTATTTATGTTCATATATTCTTGTGATGTTATCTTTGATCCCCAAGCCGTTCTTGAACAACGGAAGTTGGAAATACATATCAATAATCTCGTGAGTTTTGATTTCAAACCGCTTTAGTGAGTCTACGCCTTGTGCTGCTTCATGTGCGTTCTTGGTTATCGGGTAATAACACTTTCCCCTTATAGTTCGTGGCTGTGATCTTAATTTTTTATATTTGAAAAGGTTTCTGTCTGCTTGCTCTGTGCGGCATGTACCTACCCTTCGAGAGAGGTTTTCTCTGTTCACCGTCCAACTCACTAAAGGGCAGGCTCATGATGTTAAGCCATACTTTTCTCAAGACTCCGACCTTTTCAATGTACTGATACAAATTTTCCATGACAAGTTTTTCCGTATACTGATAAAAAATTTCGAATTTCTGTAATGAAAAAAAACATATGATGGTTTCCGGTTTACTAAGAGGGTCGACTTTCGGCTTGCTATTGCCTCTTGTGCTAAAAGTCACACTGATTTTAGATTTCCTTCACTATCCTTTGTGCTTAAACAGTGACACCTTTCAAACGCAAGGTGCAGAGAAGCACTTGGGCATTTTGAAAGCTTAAAGCCAAACATGCATCGTTCATTGTTAACTTGCAGTAGTAGAAGAGTTTGTTCCCACATGTTTCCTTCATCATGCAAAATGCATGGTGTCTGAAGGTCCGACTCAGCAGTTCCCTTCATTGTAAATGTATGACGTCCAAAGAGGTCCTCTAATTAAGCAAATTCACCTGAAGAGCGCATTTATTACACTACAAGAGTAGCATTTACTTCAGCGTTCTTCCTCAATTGTAGTTGCATTACTCTATTAGAGCTCACTTTACCACACCTTCCTTCTTTCAAAAATATGAGCTTAATTTAAGCTTTCTAATTGCTGCCGCCACAACCCATGTCTCAGAATCTAATAATCTTTTGACTAATTGCATGGTATGAAGAAACATGTATGGTGATTTAACTTGCATTGGAAACCAACACTATAGTTTTTCAAGTGCAAATGCTAGTCCAGTGTCATGATTGAAAAGGGTATGATTACCCACAACATTGCTATGAAAAAAGAAGAAAATAATTTGAGCCATGCCAATGGAGGAGGGATATTGGGCGTCAACAATCTACTGAAACATGGATTGCACTTTGAGATAACTTTTTTAAGCACTCCCCATCGAAAAGGGAAGAAAAAATAATGGAAGACATAGAGTGAGAGACTCTGTACTAGCGACAGCCAAAAAGGCAGGCAGGCATGCCCGTCAACACACGTTAATGCTGTGATGATGATGAAGAAGAAGAAGATGATGATCGGCCTCAAATTTCTCAGCCAGAGGTGGTGACTCTAATGGTCCTCTCTTCCCCCATTTTAGTGGCATCCAGTAGCCACTGTCAGAAGCTCTATCTATCTACCTACCTGTGAGCTTGCAGTAGGCGTACAAGCCGGACCCAAAGAAGCCGAGGCCCTGGCCGACCACATTCAGCTGGAACCAACAGGCACACCCATCAAGAGAGGCAAATCCCTATACTTCTCCATCTAAAAAGGGAAAAAGAGGAAGAGCCCAAAGCAGATGGAAAGAGATTCCGAGAGAAAAGTAAGTTCCTACCAGGTCAAATGGGAGGCCACCGAAGACCAGCCAGCCGAGCCCAATGGTGAACAGATCCTGCAGTGAGGAATCGGGTCAGAATGGAGCAGCCACATTAGACTGCCACGATGGAGGAGGGAAGAGGGAGCAAGCTGACTTTGAGGTTGCCACACATTGTCTGGGTGAGTGCGGAGTTGAGGGTGGTGTTCAGAAATATGCTGTAGTTGAGGAAGAACGCCAGGATGCAGGAAACAAGCATCACAGCCTGCAAGATGACTGTCATTAAGATTCAATATAAATAAGGATAAAACAAGGACGCATTATGAGAGTTTCCCCCCTTATCTACGGTAGAAATGTTGCCTGATTAAGAGAAATGTAGCATGATAAGACTAAGGAAATGCCTGGTTATACATGGTGCACGCAACAGAGGACAGTTCGTAATGAGATCCTTGAAACACGGATTTGCTGGTTCAGATACGACCCGGCAAAATCTGAAGTCAGCTATTAAGATACCAGGAAACATATTTCTACACAGAGATATATTGCGACTGTATATCCCTCTCAAGGCAGAAGACTTTTTTGACCAAAGAGTACAGAAAATCATACAGATGAGCCACACATGTGCACGCGAATAAGTAATCTCTGTTTCGGGAAAATCAAAAACTACATACCCAACAGAAGAAAGCTATTTTATTGACTACGGAAAGCAAAATTAGTAACAGAAGGTTCTTGGGAACCATGAAAGATCATGGACACAATTTACGGCGCACACTACTCTGTGATCTTAGCACCTGTTCTCACAAGACTCAGTAGTGTCCAGGACAGTAGATTTATTCCATTGTCATTTAGTAATGACAAGCACTGCATACTTAAATCACATGTTTCAAAAATCCAGCATACCTGGAATCCATAATCATTTAAATAAGGGAAGTTCATTGTCCTGGTCAAGTCACCCTGAATGTACGTCCAAAGTAATAGAACTGGTCCACATATCAATCCTGCAAAAGAAGCAGTAGATGCTAATTTACCAATGTTCTAGGATACTTCTAGAAACACAGTTGAGGCATTCATTTGCTTTATAAGAGCATAGATGTCATCAGAAAAAGAAATTAAATTCGGACGCTTGCATACCATTGCACCACATTAGACCAAAACTGTTGAGACCACTTGATTTTCCTAGAGAATAAAAAGGTGCAAAAACGCATAACGATGAGAAAAATCATCACCGAGGATACCTGGCATGATCCATAAGATAAAAAGAAGACGAAAATGTAAGGCCATGGCATTACCAATGCGAGCTATGGTAGCAAGGTATATTGCGGTAGTCAAGTTGGCCAATAAAACAACACCATAGCCATATGAATCATATGACATGTCCCGAGCGCCAGCCACAAATGCTCCGAAAACAATCAGTCCCACACTGGTAAAGCCCTTGGTTTTTTCACCATGGAAAAAGATCAGAAGCGTAAACACTTACATAGAACAAATCGGATGAAAGAATAAGGAGCTTCAGTTCCAAAAGCCCAACATTACAAACAAGAAATCCCCGAAACTTTGAGGGTAGATTAAACAAATAGTTTAAAAACCTAGCCTTACAGTCAGGTGAAAGATTCAGCATACCCATCTAATAACAATCAATGTAGGTTCTATAGACTTATCATACAAGGTGGCATTGACACTGACTCAATATCACTGCAACGGGAGGGTGGTTTTCTAGCTTTCGATCACTGTCAGAGGAGTTCTATGACTGTACATGGGTTCAATTTTCCAATTTATGACTCGTGGTATAATCAATTTTTCAGAAAGTCAATAAAGGTTGAATACAAACATTATCAATCTCGTTTTACACCTGTAGTGATGCAGAAAATGACAACTCATTTGATACGGCTATTTGGCATGTACCAGTTTTACTGGTCTGTAAGTCTCAAACATTGTGACGTCTTATCTGATCCCTATTGTCAATTGACACCTATGACATCTCCTAGTACTCATGGACAAAGAACGCATATCCATCTGTATCTCTTCATATAACTAAGTCAGTCATCTTCATTACCAAGAAAAGTAAAAATATTTACCTGCTAAGAACCGAATTCGAATATTTTTGTCGAGTCAGAAGGTACTCAACAATTATTGTAAATACAACAGTTGTACGCCTAAGGGTTGTGTACATGGGAACATTCACACCACGAACAGACTCCATTGAAGCCAGCTGTAAGCATAAAAAAGACAATATTCAAGAAATAATACGACACCCCTGTTCTTGGAGAAAAAAAAGTGCTAGAAGAACTCACCATGTAAAACAGATAAGCTAACGAAAGTGGAAGAGTATGAAGTAGTGTTGGCAGTGAAACAAAGCCTGCTAAATGATTATCTGAAACTGTCCGAGATTCAGCAGCTGTGAAGGAGATAATTTTCCAGCGTCTCATAGCAAACAAGATTAATGTAGAACTTATCATCTGCATTAGAAATATAATAAATGTAGTGGTGAGTAGGTACTAATGAGCTAAAAAGAATGATGAAGCATAAAACTTCAATCACTCCCACGAGGAAATAGACAAGCTCTACACCATACATTTGAAATGGGATCATAAAGTAGAAAAGGCACTGTAACACCAATGACAAGAAACAAAGAAATTACCTGAAACAAGGTGATGACATTAGCGCATGGGAAGTTATACGAAGAGAGAGCTGCCTTGTTAAACAGAACCAACAAGACTGCAGAATGGAGGCCAGTAACCATAAGACAGGGAAGAAAGGACCATGCATTTGTATAAAAAACGTCAAAATTATGCCACATCCCAATAAGATCCACGGATGGAAAATCCAAATCTAAATATGGAAAACCAAGAAAAATCAAGTCGTAATTTTAAGTGGGGAAAATGGTCGAGGAATATGTAATCAAAGCACCATGAAGCTGAAGGAAACTAATCTATACAATCACTTTATAGTTTCCCACTCTATTGCTAACACCCAGCTTAAAATGCCAAGAAGACAAGTGAACAACTTACTGTTGGCGTCTTGCTCAGATGACTTGCCAACCAGCCATAAGGGGACCAGGACTGGTAGGTTTTAGCCAAATGCATGAAAGTTCCCTTCAATCTTATTCAGCAATGTCTCTTCTCTCTGTTCTGTCAAGTCTGACAGCAGCTTTCCATTCGACACTTTTCTATCCTCTCTCTTTCCCTGTGCAGATGAGTCTACTGCCAATACGGTAATAACTTTCTTTCCTTTTCGATACAGTTTGAAACGATTTTCTTGCTTTATGTTTTGTTTCTTGAAGTTCACATTCAAGAGGCAGCTGAGACTTGGCATCAATCCCACCATTTCAAGTATTTGGATTGCATTAAAACACAAATGGGATGTGGATCAACTGAAATATTCGTCAAAGACGGGAGAGGAGCAAAGAAGGTACATTACAAAAATTAAGTTATGATCCGCATGCTATAAAGTATGTTAGGAACATAGTTACCCTCTAGTGAGTGCCGAGACAAAACTTTGATAGGTTTCAGTTCTGCTCTGCTATCAGAACATGGTTGAGCTTTTCTCAGGTTTGACCCAAAATTGACTTGGCACAGACTCCATAGCTGGCTGTATCGATCAAGTTGGCGACCAGCAAATGCAAACCATGTTACGAGTTTCCCAGCATATTCAACTCCAGACTCAGAGACTAGGACCCTAATCCAGGAATACACTGAAGATTGAAGGAATATTACTAAACGTCGGGTGATGAGTGGATCAAGGTTATCAAAACTGCCGCTGCACCCAGCCTAAGCCTTCACACATCATTACGAATGCCATTTTTTCTTTCTTGCACCAGAAAGGATTTAATGAACTTATCATCATATGAGAAAGTCGGCAACATAGATTCGCAAACTTAGGTGAGATTGGAGTTAGTTGCCAGAAAAATCATGGCATAAATATGTTCCCCGCCGTAAAATTGGACTCTACGCAGGGCTAGATATAAGAATCGCATGGCGTCGACCTCCAACTACACCCACTGAAACACATCCAAGCGGTCATTAGAATAGCGTGTTCGACACTTGCTAATTATCATCCATAGAAAGATTTTCTGTAGTCAGGCCCATTCCTAATTCACCAGCTTATGTACTTTTCTTCGGAATTCATGGAGGATCATCCATATATGTAAGTAGAGAACGAAAGGAATGAGATGAAGATGATAGTTTTCCAACGCCTAACCTGCGCAGCTCATGTAGGACACAGCGGCGACCGCCCCGCGCTTGGTCATTGCAGATCCTTTGAATAGGCTCTCGTCCCCCCCGCTCCCTCTCATCTGAGGATCCGACAGCGGTAGCAGCACATGCTTCGATCCCGCCGCCATCGATGGACCAAACCGGAGCAGCAACTCTAATCGAGATAAAAAATCTGAGAGAAAAAAAGGGGAATCCAATCTCTCCGCCAGACAAAAACGCAAAAAAACCAGAGAAACACAAAATCCGATGACTTCGATTTCGACGTAAAATTTCCACCGTACCCCAAAACACCAGGAACTACCACGACGAGGAAGCGGAGACCAAGCGACCGAGAGACGGCGCAAGAGAGAGAGAGATTGGGAAGCAGGACGGGAGCTTCATCTGACAGCGGCTTCGGAATCAAGTCGCCGGCGGCATCACGCCGGGAGACGGGGTGGGGTCCGCTATTCATTGCTGGAATCGAGTTTACTATTCGTGTGTACGTTTAAATCGCATTAGTAAGTCCGCTCTAAAGATATTGCCGTTAATTTTGATAGTTTCTCATTTACTACATAAATATTTCGCTTAACTTAAAGTACGACTCCTAGTATACAAATTCTTCCCAAAATTTTATTGAATAAATAGATATAAAGATTATTTTTGAACTTAATTGAATCTTTATATCGAAGTAAAGGTATTTAAAAATAAAATGATATTTATTTAATAAAAGTCACTTTAACAGCCTTAGGACTGTGCCATTTGCAAAACTAAGCCTCTTAATTCCGCTACATGGTTTTTCCAAAGACAAAAGTTTCTTCATCTCATGACATGTTTTAGGTAAGCACAAATCATCTTTACGTTTTGTTGACCTAATAACAAAAGGAGGCTATCAATATTTTAATACAAAAAATCGATAATTTTATTTATTCCATTCATATGCATTAATAAAAAACACAAAATTATGTATTAAATTTATATTTTGAAAGTTCCATTTTAAGATTGAATCCTTGGATTCATAGATGAATGATCATTATCTTTCTTATGTACCCTAAAGTGTAGAGGAGCAAGAGAAACTTAAAAATAGAGGAGGCCTAATTGTTTTAGAATTAAATGCACATATTTGATGGTGATAAATCTTTGTAAGATCAAATAAAAAGATTGAACTATGCATGATATCAATTTACTTAAATCTAAATTCATTAATAACTCAAAAAAATAATATCAAATTAAGAATTTAAAGGAATCTATTTGTGATTTATTAGGTAACTTCTTAAATTTAATGAATTTCATTGTGGAATTGTCATTTTGTATATTGACACGAAACCTATTCTTATTTATAGAAACTACAACAAGGAAAAAGTACTAATTAGCACATGTAAATCAATGAGAATCATTGAAGTAAAATATGAGTAAGAAAGCTTACTTAGTCTAATATGATCATGATGTTCAATCATTATTTCCAAAATCATTTGATATCAAATTAAGTAATTGAACTCATATCACTCATTCTATCTCACAAAGTTGTTGAATATTAAAAATATTATTTTAAAAAATAATTATAAAAATTATATATTATTTAAGTTATGATTTTAGACCTTAAGATTATGATTCAATGTGCCTCAAATAATTTATGCATTGTATATTTTTAGGTTATTTGATTAGTTTTTTATTGCCAAACTATTACTTTATTTAGATATCTATTATCAATTCTCTTTTGACAATAATATCTAATTTTCAAACTTATTTGAATCAATATGCCTTGGATATACATGTTGCTGATTAACAATAACATGTATTGGTCATTATAGAGGATATTTGAAAATTTAAAGGACATCAATATGACTTTCTTACCTTTCAAATTTTAGCTAATTTTAATTTTTGAACATTGAGAAACGACATAACATAAAAAATATTTTTTGAATTTTTAAGTGAGCATCTTTTTAGTGTGGTCATGATATCCAGACAAGCATGTTTAATCCCTCTATAATTTGGAGAGCTTTGTTACTATTTCTATAAAAATTCCATGAGAATTAAAAAGTCTTTCTTATCAGTTAAATGACATGAAGGCATTAAGTCAAAGAGCCATAGTGCCTTCTATATTCAGCCAATGTCATTACAAGAAATGGACAGCAAGAATCAAGTTTACATCATCTTCTTCATCAGATTTTTTACGGCACCTTTAGTCAACAATGTATCTTGATACATACTCATAGTAAAATCCTTCCTATTTTTTGGTGGATAAAATGGTGACTACATTTGTTTTAGTCACTCACAAAAGTTGAACACATTAAACAACTATTGGTTACATGGGGTCACCAATCTAGAAGAGAATTTTAGAATGAGATTATATGAGAGCTGATCCCATTAATTTATAATTGTTATCATGATATTTGTGGTGAAACCTAAGAATAACGTTCTTCTTTGAGAGTAGACAAAGGTAATGGACCTAAGTACTTCAAAACTTAGTCTTATACGACTAGATCCTAGGATATCTTAGGACTTAATATTTTAAGGAGAAGATCAAAGATTTTAGATATAGTTAACTAAAGTATAAGTTAGAAATCAATTGATTCAGTCCCCTTTTTCTAGTCTAAGTGTGGTGTAAAATATAACATTAATTATTTTATAAATGTCTTGAAAGTAAGAAAAAGTTAAATCATGGTCCGAAATCATATTGAGTCCAAATAATGAGTAAGAAAATTGAGATAGGCTCAATTTGTTGTGTACAATATGTTATTGTTGCTTCTTTACTTTATGTCTTCTATTTATGTTGTCTCATAATTTTCTTTGATTTTTCTTTATAGTATATTTTCTATTTCACTGTTTGCTTGCTTTTGGAGATTTTCCACCTCCTTTTTATGCCTTTAGAAAGGTCCCAACGTATATAAAGGCATATTTAAAGATCTCAAGAGTTTTTTTCTCTTTTGAAGTTATTACTTATCTATTGATTAAAGTTCATCCTCCAAATTAAAGGCAACCGTTTTAATTTTTTAGATTCAAGGTCACCTTGAAAAAAAACCTAGTGGTTTCAAGAGTTGGAATCTTCACTTTTATGGATTCAAAACTTGTTTTCTTCATCAAGGTTTGTCATTTGTAAATTTAAGGTCAGATTTTACTATCTCCCCCATCAACATTATATCATGTGGTATTATGGCAAGATTTGTCATTCCATATTTATTTCAAAAGATTTCTCAAGGTAAACAAATGTAAATTAATGTAATTGAGAATTGATGGAAAACCACAATGCACACCAAAAGAAATTAACGCCACATTTGGGGATATGATAGGAACCATAGAACCAAAAAAAAGTTGATAGCCTTTCTAGAGGGTTTGCTCTCTCACACTAAGCAAAATACTTCTATACCTCTTCTCCTCTCATTCTTTCTACATCTTAATACCCTTTCTACTATCTTTGAAATTACTTACTATCCCTTCCCTCATTGCGCCTCATGATAGGTGTCTGGTCCTTTCCTCATTTTGTCGCAAGATAACCCCATTAGGGGTTTATAATTTGTGATAAAATAATTTATTTTTAAATTTAATATCATTTTCTCTGCAATTTTATAATCTAGAACTCATAACTTCCATTTATTCTCTAAGTTTCTTATTTTTTGACTTATAGTAAAACATTCTTAGGAATAAGACCACTCATGGCTAAATTTCACGAATGACTTCCAAATCCTTGCCCGTTAGGTTTTATAACCTGTGCTAATTTAGTTTCAACATGTTTTTCTTCTCTCAATGAATCAACATGTTTTTCTATTGACAAATATGATTTTTCAACAGATCTCCTGATCTCTTTCAATTTCTTGATCCCTCTAATCAAGGATTTTACAAAAAAAATCGTTTTCTTTTCTAATTCTCATAAAAAATAATTATATCTATTTGATACATTTGATGTTATGATAATTATATCTATTTTTTAAAAATGGATATGATTTATTAAGCTTTATATATCATTTGATGTTTAGAAATTGATCTTTAGATAAACAAGAGAGCTAGAATTGAGCCATTAATGATCATCCTTTAGATATTCTTTCCAAACTTGAATCTTTGATACATACTTTGTTGTCTTGCTGATTTAATGCACAGTATAGTTTGCAGAACATGTACAATATTACATATAACTGTTTACTAATGCAGGAATATGATTAGATTATCATATCTAGTATGTACTAAAATATTTCACTTTTACAAAATGTATGTCAACACATTTTGTAATAACTTTAGTTTTTATGAATCTTTCTTTGGTTGATAATTATTTCCTCTCAAGTATTCATAATGTAGAGAATGCTTTAATCTCAAGAATTAAGACCATTGATATAATTATTTGTAATAAAATAATAAATTTTCTATAAATAAGATCAGTATAACTTTGTTTTTACTATATTTAGTGTTTAAATCCTATGAGTAAAGTACATGAATAGGCACTAGATAATAGTTTCTCAATAAATTTTATTTTTAATCATCAAAACCAAAGACATTAAAAAATGTATTTTTATTAGAGTTAATTATCAACTTTCAACTATAATTTTTTACTTATTTAAAATATAAATATAGATAATTTTACATTTGAGTAGATTTCTTAAGAATTTAATGCATGACTAATAACCATTTTATCCTTGAGAAATATATCATACTATATAAGCATTCCTGAATAATTAGGAATGGTCACATCTCCAATTGAAATTCAAACTCATGAATGCTCATTAACATTGTAAAACTCATCATAAATTGAAACATTGTATTTTTGATGCATCACTTATTGCATCATCTTCCTATCCGAACTAACTTTGATACATGCCTATGCTTTTGAATAATTTTTCTTTTTTTTTTACTCACTTCAAATGTCAATATTATAAATTTTACCTTCAAGTGAATTTCCTAATAATTTAGAGCATGACTAATGATGGTTTTATCTTTGAGCAAGTTTCTCAAAGAATTTAGCCCTACAATAATGAGCAATCAACATTATCTAAATATACAATTATACTATTATGAAATATTAAATTATCCTTTGATACATATTTTGAAGCAACCTAGGCTCCTAAGGAAAATCATTTTCTATATGTAAATTTATTAAATTTAATACGGAAAAATATGAAGTGAAATGATTATATTATATTTTCATTTCATTTTTTAAAAGTAT